GCCCACTGCTGGCCATGTGATCGTTCCCCCAGGACCTCCTGCCCACCACGGGCCGTGTGCTCGTTACCCGGGACCCAGCCCACCACTGGCCATGGGGCTCGTTCCCCTGGGACCCCCTGCCCACCGCTGGCCGTGTGCTCGTGACCCCGGGACCCCTTGCCCACTGCTGGCCTTGTGCTCATTAGCTCGGGACCCCCTGCCCACCGCGGGCCGTGTGCTCCTTATCCGGGAGCCCCGCCCACCACTGGCTGTGTGCTCATGACCCCGGGACCCCCTGCCTGCCCCGTGGCTGTGGTCCCCGTTACCCCAGGACTGCCCGCCTCCCACCGCCCGCTGCGCCGCCTCGGGCAGGTGAATCCGCCCAAGTCTGGGTTGTATGCTGGCCCCCTGGATGCAAGCAGGGCCCCTGAAACCAGGACGGCGGACCCTTGAGCAACTCGAGTTTGAGCTGCGCAAGTCCACTTAAACGTGCTTTCTTTCTATAAATATGGACTCCATGAGCCACGGTTGGTTGACTCTGGTGCAGAACTGAGAATGTGGAGCAGATCCCCAGGACCAGCTGTAAAGTTACACGCAGACTTGTGACTGTGTGGAGGCGGAGCCCTGGAGCCCCAGTGTTGTTCCAGGGTCCCCTGGAACTGGCCCTTGTGCACACAGCCCAGAAGGGGTGAAATCTGTGATCGGGGTAAGGAAGCTCTGATGATGTGGCACAGTGAGAAGAACCCAGATGTCTGTATGGGAGCGTCACACTGTTGGTGATGGGTGAGCCTGGGGGTGAGGGCCGAGGAAATGGTGGCCTGGGAGGGGTGAGCAGGGGAAGAGGGCCTGGAGGGGCAGAGCAGGAGCAGCCACAGGGCAAGGGGAAGGCTGGGCCAGACTTCTAGAAAACACAGAAGGGCAGTTCGGGAAGGAGGAGCTGGCGGAGGGAGTGGGCCAGCTCAGCACTCCGGTCCCAGCTTGTTGCCCTTGGTGACCTCAGCAGGAGCAGCCTCAGTGAGGGAGGGGCGGGCTGTGGGAGAGAAGTGGGGTGGGGGGCAGAAGCAGGTTGTTTAAATGCTCAGCACGTCTGTGTCCCTAGGCGTGAAAGTGTGTAGTAACGGTCTCCACCGGGCACACGGGTGTCCGTGGGACACTCCGGTGCTGGGCTCAGCATCCTGTATGCTGTCAGTGCTCAGTAAACGCGCGTGCTGCCGCTGGCACGCTCACCGGCACCTTGGCTGCGAAGGGCCTGGAGAGGGGTTGGAGCAGGTGCGGAGCGTCCGGGCGTTGCCCAAGGCGGGGACCGTGAGTTCCACATGTGGAAGCGGAGGAGGAGGTGCGGGCAAGGGGACAGTGAAAACGCTGGGGCGGGCAGGGCAGGATGGGGCTGGGAACCGGGGGTCGTCCCTGAGAGAACACCTCCTCTGTGGCTGGAGACGGTCATCAGCAACTCACGGTACAGAATGGCGTGGAGGACTTTGGTCCTGGCCTTGGAGGGCTTGACCACCGACAGGCCAGGTCTCTTGTCAGGGAAAGTGTTAGTCGCTCAGTCGTGTCCGACTCTGCAACCCCGTGGACTGTAGCCCACCAGGCTCCTCTGTCCTTGGAATTCTCCAAGCAACAATACTGGAGTGGGTTGCTATTCCCCTCTCCAGGGGATCTTCCCGTCCCAGGGATGGAATTCAGGTCCCCCTCATTGCAGGCAGATTCTTTACCATCTGAGCCACAGGGGAGCCTTGTCAGTGAGGGTGCCTCCGATACACCACGGTTGGTGTTGCTCCAAGAACGTCCCTCGGCTTTGACTGCGAAGCCCAGGCCTTTTAGTAGAAGAAACTGGGCGACTTCCTTGATGGCGCAATGGCTAAGACTTTGTGCTCCCACTGCAGGGGCCCGGTTCAATCCCTGGTCAGGGAGCTAGATCCCACATGCCACAACTCAGACCTGGTGTGGCCAAATAAATAAATAAATATTTAAAAGAAGCAGCAGCTAGGAAAATCGTGTCCTACCAAATGACTTTTTCTCCCTCTGTGGGAACTTAATGGGGAAGAATGTGGGTTTCTGCCTCCATTTTTAAGTGGTTGCTTGCAAATTAATTAATTTACTGGGAAGAATGACATTTCTAACTTAAGTAGACATGCATGTGTATTTCATATTTTTCCCTTTTGGTAAACTTATGGGGAGAAGTATTTTTTAAATTTAAAGCGGAAAGCAACTGGTAGCACCATGATTATGATGTTATAACTCATGTAGTTACAGAACTCATTTCATCAGTCAGGCAGCCTGGGCATTTGTGTTTCCAGGGAAGGCCCTCAGACAGGTACAGATGGGTCCCAGGAATCCTCTGGGCAGCGGTGCTGGTGGGAGCTGCAGGTCTTGCCCGGAGGCTGCCCATCTGACTGGGGGCTGCAGGAGGCTGGGGCTTCTTCCATCCCTACAGGGCGCGTGCCAGTCCACTGCATGGAGGGCCGGTACTGAATTCCTCTAGGACCCCTGGGAATGGCAGCTGACTCAGAAATCCCTGTTTCCTGCTCAGGGCCCAGGGGGATTAATAGTGCAGGGATCCCTACCTTCCAAGAGGTTTCCCAGCTCTGGGATCTGAATAGGTGCTCAGCTTCTTAAGAGGAAAACAGCCCAGTAAGCGGCTCATTAAGGAGCTCATTAACATAACCGGTTTTCCTCAACACCTCAGCTTCTAGACCGCTGCAACCTTTTCATCCTCATCCAGTGCCTAAAGCCATTGTCGTGGTTGACCTAAAGAAAAAAAAAGTGCTCTTTCTCTCCGCCCCCCCATTGAAAGAGTTCGGCTGTAAAAGGCAGCTGGCGCTGTAGTCGGCGGGGCTTCAGAGCAGATGAGAACTGGTCCGTTTAGGGGTGTGGACCACCAGGCAGCACCCCCCCCCCCTTCCGTAGTCGCCGTTTCTCAGATCCCTGCTGGAACGGGAGGCTCCTTCCTCCCTGGTTGGGGAGGATGGCAGCCCCCACCGGCTTGTGGGCCGCGGCAGTTTTCCCAGAGACCAGTGAAACCTGGAGGAGAAGGTAAGCACAGGCCCCTGCCCTGCAGACCTCACATGCTTCTCCTACCCTCGGGGTCCAGGAGCCATCTCAGGGCTGCCCCCATCCGCCCGCTCCATCCTCCCTGCTCACACCCCCTCTTCGTCTCTGCACTCTGCTCCTTGCTTGGAGCCCCCAGCTGCTCAGATGGCGTTCTCCAGAGTGACCGGTGCTTCTTGAAGCTGTTGGCCTGGCTGGAGGCACCTCCAGGATAGCTGTCCGGGGAGCCTGAGCCCGGAAGCCTTTCATGACTCTTGCAGGAAGTTTCTCCTTCCCTGTCTTTGCACTGGCTTGATCTGTGAGTTTCGCCTGTTGGCACATGAGCCTGGCCCCCTGCATCATGATCTGGAGGGGAGGCTCCTCTGAGCTGGCTGCGCCTCATACCCCATGCAGCCATCTCATTCACTTCTCATTTCCAGGGAAATTTTTCCCTCTCATACTAGCCACTTATTTGAACTGTGTTTCTTTATTTTATATACAGAGATAAATGATGGCCAAGGTTTTTTTAAAAAAAGAAAGAAGATAAAGTCATATACTCTTAGGCAAAGATATTCTTTCAAAAAAGCATGTGTGGAATTCCTTGTCCACATGTCCTGCAGCGGAGGGAAGGCGTGGCTCTTTGCAGGGGGTGGACGTCTGCAGAAGCAGTGGAGGTGGACAAGGGGGCCCATGACCAGAGCCCCGCCTCGGTTTGTCTGTCGGTGTGTCTGTTCTGTTTTGGCTCTGTGCCTTGTTCCTGCTATGGGTGCAAAGTGGGCTCTCCTTTCCCACCATCTCCTTGTAAGTTACATCTCCGTGTAACTTAATCCAGTTTCCAGATGGCAAAAGTAAGTTGAGCTAAAACTGACCAAATGAGAAAGATGTATCTGTTCTGTGACTTTTGGAAGAAATATTGACATGGTTTTACTTCTGCATTCTAAGACCTCTGACTTCTTTGAAGTTAGAGAAATTATGGCTGTTTCTACGCTTCTGCTTGAGGTTGACCCTTAAATGTCTTATTTTCATTGGGTGTGAAGACCTTCCTGATGGTGCGCTTTCGTAAACTCATGGCATAAGACAGCCCAGGTTTCTGTTTCACTTGTTCTATTCACAGGTAATTACTTCTCCATTTGGGACTTCTAAATCCCAGGGTCTGCTCTGCTCCAAGCTCAGCTGGTCTCTCCATCTGTTGCCATTGCCTTTTCTGTTATGTGAGAATCATCCTCTTAGTAACACAATCTGATAGGTATCGCGTTATGTGCCAGGCATGACGCAAAGACATCATTTCATTTTAACCTCCTGATAACTATAAGGCAGACACTGTTGTCATTTTCATATTACGGACACTAAGTGACCAGTTCATGCAGTACTAGATAGTCATGGCTCCAAAGCCTCTTCCTCTCCTGGCAGGCGAGACTACCTTGGTTCCTTGGGTAGGTCACAGGAGCTTGGATAGACTTGAACTCCATACAGGGGTCATGTTTCTGAGCCAGACAGATCTGCACTGGAGTTTTGGCTCTTCCTCAGTAGCTATGTGATCTTGGGTGAATTACTTAAATCCTCCAAAGCTCGTCTTCATTCAGAAGCTGTGTGTGAAATCTGACGATAAATTCACCTTCAGTATACGAGGCATGAGATAGACCGTCATTGACTCTTTTACTTTTTACTAATACATTAGCCTGATTTTTCTAAGGTAATTTTTGGCATGTGAAGTTGCCTCTTTTCTTTTCTTGCTGGAATGCTGAGCCCTGGCCAGCTCGGTCTATAGTGGGGGTGACTCTGATGCATCTGATGTTGGCAACTCTTTATGACCATTGGCCTCCTGTGGCTTTTCAAAACATTTCTGGAGGCAGCTGGGTGTGTTTGTGGCCTGTTTTTGCAAGCAAATCATGGAGTTAGTCCTGGCCTTTTAGGCTTTGAGAGCGCCCAGTAAATAGCATACCTCTTGACATGGACACAAGGAAAGAGTTGGCAGAGGGGAGACCGAAGTGTCACCTTTATTATTAATAGAGGTGATGCCGGATGTAGAACAAAGGAGACACAGGTAAGAGAACGGAGACGGGACTCTAAGGGGAGAGGCCGGAGGAAGGGAAGCTTAGGGCCAGTCCGAAGAGGGGAGGGAAGAGAGGCTGCAGCCAGAGCTCACCCGGAGCTGAGGGTGTGGACGGGTCTCTGGTCTCTGCGCTCTGGCGCCTTCGGGACGGGCGGGAGCCGGGCCTGCCGCAGGTCACAGCAGCGCTGTGGGCCGGCAGGTGTGGGACGCGAATGTCCGCTCCAGCCTCTGGCTTGAGCTCGGTGCAGGGCTGCTGGTGGGAGGGGACAGTGGAAAGACTGTTATTTGGGAGAACTTGACTCTTTGAAAACAGCTGTGTGCGCTGCATTTAGGAGCTTCTCTAAGTTGAGCATTTTTGGAATACATGGGTTTTAAGATGTTGTATGACTCTGAAGTAAGTCAGAGAAACACAAATATGTGATATATGGGGAATCTTAAAAACATGATGCAAATGGACTTATTAATATTCACGAAACAGAAGCAGAGTCACAGCCTTAGAGCACAGTTATGGATGCCAGAGGGGAAGTGGTGGACCGGGACGGATTGGGAGTGTGGGATTAACATGTACACACTGCTAGATTTAAAACGGATTAAGAAAATATTACTTAAAAAGTTATATGGCAGTTAATAGTTTCTTGATATGCATATTTTATATTATATATGTTATATATTTGTATGTAGTTTTATATTTTATGTCTTTATTCATATATGTTGTTATGGCTTATTTTTAATGTGTCTTTTTGGGTATATTAACTTCTGGTTTTTGATTCTGAAGGAAAATGAAATCATAATAATGATTAACAACTGGTCAAAATATGACCTGCTGTGTGATATTTTATTTGATTTGTTAATCTTAAAGATACAGCCTTGGTGATGGTTTCAGTCTGAAGGGGCAACCCTTGCTCCCAGTCCTTTTCCTGTTATAACTTATCTGATGAAAGCAGAAGACAGAGCTCCTTCCCTCTCCAGCCCCCTACCCTCAATTCCCACCCCTGTGTTTTTTCTTGATTTGGAGCTTGTGAAAATGGATATGTTTCCTGAATTCATCGAGAAATGAAGCCCATTCAAAATTAAATCTATCTGCATTTTTATCTGAATGCTTATAAAAGCTGTGTATTAACCATCATCTAAGAGCATCTTGGGCTTCCCTGGTGGCTCAGTAGTTATCAGTAGAATCCACCTGCCAGTGCAGCAGGAGACTCTGGTTGATCGGGAAGACCCCCTGGAGAAGGAAATGGCAACCCACTCCAGTATTCCTGCCTGGAGAATCCCACGGACAGAGGAGCCTGGTGGGCTACAGTCCATGGGGTAGCAAGAGAGTCAGACACACGTTGGCAACTTAAACTTTTGCAGCTATAGAATTATATTAGACTTCAAATAATTTAGCTATTAACATTTTACCATTTAAGATCTAGCTCAAACTCATGTTTTAGGGGGTAAAATTATATCTCATGAGAGTTATCAGCCTAAGTATATAGCCTCTTAACTTGGCATTCAACAAAAGCATACAACAAACAAAAGTTAATCTGTGTTTTCTTTTCTTTTTAGTTTCTCAGACAAGCTATTTAGTGGAAAAGGCTTACATTTTCAGCCATCAGTTCTAGATTTTGGAGTTCAGTAAGTATTTTCTCCTTATAATTTTTAGCAATTTATTACTTACACTACTTACTTTCAGGATATTTTTAATGTATGTATGATACTGAATATATTTTAAATAGATAATATCAAGAGATACTGTTCTTAGAACTTGTTGAAAGGAACTTTCTTGTGAAAAGGAGAGTATAAGAGTTGTTTTAGTCCTTTCTTTAGTTTTTAATAAATGTGTCTTATAATTTAAGTCTATGGTATTACATCCTTGTTTTTCTGAAACAAAGCAGGTTATTTTTTAATGAAAAACTATATATATCAATGGTTTCTGAATTTTTAAAATTAGATTCACTTATTTACTTGTTTTTACTGCTCCTTGTGCTTTGGGATTCAAAATTGTACATGCATCAGTTATTGTGATTGGGGTTTTGGAAACAGGTGGGGAAGACAGAGTGGAATCTGTAATTCCTTACAGTGCCTCTTGTTGAGAACCATGAGATGAAGGGGGTGATCTGAGTGTCAGTTGAGGGACTGATTTGGGAACTCAGAAATTAAGAGAAGGATGAAGTTGTTCTCAGGAGGGAACGTTAGGACTCATGTTGGTTGTAGTGAAGTTTAAGATGTGAAGTGTTAGACTCACTGGATGTAGAATTTTGCTGTACTGGATAGATTCAATTTCATGTAGAGTTTCAAGGTGGAAGTAAAAGAGTGTTTCAGAATTAAAAACTCTGCTTGTTGTAGCATCCTGCAACATCAGCTTTATGAAGAACTTTTTTGAGTTGCAAAAAAAAGTTATGTGAGTGAAGTAACCATGGTGCTGGGAGAGCATCTGGGGCGAGTTAGTGGCGCTCTCCTGGTGTGTCCTTTATTCATCTGGTTTCCTTCTTCCATTTCCTTCTGATCGTCAAAAGATCAGAGCTGCAGTGAAGAATAATGAATTTTAAATTTAGAAGTACATTGCTGAACTTTTTAAGGAGAGCGTTTAAAAGGAAGACGTGATAAAAGTGCAAAGGGAACTTGCTGATTTTACAAAATTCTAGGCATCTGCTTTTTTGTTTTTGAATTCTTAAATTTTTACTCTTAAGTAAAGAATGAGATTTTATAATAAAACCTCATCAGTTTCAATTTCCAAGAGATTATTTTGCTTCTGTCAAAAGTATGGTTAAGAGAACTCTTAATGCAGGACCTACTTATATATTATAGATTGGTAGATACCGTAAGAAGGATAGTAGTAAATACAGTTAGACTGTGATAGCAATTCCAGTTCACGGGACACTGGCTGCCGATAAGTATAGTTACTCTGTCAATATAAAAGTCCTGCCGCCAGTGCCCATGCACGGGCGTATGCGTTGTCTGCATATGTTCCTTAGCTCTGCACATCAGTTTCCGGTTCTGATAGCTGTTAAGTCACGTTGAAAAGAAATGTTTAAAGTTTTTGACTTGAAAAGGTTACTAAGTTTTAGACTTGAATCACCTTTGGATGATTCAGTTTTGTTTATGTAGTAGTTTACAGTTCTGAAATACAATCTTCTCTCTTGTGAGTTGAGTCTTATATCAATCCTGGAAGGATAGTGGAGATAGGTGTTATCAGAAAGAGAGAGAATTATTTCCAAATATCTCTATATTTGAGCATGTACTATAGACTCTTATGTTTGTGCTGAGAAATAATGCATTTTTCCCCAAGGTTATTGGTTATTTCACTAGAAGTGGCAGTAAATCTTGATTTCTAAGCCAGTATGTGCTATGCTATTTTTCTCATAACTAAGATCTAGGATGTGGTTATGGGAACCTTATTTTTTCCTAAAGTTTAAAACAATCATTCAGTGATAACAAAATACAGCCCAAATCAGAGCATTTAAAAAATTAGTCAGGTTTTATCTTACTTCTAACAAATGGCCCAATTTATAGGCGTTAGACACACTTTAACCAGCACATTCTCCTCATTTCTTCTCTGTACTAGGTCAAGTTTTGCTATTGTTTATTTTGACGTTGACCTTGAGCAAACCTCATCCCTTCTCACAGCTCTGGTTTCTCTCTAGGATACAGAATGAGGATCATGTTATTTTGTTACCCTCTGCCTGCTTCTTAGGGTTTATTTTAAGGGTTAATATTCTTCTGATCCTGAGATTAAAAGTGCTAATCATTCATAAGAAATTTTAATCATTCTGTTGTAGTATTAAATTAATAGAGTATCTTCCAGTTGTCACTTGTGAAGGAAATTCTTATCCTCATGACACTTTTAAAAATAGAGTTTAAAAAAAAATAGGATAAAAATAGCACAGTGGTAACTAGGTTTTGGCCAGCATTTTCTGTTAGGTCTGGTGAGGTTTCTGGGGGACATAGCTACTGGACTCCGCAACATGGCAGTTTTGTGTTGCTCCGGGAGACATTTGTATCTTTTGAAACTAAAAATCTTGTATTGCAACAATGTGAATGAGATAAATATTAGTAACTTTGCTGATTGATTCATATTATTCACTGAAAAACCTAAAATCATGGAAGTTTTTATTTAATTTAATTGAAGAAAAAGGCAGATAAGAGCCCAGTGCTCCTGACCTAGGGCTTTCTGAGGTGACCTGCTATATATGATAGTACAGAAAATTTTTAGTTGTATTATTTAAGAACACTCTAAAGAAATCAAAGTTTTAATCACACTGATATGTATTTTATTTGTTACTGGTTGTTAAGGACTTTTAAAATACATATTGAACATATTAAGCCTTCAGTTAAGACTTGTGATGAAAAGTAGGAGGAAAAGTTGAAAGAAAAACTTCAAGGAATTGATGGCAAATACAGTATTTTAGAAACCCCATTGTTTGTAAGAGAAAGAGTGTGCATTTAGTTTTTCCTAAACCACACATTTTTAATGTCAGAGAAATTGGAACAAAATCAGAGAAACACAAGTATAATGTAGATGATCTTATGCTGAATTTAGAAATGTAGTTTTATTTCTGGGCCATACTGATGAGAACTGTCTATTTGGGTCTCTGCCACTGAGGGTGTTAAAACTAGAGAGATGACTTCAGTGAAGTTTTTACTGGCTGTCTATTTATCACAACGCTTAACTAGATGAATTTGGTATTGGGTGGTAGGGATCAGAGTAAATGATTCCAGGAAATCTTGCAGGTAGCTCCAGGTAGGTAGGCCAGAAACCAGTCCCTTTCCTCTTGCAGTTCTTTGTGAGAGACCGCCTTCTAGACAGAGATCCTTGCTGAAAAGATTTGGCCCCAGGGTCTCCTGATTAGGGTGTTTGCTGAAGAACAGAAACTCTTACTGTGAGGGTCATGGAAAGTATATATAAAATTTTTGTGTGCATATTTTGGATGGAGGAGCCAAAGCTTTCATTAGAGTTTTTTGAAAGACTCATGATTTAAATGGATAAGAGCCAAAGCTAAAAGTGGTGCAGAGTTTTCATTTTTCTCAGAAGAATAGTGTTTAATGATTAAGTTTCCTTTTATAAGACTTAATAAAGCCTCTTTGCTAGTTAAAATCCATTCCCCCCAAAAGTCTATTTAAATTTATTACTCAGTAAATGAACCCTAAGAAAATTGGATTTTTCTAAGAGTACAGTTTCTTTTCTAAATATATTTTCATTCAAATTAGAGACCCATGTCAGACAGGTACCTAGTTCCCTCTAGGTGTTTTTTGCAAGCATTTAACAGCCTGTGCATGCTAAGTCGCTTCAGTCGTGTCTGGCTCTTTGCAACTCTGGACTGTAGCCCACCAGGCTTCTCTGTCTGTGGGATTTTCCAAGCAAGAATACTGGAGTGGGTTGGTGTGCCCTCCTCTAGGGGAACTTCCCAGGGATCGAACCCCAGTCTCTTATGTCTCCTGCATTAGAAGGCAGGTGCTTTTACCACTAGCGCCACCTGGGAAGCCTATTTAATAATGGCCTAGAAGGGTTGAATTCTTCTAATACAAAAATCAGTGGGGTGCTGCTATGGGTTGGCATAAATGTCTTACAAAAGAAAGAATTAAAAAAGTTTTTTGGACTCTTTGTGGATAGAATTAACAGTAGGATTATTCTATTAGCAATAGGACTGTTTTTAACTTTGTAATGAAGATCAACAGCTTTCTGTATTGGATTGTGTATATGTATTGATGGGTGGATGAATGGATGGATATTTTGTTTCTAACCCTTGCATTTTCTTCTCTTTCCCCACCTAGGTTTCTGGGACAGCCTGCAGCAAAGATTCTGTACGCTTACAACCCAAGCAGGGAAAGTGAGGTTGTAGTGAATTCCGTGTTTACAGCCGCGAGACATTTCCATGTGCCTCCTGTTCACTGCAGGGTGAGCATGGACTAGCTCTTGGAAGCTAAGCTGTGGCGGGCTGCCAGCTTTTCTTGCTTTCTTTGGCCTGCAGTTTTTTTACTTTCTGCTGCCTGTCTCTCCGTTTTCTGCTACCCAAGCTCTTTCCTTCTGTGTGTTTGCTTTAGCATTTATTTTTTCAGTTGTTCAGATTCATAACTTTGTGGCTGTTGATACTGACGTGGAAAGAGAAGTTTAAAGAGTTGAAACTAGCTGGTAATGTGTGTGTATTCAATATGACTTTTTCATAGTTAAAGAAACTTACTGTTGCCTGTCTCATGATGACTACAAATGCTGAAGCATGTAGTAACTAGTCAAGTTTATAGTGGTGATCTTTTAACCTGGCCAGCCTACTAGACTGTTTTCTTAGTATAGGACTAAGAGAGGGTGAGTGGTTCCTTGTGAAGCTTATTTGCATCAACACAGAGCTCCAAACCCTAGTCTTCTAATAGTTTTAATTTTAGTAATTCACTTTACCTTTAATTTTTAATGAAAATCTAGGTTACTAGTAGAGTTTACTTATTTTCCTTACTTTGTTTATGTGATACCCGTTTCTTAAACTCAATACTGGGACTCAGGAAGTGGTGTAAGGGGGAGCCTGGTATCTGTCCAGATGAACGGATCTGTCCAGATCTGGGCAGTCTGTCCAGATGAACGCTGTCCCTGGCTTTTATTAAGCAGCGGCATGTTTGTACACTGGTGGTTCTGTTACTTAAGTAGAGGTGGAACCGTGTAGATACTGGCCCTTGAAGACAAGGATGAGGAAGAGGAGAGGGAAGATGTGGGGCCCGTGACTCCAGCCGGGCTGAGAGCGGTCTTGCCCTAAGTCCACGGTGTTTTTGATATTTTCTTTTAGATTCTTGGGTGTTGATCTGTTTGGATATTCTCAGGGATCCATGATATGTATAAATCAAGGGTGCAAGAATATGCCAATATCTGGAATTGTAAAAAAATTAAAAAATCTGTGAAAGATAATTTGTCAAAGAAGGGCCATTCCAAGTGGCTAATGAAGTGCCTTTCTTTCAGGTAATTCCAGCAATGGGGAAGACTTCCTTCAGAATTATTTTCTTACCCACCGAAGAAGGAAGCATTGAAAGTTCTTTATTTATTAATACCTCCTCACATGGAGTCCTCTCTTATCATGTAAGTAGCTTTTTCTTTTGGTCATATAATTTGGCTGCTGATTTAATGAAGGTGTTTGGATATTAAAGGAAAAAAAGCCTTTTGGAAATGATGCCACCTGGTTTGTGTCATTCAAACATAAGGCTGCTTAGTTGATGTTCAGCTCACCAGCCTGCCTCTTTGCATTGCTCATGGGTACCTGTCTTTCCTGCAGAGTGCAGGACTGGAACACACCTTGGATCTCGAAAGGGTATTGGAACAAAACAGAGAAATGCGCTGTACAGTTTTCTACTGTAAAATATAGTGGGGTTTCAAAGCTCACGACCTCCACCTCAAGCAGTCCAGAGCTGGGGGCTGTGAGCGCTTCTGAGACGCTCGCCCCCTCCTCTCCTGGGCTTCGGACTATTTCTGGTTGTGGGCTTGGAGGCCAGTCCTCAGGGGCTCCCTGTTCTAGCCAAGCTGTGGTGGGGGGGGGCAAAGGACAGGAGTCTTTTTGTTTTTGTTCACAAAAACAGTCAGAAATCTTTATCTTGAGTGGTGTCTGTGACATCTTTCATTTAAGTGCCAAGATCTAGCATTTTTGTGGCTAAGTCTACCTGAATTCCATTCAACTGTTGTCCCTTATCAGAAAAGCTATTTCTGTAAAGATTTGCTACAGTGAGAAACACTCAGCTTAAATACAGCAACTTTTGTTGCAGTTTTTTAAGTAGACAGAGATGAGTATAATAACTGGATAAATAGTCTTGAAGGCCAAGTTGATGAACACAGATTTCCTTTGGAAAAGTATTTCAGTGTTGTGTCAAATGTGTTTCGAAATTCAGTTGTTGGTTTTTTTTCTTTTTCTGCAGGTATCTGGAATTGGTACTCGCCGAGTCTCTGCAAAAGGGTCTGCAGAGCAGCTTCCGAATGCTTACTTTCTGCTTCCACAGGTCCAGAGCGTTCAGCTTTCGCAAACACAGGTGATTTTAGTAGTATGTTTATTTTGAATGCTGGTGAACACCCAGCTTTGTAGCCGCTACATTTTGGAGTCTGATGGAGAGGACCAACAGCTCTTTTCACATAGTCAGAGTTGGGAGTTTTAACGTGCTCTGCTTTTGGGGAAAACCCTGGTACATACGGAAATAACGTGTGTGTGTGTAGAGTGTCACAGGAGTCCGTACACTTCTTGGTGACGGCTGTGTGGTTCATGGTGCTGTTTCATAGTTTGCGTAGTCCTGTTGGTCACTGCAGTGTGTCCAGTTTTCCATTGTCATTAGATGGTGTACGTATTTTACAGCTTTCTATGTTTTTCTTTTGGACTACCTATTTCGCTGGGGTGTATTTTGTAAAAAGGATTCTGTAGTTAAAGACTGCACTGTTCTGTATAGCTTGCCAGAGTGCTTTTCAGGAAGCCAGACCCTCCCTGGTCACCACTAATGGCATTCCTGCCAAGTATCTTCCCGCCCCACCTGCCTCCAGTCCTGCCTGGGTGTGGCTCACCAGAAAGAAAGGTTTCCATGTCTTAGTAGGTGTATGTACTAGTACCTTAAAATTCTTTTAATGTACATTTCATGAACAGCTTATAGGGTTGTCCATTTTTCCCTTTGATTATTTATATTTCCTTGTGTGGACAACTGTTGACATTCCAAAAGCTCTTGACTCAACATATTATGAATATATGTTACTACTTTTATACTACTTACTACTACTTCCTTACTGCTACTACTGCTTACTACTACTACTAGTTCAGTGAGTAAATAAAACCCAGTGCTTAGACTTCTGTAGGTCGTGGTATCCAGGCTTTCCTTCACCATCTGCCTCACCGAGCCTCTGCTCTTGGCCAGGTATTGGTCTGGCACTTCTGTCTCAATGGAGCTCTCATTCCAGTGGGGAGACAAGAAAAATTAATTTACCTGTAATGTAATGTCTGGGCACTTTGCCACCAAACATGTTATTCTTAGGGATTTAAAATATTACCCCTATTTTCATTTTTTATAAAATGAAATAGCCCTTCCTCAGCATTGTAAGGAAGATTTAATTTGCAAATTTGGATTTGCTTTAAGTCCTAAAACCAGTGGACTATACGGCCGCTCCCGCCGCCGCTCCCGGGAGCGCCTGCGCGCCACCCTTTCTCACTGAGCGCTCCAGGGACCCTGCTGCCTCTCCCGTTCTGGTCCGGACCTTGGTCAGACTTCAGGACACCTGCGCTCTTTCCCCTGAGGACTCATATCCCATGAGCCGATCCCGTACCGTGTCTCCTTCCCTCTGTGCAGCTGAAGCCCCGAGAAGACGGGCCCTCGCGGCCTCTCCGCGGCCCAACCTGGGCCTTTGCCCGAGGGGCCCGGGAAGGCCCTGCAGGCCCCCCGCAAGCGCAGGCGTGGTGGCTCCGGCTCCCTGCCCTGAGGCCAGCACAGCGGGGGCCCTCCGTGGTTTATTGCTGCTCTGGCTGGAATGAAACTTTTCTGTTTTTTTTTCCTTCTTTGCATTTTCATTTATATTTGATAGCTCTTATTAAGATATAATTCACATCCCACAAAATTCAGTCACTTAAAGTGCCTCCCCAGTTCTTCACGGAACTGTGCAACCATCACCCCATCTCACAGCCTAATTTTAGAGCGTTTTCACTGCCTTAGTCCCTGGCAGCCACTACTGTGCTTTCTGTCTCTATAGATGTGTCTGTATTGGACGTTTCGTGTAAATGAATTGTGTGGTCTTTTGTGACTGGCTTCGTTGATTTAGCAAAATGTTTTCAAGTTTCATTCATGTCATCAATCTTCCCTTCCTTTTTATTGCCAAATACTGCACTATTGTATAGACATGCACCACAGTTTGTTTAAACATTTATCAGTTGGTGGACATTTAATTCATTTTCGTTATTCTGGCTATTATGAAGAATGTTTGAGTGAACATCCACAGACAAGTTTGTGTGGACGCATGCCTTCTATTTTTCTGGGTATGTGTGGAGGGGTAAACCTTTGCTGGCTCGGGATGATTCTGTGTATGACACTTTGAGGAATCATCAGACTGTTTTCAGAGTGGCTCCGTTGTTTTATAATGTTACCACAGTATATGAGGACTGCAGTTTCTCTGCAACTTTGCCAAGGCTTGTTTTTTTTTTTACTGGTTTTTCTTTTGTGTTTTTTATGGCCATCCTAGTGGGCGTGAAGTGATATCTCATGTGGTTTTTATTTGCATTTCCTTAATGACTAATGATGTTGAGCATCTTTTCATGTGCTTTTTGGTAATGTGTGTATCTTCTTTGGAGAAATGTATATTCAAATCCTTTGCCCATTTTTGGGGGTTTTTGTCTTTATTGTTGAGATGTAAGTGTTCTTTATATATTCTAGATATTGGACTTTCATCAGGACATGATTTGTAAATATTTTCTTCCATTCTGTAAGTTGTCTTTTTATTTTTAATTTTTATGAACTCAGTTTACTTGTTTTTTATTTGATCATATATGCTTTTAGTGTCATATCTAGCGAGGCCCAAGGTTTTGAAGATTTACTCGTATGTTTTCTTCTAAGAGTTTAAAGTTCGTCTCTTCCAGTGGGGTCTGTGGCCTGTTTTGACTTCATTTTAGCGTGGAACGTGAGCTTGGGTTCCGAGTTCATTCTTTTCACGTGCGTTTCCAGGGGTCCCAGTACCTCTGGTGAACAGACAGCTCTCCCTCCACTGGGTTGTCTCGGCTTGTCCTCGAATCTGTCAGCTTCGACTCCATTCCCAGCAGTAGAGTCTCTCCTTCCTTTTCATCTGTACTGGGATCTGTGAGTTTAGTCAAGTCACTTTCTGAGCCTCCTCCATTGGTCAGCAAACAGTTGTTAGATATTCTCGAATTTTCCAGGAAATGTTAGAGCAAGTGAACACAGCACAGTGACCCTGCTCTTCTGATGTGACACTGCAGAACACGTTTCAAGAGTTTGTAGATAAAGCTCAGTTTTTTTGGCTGATCTTTTGTTAGAGCCCAGTATTCAGAGATCTACATATAAAAAAAAATCTCTTAAAAATCAGTTACTAAATTTCTTTCATTTTCATGGTGATGCAGAAAAAGAAATTTTAAAGTCTTTTTTCAAGGTTTACTACACCTGGAAACAAGAGAGCCTACAAAATTTAGACTTAAATAATTAGGGCATTCCTCAGAAAAAGTCCTGATTACAATATTTTTGCATTTGAACCACAGACATAAAATGTGTTTGTATTGTCTCAAATGGATGTGAGGTTGCCAGCTGTCCTTTCTCAGAAAGGAGTGTCTTTATTTTGATGTTCTTTCTGTCCCCTGTTCTTGTCCAGAAACCATCATCTGGGGTGGGTGCCGAGTTGGGGAAGTCATGTCGCTCAAAGGGGTAGGATGTGTGGGAGGGATTGCTCACAACTGAGTCTTCTTCAGGATGGAGTGGGAAGGCGTATGTGGTGGAAAGAAGCTAAAGAGCAAGGTTTGGGCAGAAATGAATATGTCCTGGATCTTTCAGATAGGGTCTCTGCTCACACTTGAACTTGCTTCCTAAGGTAGCAGCTAGAAGTTCCACGCAGTCAGAACACGCCAGCTCACTTTTCCCTGCAGCCTACCACACGCGGCCTCAATTAGAGGGACAGGCGGTGCTTGGTCTTAGCTCCCAAGATAAGATGTAGTCAGCTATTACAAAATCAAGTTTAAATCATGCAATTTTAAAAATCTCGGATTTACTTGATTTTTAAAATTAACAGATTACTTTCCGTCTGGGCTGTGAAGGAGTCTTTAGGCCTAGAAAAGAGAACAGCAGTCTCAAAGGCCCCTTGCTGAATCATCTAACTTCGGAGAAAACAAAGCGTAACTTTAGTTCCACCCTGATGCTCAAGGCCGGTTGCATCTATCTGGGGCTTATCACCCCCTGTCCGGAAACCTACCACCCCCTCCACCCGCCCAGAAGACTTATCACCCCCTGCCCAAATACAAGTGTCATCTCAACAAAAGAACACTCAAAATATCCCGCCTGATTGACGTTTCCCTTATCGCTTCCACAAACCTCCCTATAAGTATGAAGCCTCCCTGATCCCTCTCAGCGCTCAGCCTGGTCGTTAGGCCGACTGTCGCCCCTCCTTGCCTGAATAAAGGTAACCTACTTCTCTGTTGAGGTCGTCTTTCCTTTTCTGCCTCGCCGGAACTATGCCTTACAGGCCGGGTCTTTGCTGCCGCTCTCAGGCTTTCTCTAGGTGCAGTGAGGAGGGGACCTCTCTGTTCCGGCACGCGGGCGTCTCGTTTTGGTGGCCTCTTCGTTGGGGAGCGTGGCCGCTACGTGCATGGGCTTCAGGAGTCTCAGCACCCGGGCCCAGCAGTTGTGGTGAGCAGGCTTAGTCGCCCCAAGGCGTGTGGAATCTTCCCAGATCAGGGATCAAACTCGTGTCCCCAGGTGGATTCTTATACACTGTACAGCCAGGGAAATTAAAAATAAAAAAATAAAAAAAAAGGATTTATTTTAGGAATACAAACTGGAGGAAAACTTAACTACGTCTGTGAAAGCAGAAGCTGATCCCCTCCTTTGCAGGCCTGTGAGCTCCCCACTGAGCCCGCTGTATCTTGCTGGATTGTTAAATGAGCATTTGTAAAACCCCAAGACAGAGCCCAACCTCAGTTCACTGAGTATAATTAAGTACCCTGAAGAGGGTTTTGTTTGATATGCTGCCCTCCATTTTTAAAAGAGCATGCATTTAGGGAAAATGGTGAAATAAAATATGTCCATATGATCTTATTTGAATGTTGAATTGTAAACCAACTTTTTCACTCTTTCATCAAGAGACTGTTTAGTTCCTCTTCGCTTTCTGCCATAAGGGTGGTGTCATCTGCATATCTAAGGTTATTGATATTTTTCTCAGCAATCTCGATTTCAGCTTGTGCTTCATTCAGCTCACATTTTGCGTGATGTACTCTGAATATGTTAAATAAGCAGGGTGACAGTACACAGCCTTGACGTACTTCTGTCCCAATTTGGAGCTAGTCTGTTGTTCCATGCCTAGTTCTAACTGTTATATCTTGAGCTGAATACAGATTTTCTCAGGAGGCATGTAAGGTGGTCTGGTCCCATCACTTCATGGCAAATAGATGGGGAAACAGTGATAGACTTTATTTTCTTGGACTCCAAAATCACTGCACATGGTGACTGCAGCCATGAAATTAAAAGACGTTTGTTCCTTGGAAGAAAAGCTAGACCAACCTAGACAGCATATTAAAAAGCAGAGACATTACTTTGCCGACGAAGATCTGTCTAGTCAAAGCTATAGTTTTTCCAGTAGTCATGTATGGATGTGAGAGTAGGACCATAAAGGAAGCTGAGCACCAAAGAATTGATGCTTTTGAACTGTGGTGTTGGAGAAGACTCCCTTGGATGAAGATCCCTTCGACTGCAAGGAGATCCAACCAGTCCATCCTACAGGAAATCAGTCCTGAATATTCATTGGAAGGACTGATGCTGAAGCTGAAACTCAAGCTGAAACTCCAGTACTTTGGCCACCTGATGCGAAGAACTGACTCATTTGAAAAGACCCTGATGCTGGGAAAGATTGAAGGCAGGAGGATAAGGGGATGACAGAGGATGAGATGGTTGGATGGCATCACCGGCTCGAGGGACACGAGTTTGATCAAGCTCCAGGAGTTGGTGATGGATGGGAAACCTGGTGTGCTGCAGTCCATGGAGTGGCAAACAGTCGGACACAACTGAACGACTGAACTGATGATCTTATTTCTATGAATGGGGGGAAAATAGTATGAATATTTATAATGTCATATAGATTATAATTGGTTCTGCCCTCATAATATAAAGCCTGAGTTTAAGATCTCAGTTTGTTTTCTGAAATATCAAAAAAATCTGTTCATCCTGTGGAATAAACTAGGGTGCCCATGAAAAATTGTTAGGTTATCTAATTTTTTTTTGTAGTATTGAGCTCATTCTGGCCGTTTGTGTGTGCGTCCATTCGTATCTGACTTTTGCATTTTTCCTGCTCAGTCAAACTGGATTGAATGGCTCACTCTCTAATGCTGAAGCCAGGAGTGTTTGTGTGATGGGTCTTCTATCTAAGTTGGCGCTGGCCGGGAGTTCTCTAGCGGTGGCTGAGCTCTGGGGCCAGGAGGATGTACATTGCGGCTGCTCTGCTGCACACGCGTGTCTGCTCTGGGAGAAGAGAGTCGGCCGACACGGGGGGTTCAGTTGCCTTTTCCTTTGGTCCTTCTCTTTTATTTGTTTTGACCTCTATCGAGTGAGCATTCCTAGTGGACACGATGTCACTGTGACAGTGGGTTTCAGTGAGATTCCCAGGTCGCTCCACTTCTGTTGCATCTTGTCCACGTTTGGTACCTGGATCATGCCCCGGTCCAGCTTTCCTGCCTCCAGTGCCCCTGCCACATGGGCTGGTGATGTCCCCGTAAACAGAGCTCTTCTCCCCGGTCACTGCCCTGCTGGGTCCCCGTTGTTTTGCAGGACCCAGCACAAGCATCCTGACTTGGCACCCGAGGCCCTTCATCCCCCAGGTCCAGCGTCTTCTCCATCCTCAGAGATACCACCCTGCTCTTCTCAGCTTTGGCCTCACAAACTGCTCACGCCTGCAGCCCTTGTCATCCCTTTCTCCAGTCAGTCTCCCCATTCACAAGCTTTTTTCTCATTCTGACTCCAGTTCTCCTGCTGTTTCCATCCTTTGAGGCCCAGTTCCACTATCCCTTCCTTGTCAGATCCCCGGGCTAATGTCTGCGCTGGTCCCTCGGCACATGGTTCAAGCCTGCTTCAACACTGAGTGTCCTGGGCTGCCTCCTTCCCCTGCTTTACCACGAGGCTCTCTGGGCCCAGGCCTGTCCCTTCTTCGTTTTTATAATCTCAGCATCAGCTCAGTGGTTAGTACATTAAGGGCAGCCCCTGGAGTTTTTAATAGGTAGATGGGTCAGTGGGCACCCGAGTTAAGAGCCCCAAATAGCACATCACCTCGACATAATATCTAAGATTTGTGTACGTTCACCTTTTCGCCACATGAACCAGATGACCTTCTACAGATTTACTACCAGGGCAGGTGGTATTAAAATTCTTATTTTAGAAATTGTAGAATGGTCTTGGAGTTTAGGTTACTTGGTGGAGGTTGAGGACACAGCTAGAATTGGCAGTCCCGGCTCAGTTTGCTTTAAATGTTTCCCCGGGTAATGATTTTCATATCGTTGACTTCGTAATTCATGTTCCAGGAAAGATAAATGCAGATAAAAATTTTTGCAGCATTTGTATAATGGGAAAAACAGTAGAAACAGCTTAAAGGCTCAACAGTGGGAAAAGGGGTTGATAAATTTAACTGTGTCAGCATAGTACAATGTTAAGTCATTGCTCCAAATTACAGTTATGATGCTATGTAGGAAAGTCTGCAAGCAAATGGTAGAATATAAGCTAGACTGCATTCTGTGATTATAACTATAAAGTGTACACTGGGATGTAACATGTAAATAGAGTTGTGTTAGGCTCCCGAAAAAGCAGGAAGTTCTATTTTTATCCGTTAGTTCTTTGGCTGTGCTGTGTGGCACGTGGGATCTTGGTTCCTGGACCCAGGATTGTACTTGTGCCTCCTGCAGTACAAGCACAGAGCCTTAACCACTGGATCACCAGGGAAGTCCGAAGAAGTTTTTTTTTTTAAAACATTTTTCTTTAGTGTTGTTTTGGATCCAAGCCATTGAGATTTGAGAACCATTTTAGTGATTTATTTGGGCAAAAAAGAATTTAAAATTAGCATTCTCTTAGAATCTGGCTTATAAGGTCACTATAACAATGACTTTGTCTCAGAGAGTTAAATTATTATTATTGGAATCACTGTAAAATAATATTTATTGTTAAGGATGGAATTATAAGGCAATATGGGAAACAGAGAGGCTTTAAAGGTAGAGGAAAACAGATGAGACACTGTTCCCACCAAGTAAAAGTGCTTTTTCTTTATATGTGTGTCCTGAGGTGGTATCATAGTATGGAATTCTCTCACGGGGAGATCGTGACGATAAGAAATTACAGCTCAATTTTAAGAAAGCACAGGAAACCAGAGAAGTGGAAAATTAGAAATAGGCACCAGGTCTCCCGGGTGCCTCAGCACAGGGGACCAAGAAGCACGTTCTGTCACCTCCCGTCTCAGCTTTTCTGTGTGTGTGTGATGGGAGCCGCCCTCCCCCGTCACGGTGTCCTGTTACTGGACTGTGTAAAGCGGAGATTATTTCTGGATGCTCTGGGTGGTATCTAATAGACCTCAGCCCTGGCGTTCCTGCCCGTTGAAGCCTGGCGCATGCCGCCGCCGGGCTCTGTGCCTGCCCCCCCGCCCCAGCGGGACAGGTGTGGGCTGGGCCGCGGGGCCAGGCTGGGGGTTGGGAGGCGCCCCAAGTCCTGCGCCTCGCCGAGGTGCTGATCCCGTCAAGTGAGTGTGGCCGGGCGCAAGGGAAGCTGTCAGCTGTGCTGGGGGGAGGGAGGACCGGCTCCAGCCACAGTTTGGCAGAGAAGTGGAAAGGGGCGGGTTTCTCTCTCACCAGTTGCGAAGGTCTGAACCAGGATCTGGAGCTGGGAAATAAAAACAGGGAAAGGTTGAAGGCCTCAGTAGCTGCTGTGTTTTCCTGAGATCTTACATAATTAGTTAAATGAGATACACAGCTTTTCTGGGTGCGATAGTTAAGAATTCCTAACAGTCTGGTTAGAGTCATGTTTTTAATGACACTAATTTGCCTGATAAAAGTTATCTCCTTTTTTTTTTAATAAGAACATTAGGCTGTCCACCTCTGGAGAGTTATTAGTGTATGTTAGGAAAATATATGCCGTTACCTACCTACCTGAGAATACAGCTTTTAAAGCAAAGAAATTGCTTTGTTAGAAAACAATTTTTTTTTCATTGGAGCCTCCAGTGAAAATGATTCAGTGGGATGGGAGTTTGGGAAGAGATAAGAGCGTTGGCGAGTAGCAGCCAGGAGGGATCCCTGTGGAGCCCAGGAAGATTCCCAGGGGTGCGGGTGTGGTGTCAGCCCGACCCCGGGGAGTTCTCCCCCCAGCCCGACCCCGGGGAGTTCTCCCCCCAGCCCCACCCAGCAGCCCCATGCAGCTCTGAAGTCTGTTCTCTGGCAGTGCACAACACCGTTCTAGAACAGTTTCCTGGTCCCTCTATTAACTCAGCATTTGCTTAGTCCCTTTCTTGCCTGCTGGGAGAGTTGACTAGCTCCTTACTGAAAAACCTGAGAGACCCCTATCATAGCAAGAATAACATGCAGGAAGTTTTTTTGTGTGTGTGTGTGTGTGTTTTCCTTCGCTAAGATTATAAGCACCTTAGGAGCAACAGTCGTGTTCTAATCAGTACTTTTTTTTCTTATCACCTGGCACAGAGCCTCATCACGTAGCTTTGTAGTAAATAAATGCTTGAGGATTGAATGCCAGGCCTCCCTAAGAACTGAATAAATCACCTTAAAAGGCAAGAAAGTACGGTTTCAGCTGTTGACAAAACTACGAGAGGAGTCTTTTCTTCTTGGTTAGCTGACTCCCTTCGGCTGTGCTGGGTCTTCGCTGCTGCTCTCAAGTCGTGGCCAGTGGGCCGCTCGTGGGGCCGCTTCCCTTGTTGCGGAGCGAGTCCTCTAGGGCCTGGCTCAGCAGTTGCCGGCGCGGGCTTAGTTGCCCTGAGGCGTGCAGGATCTTCCTGGACCAGGGATTGAGCCTGTGTCCCTGCAGTGGCAGGCAGACTTCAGAAATGAGTTACCAGGGAGGTAATGAATCTTTTTTGTTGTCCTGACAGCATTAACTATGTTCAAATATTCTAGAAGCATTTGTTAGAAGGTTTGAACATGTCCGATAAATAGCACTTTCTCCCTCGAGTTCTGACTGGTGGATAAGAATCGGAAGCTGGAACACTAAAACGCCTTCTTTATATTACTGATAAGCCGCATTCTCCTGAGTCAGCTGACATAAGAGAGCCAGAGTTGCTAACTCCCTGTCCCCAAGGGTGGACCTTGGTGTGGCCCACTGGGAGGGACTTTTTTAAAAGTTGAGGAAAGGTTGATGTGTAGTATTATGTAAGTTACAAGTGTACGCAAAATATAGTGATTCACCATTTTAAAGGTTATACTTCATTTATAGTTATAAAACAGTGCCATATTCACTGTGCTGTGCAGTGTATCCTTGTGGCCTAGTTTATATGACAGAATGGTTCCTGTCTCTCAATCTCCTGCCTCTGTCTTACCCACCCTCCTTCCCTCTCCCCACCAGTAACCTGGTTTGTTCTTTATGTCTGTGAGTCTGCTGCTTTTTTGTCTGACTCACTACTTTGTTGTAGTTTTTAGATTCTACATGTAAGCGATACCATACTGTATTTCTCTGACTTACTTCACTTAACACAATAATCTCCATCCATGTTGTTGCAAATGGCAAAATTTCATTCTTTTTCATGGCTGAGTAGTATTCCATCATATATGTATACTCTGTCTTTATCCATTTATCTGTCGTTGCTTCCATATCTTGACAGTCGTAAATAATGCTGCTAGGGACATTGGGATGCATGTATCTTTTTAAATTAGTGTTTTTGTAGTTTTAGATATATACCCAGGTGTGGAATTGCTGGATCATATGGTAATTCTGTTTTTAGTTCTTTGGGAAACCTCCTGACTGTTTTCTATGTTGAATGTGACAGTCACTCAGTTGTGTCTGACTCTTTGCAACCCCATGGACTGTAGCCTACAAGGCTTTTTTGTCCATGGAGATTCTCTAGGCTAGAATACTGGAGTGGTTTCCATACCTTCCTTCAGGGGATCTTCCCAACCCAGGGATTGAACCCAGGTCTCCCGCATTGCAGGTGGGTTTTTGTTTTTTCCATCTGAACCAGCAGGGAAGCCCTGGTTTTCCATAGTGGCTGCACCAATTTACACTCCCACCTGGAGTGTACAAGGGTCCCCTCTTCTCTGCATCCTCATCAGCCCTTGTTATCTGTGGTCTTTTTGAGGATAGCCATTCTGACAGGTGTGAGGTGATACCTCATTGTGGTTTTGATTTGCCTTCCCGTGATGATTAGCAGTGATCTGTTCACATGCCTTTTGGCCATCTGCATTTCCTCCTGTGGAAGGGATGTTTGAATCCAGGACTAGCACCCTTCCCCAGGGTGTAGAGAGGAGGAGGAAAGAAAGCAGCTCTTCCGAGAGTCCCCAGCCTGCCAGCCTGCCTGCAGCACAGGCTCATTGTCTGACCCACCAGTAGGTGACTGCCTCTGCCTTGAGGGGCAGGCAGGCTGGGGCAGAGGGGCACGAGTATTCCCGTTTAACTTCCTTATTCCATTGGCTCCTTGGTTTTGTACCTTTGACACTCTGGACTTACCTGTGGTTAAGCCTCCCCCTAACCCCGCCCCCGACGCGAAGATGAGCTGACTGCCTGTGGCCATACACCTTCCTTTCTGAGCTTGTTCCTTCTCCCGTCGATTTACCAACCCTCGTTTTTGTTCCTTGTGGACCACTGGGGTGCACACTTGAGTTTGCCCCAGGAAGCTCTCAGATGCATCATGATAATTCATCAGCAATCTGCTCCAAAGCCCCTCTGTATCCTGAACCTAAAGTTCATGTCCTCATGTTTCCCATCCCAGATTCTTTTTGAGTATCCAATATAGCTCACCAGAGCTTTGAAAGAGGATCAAATAACAGAATTAAGATATTCCAATTAAAAAATAACTCCAGCCTTGTACAGATGCCCCATCCTAGAGCTGTATAATGTAGTAAATAAAGTGAATTCTAAAACCCACTTGGATTAAAGTCTTGGTTCTGAGTAATCTTGGCCAGATTACCTAACCTTTTTATGTCTCAGTTTATAATACAGATAATAGTGCTACCTCTTAGGAGTGCTATAGCTGTTGAATAAATTAATACATGGGAAAAAGCTTAGAACCTAGTTTCTGGCACATAGCTAAAATGCATTTATCACTTTAAAAAGTTTTTGTGTATCAACTCTCTCCTACTATGAAAACTCTCAGGGAGAAATTTAAAATTCAGAGATTCAGTCCCTGGCACAACATCAAAGTTGGAGGCTCTAGTCCCATATCAGATTATGTTGGGCTGTGAGTTAACATGCAGAGAATTTGGAGTCCTCCCTGATTCCTTATTTTGTCTTTTGTCTTAGAGAGGTGCTCCGTGCCTGAGTGCAGTTGGGGAGCTCCAGCAGCCCCAGCCTGGCCCCCACCCCTTCCCGCTAGGGTTTGTGGGTTCCCTGGGGCTTCAGGAGTCTCAGTAGTTCAACACCAAGTCTCTCTTGATCTAGAATTCTAACACGTAGGAGTATTACATTATCAACCTTGCAGCCACCAAATTTGGAAAACATGCCCCCCAGCCCTCAGGGCATGAATTCTGAGCAGAACTGTTCCCAGTATTTTGTCATTTGCCAAAGAGAGGGGTGGGGGGCTGAGAGAGAGCATCCTCTGGTTTCAGCTTCAGTTTGTGCCCGTTGTTCTGAGCCCGAGACCTGGCCCCCCCGCCTTTTTTTCTTAAATAAAGTCTTTATTGAATATGTTACAATATTGCTTCTGTCTTTTTCATGTTTTGTTTTTTTTGGCCATGAGGCAAAAAACTCTGACCAGGGATTGAGCCCGAACCCCCTGCATTAAAAGGTGACGTCCTCACCACTGGAGCACCAGGGACGTCCCGAGACGTGTGCCCTTGAGCCCCACGGGCAGAGGTTGCCTGTCCACAGGTGAACTGGGGGAGGAGCCACCTGCGCCTGCCGCCTCCTTTTTCAGGAAGTGACTCCGGGAGGCCTGGGTCTGCGCTCAGCGTTGGAGGCTTGCGGTGGCCGTGCGTCTGTCCTGTCCCGTCTGCAGGGAGCCCGTGTTGCAGGCATTGCCCTGCAGAGCGGTGCCCCTGCTCTGCTTCGGGATGGAGTGGGGGGTGGGGGGACTTTGAGACCTGCGCCTGACGCGGGATGTGGCTTCCCCCGCCTCTCACAGAGAGTCCTGGAATCTGCTCTTTGGGGAGGTGTTTCCTTTTCCTTCCGCTGGTTTCAGGTGGAGCTTGTTTGCAGCAGACTCCTGACGGGGAACTGTGGGTGCCATTCTGGGAGCTGGGGCCAGCGGGGGGTTAGCACCTGGACCCAGTCCCGCGCCCCCTCCTCCGGCTGTGCGCCTGCCACTCTTTGCCTTCAGGCTGTGCTGGCTTATTCCTGTTCCCGCTCTGTCAGGGATGCTCGGATGAGCTTCTGTCTAACCAGCTGCTTTCCCCTAGCACTTGTAAGCTCCTGCTGTGTGCTGTCATTGGTGCAACCCCACAGCCCCCTTTAAACTTTTCCTTCTTTTTTGATCTAGAAGTAGTTTTTCGTCGAGATGTTCCTCTAGATATTTTCCTGTGAGTTCTCCCAAAGCAAGAGACATACAGTTGCTGGGTTCTGGGTGTGCTAAATTTGCTTCTCTTCCCCACACTGGGTGCTCGTATGTTGGAGACGCCCTCCCAGTAGACCAATATAGAATACAGGGCTGGGGTCAGTCTGCCTGGTTCTCCCTGGTTCCCCTTGAATGGGTCTCCTCGATGCTGTGCCTTCTCAGACTGAGCCCTGATTCCATGAACTTTGGAAACGTGTTCCCTCAGGGCATCTTCCTCCCGTCTCCCTGCCTCACTGCCTTCCCGGTTTGTGTAGTCCTTGGCGGAGCTGTCTCCATCTTTAGAGATGCAACTAGGTCCTCAGTTGTCTCACTGCAGGTTCTATACCTGGCTTCAGAAGTGTTTCCCCATTTCTCCTAGAACTGAATCCTGTTGCCTTTTGAAGGAACAATTCCAGTCCTCTAAGATCTTGCTTGTCTTCCTTCAGTAGGAGAGTTTTGGTGTTTTTTTTAAACTCAAGCAAGCACAAAGATACAGCTCCTTCACTTGAGTTCGACTCCAGGCTGTCTCTGGCTCTGTCCACTGAACCAGGCAGCATGATCTCCTTTTCTACCTTTGTCTGGTTATTCCCAAAGGTGTCAGCCTTCTCCAAAGGGCAGCCCTCTCTTCCTCCTGCTTCATCAGTCTGCCTTCCTTTTTTTGTTGTTTTGTTTTAGTTCCTCTTGTCCTGATAGGAAAATGAGAATGTTTCTCTAACCTCTCTGATTTCTGGAGTGAGCCTGATCATTCTAAGGACAGCCGTTAGTGGTTGCCTTCTTCACGCATGCAATACTCTTGTTAGGTTGCTTCTCTGACTCAACCCAAGATGACAGCATGTCTCTTAATAAGAATACCCTTATTACTTCTCTGTGTATAAGAGCTGCTATCCCTGGATGTATCTACCTCTTTGGATCGTGAAAATCTGAAGTGGCAGTTAGCGTTTAGATGGTTGTTAGCTGTGGGGCCAGTGAGTTAGACAGGAATTCTTGAGTCTGTGGACCAACCACATGAAGGTAAACAAACCCTTTCACAGTTCTGACTCCTGGCCATAAAGATAATGCATAAAAAGGAGCAGAATTTGGAGCAGCCTGTCCGTGCTGCCTGCCTGGTGTTGGACTCCGCACAGTTCCCTTCGGATATGCCTTGGAAGCAGATCGTATTCTGGAAGCTCTCTTTGTACTGAAGAGAGCCCTGACTCTGGGATACCTTTTCGTTTTGTTTTCCTCCCCGCTCCCCCTTTTCCTGTGGTGAACTGTGTACCCCCCAGTTTGTTTACCGTTTTGACCATTTTTAAGTGTACAGTTCGGTGGCATGCATCCGCCCGTCACCACCATCCGCCCCCAGAGCTTTTTTGTCTGCCCAAACTGAAGCCCTGCCCCCATTAGCAGCGGTTCCTCCTTGGTCCCTTGTAAACATTATTCCACTTTCTGTCCCGAATTTGACTGTCGCGTCCCCGCACGTGTGGACTGATACTGCATCTGTCCTTCCGGGGGCTTCCCTGGGGTCAGCGGTTGGACTCTGCCCTCCGCTGCACGGGGCTGCGGGCTCGATCCCTGGTCCGGGGGCTGTGATCCTTAATGTCGTGTGGCGCAGCCAGAAAAAGGATTTTAAATTCTAATAAAGCACACATAAAGATGGTTTTAAAAGCTTGTCCTTTTGTGACTGGCTGATCTCATTACACAGGTGTCCTCAAGGCTTCGCCGTGTGGTAGCAGGCGTCAGAATGCCCTCCTGTGTATAGCCCGTGTGTATTCTTTCGCCTGGCTGTGGTTTGGGGTCGTCTCCTTCTGGCTGCTGTGGGCACCGCCGCTGTGATCCAGGTGTAGAAATACCTGTTGGAGCGCTCCCGTCTCTGCCGGGCGTGAGCCCGGGAGCGGGTCCGCCGGACCATGCTGCAGTTGCGCTCGCTCTGCTGGGGAACCACCACTGCGTCTCCCGCCGAGACAGCCTTTCTCTCGCAGCCCCCTCTGCGTGCCTGCTTGGGCCACAGCCGCGTGGCCTTGCTCCTCAGCGCGTGCGGGGCCAGGCCTTCAGGGCTCGCTTGCCTTTGCTTACGGCCCGGCATCAGCCAGTTGTATCAGGTTGCTGGGTGGAGCCGCGTGGCCCGCTGCGGTGGAAGCCCAGCGCGGCCCTGAGGCTGCCAGGCCGGCCGCGGGAGCTCCAGCGGCTGCCGGCGGCGGAGGCCAGGAGCGGTGCGTAGGGCAGGCGGCTGCCGCTCGGCCCCCCGGACGTCTTCGTGGCCCGCGTTCACTTGCTCTCCACACTGCCTTGTCTTCCATGATTCCTGGCACATGTCAGGGGTGGGGCAGTGGGACGTGGCGTGCAGCAAATGACTTTTCTCTCCTTTCTTGAGTTCTGAACCAACTATGAGGTAAGACAAGAAGAATTTGAAGCATTTAAGAAAAAAAAAGTCTTTCTCTTGGAAACCAAAGGTTTGGGGGAGAGCAGTTTCTTTTCTAACAACTTAAAAAAAAAATCATTGCTTTGTCTTCACTGGGTCTTGGTTGCAGCTTACGGGCTTAGATGCCCTGAGGCTTGTAGGATCACACACGCGTCTCCTGCGTTGCAAGGCGGGTTCTTAACCACCGGGCCACCAGGGAGTTTCCCCCTTCTAACAGCTTGGACGTGGAGAAAATGCTTTCCAGAAGCATTGCAGTTACTTGTTGTGGCATTTCATTAATTGAAGGCATTAATTGTGAATAAACGAGCAAATGCTCCCTTTTGAGGGTCTGTTTGGTGTGCTGTGATTGGCACATGTGTCTCATTTAACACTGCTGACATGGCTATGAGCCCATTACTGCTGCTTTGTGCAAGAGAAAGCTGAGTCCTGGAAAGGGCTCATAGAGAATATATGGGTTTCATGTCTGGGGTTTCATCTTGAATCTGTGTTGACTGCAAAGTCACTTGGCCACACTGTCTTTTCTAAAAGGATGTGGGTAAGGAAAAATATGATATGTGTGCTGAACCCTTTTCCCTTAAAATAAATAAAAAACTCATTTCAGCCAGTTCTTAGGGTTTTACAGATATTTTAGTGAGTGGGCCTGGCAACGTAAGTAAATTTTGTTTCAATTTTGAAATTGGAACATATTTGAAAACCAGGTTAGTGGTAGTGGTGAGGGCTGGTGAATATTAGGGTCAGTTAACCCTGCAGCACCTGTTGGTGAGTCAGCTGAGCCTGTCTGCTACATAGAAAACACTAATTTAGGATTTTGGTTAAAGAGCGTGAGTGCTGTGTAGAAGGGGCCAGGAAAGTACTCATTTTATACAAAGTCATTTCATGTATGGCATGTGTTTTATGTAGCAGCGTGTGAGTGGGCCCCTGGCTGGAACGGTCACATGACTTAATGTGGGCTCTGTGTTCCAAAGACACATGTGGGCAGAAGAGATTTACCTGTGTAAGACCCTTACAGTTTAGCATTCAGAATTGTGAAAGGGGGATGTCCCTGGTCTTCCAGTGGCTAAAGCTCCGGGCCCCCAATGCAGGGAGCCCAGGTTTGATCCCCGATCAGGGAGCTAGATCCCACATGCCACAACTAAGCGTTGATGCTGCAGATAAAGATCCTGCATGGTGCAACTGAGATGGGGTGCAACCACACAGATAAACATGTTTAAAAAAGCATTAATACGTGTGGGAAAAAACCATGAAAGGGAATCTAAGTAATTGGCGTTTATCCAAGTAATTCTTTTATATTTCATACATCATATTCTTTAAATGAGAAGTTTTCATGTGTGAGCATTAATGGGAACATTATAATTTCAAGTCTCTTGTTCATTCTGTCTGAATTAATGCATTATAGACTCTCCTATACTTTTGCTCAGGGTATGGTTTATTCTTGTTAATGAAAATCATCTCAAATGACTTAGAACTTCCAACCCATCGTTTTCTTTCCTGTTTGATTGCACACAGCCCCCCAGGATCACCCGGTGCCCCTGGCCTGGTACACAAAGACCAGTTTTTTAAGCAAGTAGAGGGAGGTAATCTTTTTCTCTTTCTTCTCATTCCCTAAGTTTAGACCACTGCTCCACAAAACCTTGGAAATACATGCCATACAAAAGGCATCTTAACAGGGCTATTTTCTCGACAGTTACATTCTCTCTTGGTGTGGTTTTCTAAGACATGTTTTCATGTTGAAGAATTTTTAGGCTTGCAGGTACCTGAGAAATAGACATGACCTGTTCAGATTTACATGGAAAAAGTACTGATGACTTAAAAAAAGAACTGCCTTTATTTTCCCCCTGTTTTTCCACTAGCTAACCTTTGGGGACCTTTGATAAGTCATTTAAGTCCTGCAGACTGCATCTTTTCCCACCTTCTAAAAGGGAATAATACCATACACTTAGGTGAAACCTGGTGAGGAGTTATTGTTTCTTTTAACTGTGAAATTTATGAACTAATCTGTTAAAATAATGTGGGCGGTTTCAAAAGAAAAGTAGGCTTTTGTTTTTCTTCTATAACCTGCCTAGGCACACTTCTGCATAAGCGGTCAAAACAAATGTTCTCAGCTGGGGTTCTTTCAGAGAGAATTTATTATCCCAGTGTGCCAGTGGGTGCCCCAAGTGGCTCATGTTTTGGTTATAGTTTCCCTTTTTAAGTCAAGAGTGCAGTACTTTTGTTCTTTTGGGAAAGAGACATGAACATTTAAATTTCTCTTTGAGAGAAGTCTGCATCTTCAAGGGCAGTTTGGAGGCCCTGGCACTCCCCCTTGTGGGGTTCTGAAATATGTTGTGCAGCAAGTAAAACGACATTGTTTTTGTTATGTTTCCAACTGATAGAAGAATCTTATTTAACATGGTAAATTATAAATTCATTCATCCAGAAATTTGCCAAGAATGACAAAATAGTGGGCTCTAAAATCACATCAAATCACTGTGCAGGTAGGATTTTTAATCATGCTCAAAGTCATAATTTTGGACTTTTTAACTTTATTTCAACATGTGAAGAAATATTTTAGGCAAGAAAACTGCCTTGTCAGATTAAGACCTATACTTAAAATGTTGTAGGTTAGTTAAACAAAACCCAACCTAGTCGTAAATGTGTTGACATGGGTTTCTCTTTAAACTTTTTTGGGGAAAGTTTCAGATCAGAAGCACGTGCCAAATATCAGGTTTCGATGCACTTTTACTTTAGAGCCATTGTTTGTTTTCAGTGTCTTGCCCCTGGCAGACTTGCACCTTTCAAGCGCGCATTTGTGACTGTGCGCCTACTTCTCTTCGAACATCACCTTTCTGCTGAGTGCAGATTAAGCGGTAGGCACTGTGGTAAAAGCGTCAGACAGGGTGCTTGTGGTCTGCTGGGGAAGGCAGACCTTGAACAGGTTGCTCAAGTGGCATGACCTATGACCTGAGTGTGAGTACTGGCATTTACCCCCGTGGTGGTGTCAAGGACCACCTCCCTAAGAGTAGTGTTTTTGCTGGGACATGAAGGATGGATTTGCTTTAGTTAGGTGGAGCAGAGGGTGGGCTGGGAATGAGAGCTCAAGGCAAAGAAACAGCACGTTCAGAGGTTGATGGCAAAGTGGAGCAGAAAGTAGATGAAGCTGAAGCATAAAGACGGAGGTGAGAAGAGGCAGGTGCCCGGGTTTCATAAGCACAGTAAAGGACCTGGGGCTTTGGCTGAGCAGGAAGTCTGATGGGTTCTGAGAAGGTAGTGATGTGACCTGGTTTGTGTGTTAGTGAACTCATTCCTAATGCATTGTGGACGGTGCAGAGGAGAGGACGGACGTAGACGCGCGGAGACTGGGAGGGAATTACTGTGCCAGCCTGCCCGCCCCCTCCTCCTCCCTCCCACCAGGGCAGAGGGCCATCAGCTTGTTCTGTAAAGGCCCAGACAGGCGTTTTCATTTTGGTTTTGTAGGCTGTAGACTCTACTATGCCGTCCTAGCCTGAAGGTGGCCATAAGCAGAGCGTGGCCATGTTCCAGCAGGACTTTATCTGCAAACGCGGGCTGGCTCTGGCTCTTGGCACAGTGTGCGACCTGATCCTTAGGGCGTTTGTTAGGAATGGAGGGAAGTGAACTCCTTAGGGCGTTTGTTAGGAATGGAGGGAAGTGAACTCGTCCCCTTACTGCACCTGGGTGCTGGGTTGTGGGGAGGCTGAGCGAGAAGGCACGGGGAGGTTGGTTTCCAGGTTTCTGGCTTAAACAGTGCTGTGAGGAGTGGGGTGCAGGCGCGGCCCGCAGCCTGGCTCACGTGTGGGCATGCAGAGAAGCCTGCATCAATGGGATAAGCATGGGTGGCTGCGGCGTGTCGGGCGAGAGGGCAGGGGACAGAGACCGAACCTGCAGCGACTGTAGCGTCGGTGCTGGAGGCAGGAGAGCCAGTGGACATGCCAAAGAGCACAGAGACACGCCGGGACATGGCCAGGTGGGGAACAGGCTCGGGCAGAAGAGGGGCTCCCTTTGGATTGGGACACGAGCGGTCACTTAGAGCTTGGTTAACAGTTTCAGAGAGTAGGTGGGCTTTCTTTGTTTATGTGTTTGGTGTGGGACTTGGCTCACAGAAGGACAAATTAAAAAATCTAGCTCTTCCTTGAGATTTGAGGTTCAGTTTACAGATGATATTACTGTTTAAATCTAACTGATATGAGCAGTTACTTTTTTAAAATTAATTTATTTTAGTCGGAGGCTAGTTACTTTACAATATTGTGGTAGTTTTTGCCATATACCGACATGAATCACTCACAGGTGCTCATGTCTCCCCCCAGCCTGCTTCATGCATAGAACTTGCACTGGGCATCTGTTTAACATATGGTAATATACATGTTTCAATGCTTTTCTTTCAAACCATCCCATCCTTGCCTTCTCCCACATAGTCCAAAAGTCTGTTCTTTACATCTCTGTCTCTTTTGCTGTCTTGCATATAGGGTCATCATTACCTTCTTTCTAAATTCCATATATATGCGTTAATATACTGTATTGGTGTTTCTCTTGAGCGATTACTTTTTTTTTTCATTTATTTTTATTAGTTGGAGGCTAATTACTTTACAGTATTGTAGTGCTTTTTGCCATACATTGACATGAATCAGCCATGGATTTACATGTGTTCCCCATCCTGGTCCCCCCTCCCACCTCTCTCCCCATCCCATCCCTCTGGGTCTTCCCAGTGCACCAGCCCTGAGCACCTGTCTCATGCATCCAACCTGGGCTGGCGATCTGTTTCACACTTGATAATATACATGTTTCAATGCTATTCTCTCAGAACATCCCACCCTCGCCTTCTCCCATAGAGTCCAAAAGTCTGTTCTATACATCTGTGTCTCTTTTTCTGTTTTGCATGTAGGGTTATCGTTACCATCTTTCTAAATTCCATATATATGTGTTAGTATACTGTAATGGTCTTTATCTTTCTGGCTTACTTCACTCTGTATAATGGGCTCCAGTTTCATCCATCTCATTAGAACTGATTCAAATGAATTCTTTTTAATGGCTGAGTAATATTCCATGGTGTATATGTACCACAGCTTCCTCATCCATTCGTCTGCTGATGGGCATCTAGGTTGCTTCCATGTCCTGGCTATTATAAACAGTGCTGCGATGAACATTGGGGTGCACGTGTCTCTTTCAGATCTGGTTTCCTTGGTGTGTATGCCCAGAAGTGGGATTGCTGGGTCATATGGCAGTTCTATTTCCAGCTTTTTAAGAAATCTCCACACTGTTTTCCATAGTGGCTGTACTAGTTTGCATTCCCACCAACAGTGTAAGAGGGTTCCCTTTTCTCCACACCCTCTCCAGCATTTATTGCTTGTAGACTTTTGGATAGCAGCCATCCTGACTGGCGTGTAATGGTACCTCATTGTGGTTTTGATTTGCATTTCTCTGATAATGAGTGATGTTGAGCATCTTTTCATGTGTTTGTTAGCCATCTGTATGTCTTCCTTGGAGAAATGTCTGTTTAGTTCTTTGGCCCATTTTTTGATTGGGTCATTTATTTTTCTGGAGTTGAGCTGGAGGAGTTGCTTGTATATTTTTGAGATTAATCCTTTGTCTGTTGCTTCATTTGCTATTATTTTCTCCCAATCTGAGGGCTGTCTTTTCACCTTGCTTATAGTTTCCTTTGTTGTGCAAAAGCTTTTAAGTTTCATTAGGTCCCATTTGTTTATTTTTGCTTTTGTTTCTAAAATTCTGGGATGTGGGTCATAGAGGATCCTGCTGTGATTTATGTCGGAGAGTGTTTTGCCTATGTTCTCCTCTAGGAGTTTTATAGTTTCTGGTCTTACATTTAGATCTTTAATCCATTTTGAGTTTATTTTTGTGTATGGTGTTAGAAAGTGTTCTAGTTTCATTCTTTTACAGGTGGTTGACCAGTTTTCCCAGCACCACTTGTTAAAGAGGTTGTCTTTTTTCCATTGTATATCCTTGCCTCCTTTGTTGAAGATAAGGTGACCATAGGTTCGTGGATTTATCTCTGGGCTTTCTATTTTGTTCCATTGATCTATATTTCTGTCTTTGTGCCAGTACCATACTGTCTTGATGACTGTGGCTTTGTAGTATAGGCTGAAGTCAGGCATGTTGATTCCTCCAGTTCCATTCTTCTTTCTCAAGATTGCTTTGGCTATTTGGGATTTTTTGTATTTCCATACAAATTGTGAAATTATTTGTTCTAGTTCTGTGAAAAATACCATTGGTAGCTTGAGCAATTACTTTTTTTTTTTTTTTGAGCAATTACTTTTTAAAAGAGCCTTTGCTAAATGTTTGGTCCTATTTACAAGATTGGTTAAGTGAAAGTGAAAGTCGCTCAGTCATGTCCGACTTTGCAGCCCCTTGGAAAACTATACAGTCCATGGAATTCTCCAGGCCAGAATACTGGAGTGGGTAGCCTTTCCCTTCTCCAGGGGATCTTCCCAACCCAGGGATCAAACCATTGGTAGCTTGAGCAATTACTTTTTTTTTTTTTTTGAGCAATTACTTTTTAAAAGAGCCTTGGCTAAATGTTTGGTCCTATTTACAAGATTGGTTAAGTGAAAGTGAAAGTCGCTCAGTCGTGTCCGACTTTGCAACCCTATGGAAAACTATATAGTCCATGGAATTCTCCAGGCCAGAATACTGGAGTGGGTAGCCTTTCCCTTCTCCAGGGGATCTTTGCAACCCAGGGATCAAACCCAGGTCTCCTGCATTGCAGCCAGATTCTTTACTGTTTGAGCCACCAGGGAAACCCAAATGCATACACAGGTGCCAAGGGAAATCTACCAAGGGAAAACCCCTCAATCCTCTCAAATATAATTATATATTGACATTTTTAAAAATATGTTTTACTGAGATATAGTTCACATTTGTTGCTGTTCAGTTGCTAAGTCATGCTGATGCCTTGCAACCCCATGGACAGGAGCACATCAGGCTCCTCTATCCTCTACTATCTCCTGGAGTTTGCTCAGTTCATGTCTGTTGGGTCAGTGATGCTATCTGTCTCATCCTCTGCTGTCCTCTTCTCCTTTTGCCTTCAATCTTTCCCAGCATCAAGGTCTTTTCCAAAGAATTGGCTCTTCCCATCAAGTGGCCAAATTATTGGAGCTTCAGGTTCAGCATCAGGCTTTCCAATGAATATTCAAGGTTGATTTCCTGTAGGACTGACTGACTTGATCTCCTAGGTGTCCAAGGGATTCTCAAGAGTCTTCTCTAGCACTACAATTCGAAAGCATCAATTCTTCGGCGCTCAGCCTTCTTTATGGTCCAACTCTCACATACATGACTACTGAAAAAAACCATAGCTTTGACTATACAGACCTTTGTAGGCAAAGTGATGTCTCTGTTTTTTTAATACACTCTCTAGGTCTGTTACAGTTTTCCTTCCAAGGATAATTATTCCATTTAAAGTGTACAAGTTAATGGGTCTTAGTCCTTCCACAGAATTGTGTGACCATCACCACAACCACACACTGCTTTTTAAAGAACATGCTACCTGAATACCAATGATGAAGCTATTAATGAGCTTTGCAAGAAAATTTGTTTTTACAGAGATGGAGACTAAGACAATGACCAAAGAAGCCAGTCACTTAACCTGTACACAAAACCTTAATTTGTCACTCTCATTATACATTCTCAAAACTACCCCTTGAATTTCCACAAGAAATTAACAGATTTTGCTGTCTTTAGACTGAAGGTGATCCCCAGAGCCACAGCTCTGAGCTGGATTATACCCAGCAGTTGCAAAAAGAAAAGATATTTTATTATATACATTTTGGGTTGTTACAAATATAAATATTTTTTTCCCTCCTATTCACCCCCATTAACTTTTTTTTTAAACTGAGAAATTCATGGATCTACAACTAATTTATTCCCAAGGGACAGAAACAACTATATATTCATCACATTCTTTCTGCTTGAGTAAAAACTTCATTTTATGTTAAAGTTGAGACAATAAGTAGAGATTGTTGACATCAGTTGAGAAAGAAAAATTGAGGTTACCGCAAAGATACCTCCTGGGAAAACATTAGATCCCTTTGAAGTTTTTATACTAATGGACATGACAAACAGATGTTTGAAACACCAAAACCACAACTGCAGGTAAAACATGAAACCTGTTTGATTTACGGTTTAAGGTGTTGCCATCTTGAATTCTGCCCTACAATCTCTTAACAGAACATAGCTGTTTAAGGAGGCAAGTGAGGGAATCCACCACATACTTTNGGTTCTGTTTTATGATTTGCAGAAGCTCAGTTGACCAAGTCATGCTGTTTGTATTTTTCATGGTTGATGGTATGTTCCTGGTATGGCTTGATCCTGGATGGCTGACAAGTTAGAGTATCATTAATTTCAGTGTCCTGTCTATAAATTTCACCTTTGAAATTGTGTGTCCTACGTAACAAGAAGAACCTTGTTTATCAGTTTAAGTTTCTAAGAGATTTTATAGAGGACATATGGTCCATGAATTTTATCATGTCGGCCTTGCTATTATCCATTGGTTATCAATACTGTTCTGGTACCAATATACAGTCTTACATTGGCAATCTTAACTGTTGATCAGACACGATTTGCTTTCCCATCCTCGGAATTGATGATAGTAGTTGCAGGCCAGCAGGAGAGCTTTCCTATGCTGGGGTTCCTAGTTTCTGTTGATTCCCAGAATGGCCAAGTGGACATCAGTGTAGAGAAGACTCCCAGAGCATGGGGAGCATTTCTGTTGGTGACGATTCAAGGGAAGCCTGCATCCTGAGATCCAGGGTTTTATTCTTCCCAAGTGTGGTTGTCAAGTAAGGAAATGAGGGGCTGTCTGGTCAGTAGGAGACCTCAGCTTTATTTGAAGCTCTCCAGTTGGGTAGTTTCATCTAAAGGGAGTCGAGTATGACCCTGCACTCAGACTTTTTCTGCTAGTAGTTCATCATTAGAGAGCCTGTGTTGACAGGTCAGTCTTTTTGCCAGAGACCTTTTTCTTGTGACTTCAAAGAATACCCACCAGAAAACAGCTCCTCATTTCAATTTTAGTGTTGGAAGATGAGTTGCGTTTTTTAATAGAAGTGTGTTGTGTGATATTTTAACTTGTGTTAAAATGTGAGAATGAGATGGCCCTTTGTTTTAGTCTCGTTACTTTGATTCTTTTGAACAGATGATTCAGCAGTGAATATGTATATATTACATTCAGGAAACAGCCTTATATGGATACAGGTAATTTAAATACTTGTGTAAAGTATAGTTTAAACTTACAAGAGTATATTTAATTACAGAACGTGAGGATTTGCAAGAGAACACTTGTCTCTGTTACCTTTTGCTTCCATTGAAGCCTGTTTTCCCTTGCTTGAGCCCATATTTAGATGAAGGTTGTCTGCACACCTTCGTGCTATTACAGAATAGCACGTGTCATTACCCCTTCTGCTGAACAGTTGCTATCTATGCCAGTCTAAGCTACTCAGCCGTTTTAACAGGGTTGATTCTACCTGGATCAGCCTCCACCCCGCTAAGAGCAGTATTGTGGATTATTTTTGTTACAGGATGTACATCATTTCTCCCAGAGAGATGTCCTGTCTCTGCAGTTTGAACCAGTGCTCCTACCTACTTCCACAACGAACTTTACAAAAATTGCTTCTTTTACTTGCAAAGGTACAGATTTTTAAAATGTTGGCGACTGTCTTTTTGTTTTCGTTATTTAGTTCTTGTGACTCTAGTTCTTTCTGTGATGACTCCACTACAGCCTAGGCAAGGCTTTAGGAAGTGAATGGGCTTCATTTCAATTCCACAGCCTTAATAGTTATAAGAGGTAACCTGATGGAAGAACTGGTGGTGTGCGGCTTTTATGATGCCACGTGAGTAGGATTTTGAGTTTATAGATCATAGCTCAGTTGGTTTGAAAGGCCAGGTTGTACATGTGTGATGGACAGACTACTTTTACAGGTAGGGTTGTGCATCCCCAGTTTGGTCTCTTTGTATAGAAGCCATGCAGGATATCTAGTGACTGTCAACCCAGTCCTATCCTAGTCTCGTTTATAGTTCAGAAGGTTTCTACAAAGGAATGAAATGCAGGTTAAATATCTGAAAACAAGACCCGACTCACTTATATTGAAAGAAATGTTAATTTAAAGCAGTAAGTGAGATATAACTTAGGACTAGGTCTATGAAGATTAAAAAGATTTTAGTATTCTGTGTTAGTAATGACTAGAAAGAAAACAACACTGATTTTTTGATATGAGTATAAATTGATACAGGCTATTTGGGAGGGAAAATTGGCAATTTCTCTGAAAACTTAAGATGTGCATGTATGCTCTCTGATCCTGAATTCTACTTCTCTTGGAGTTTATCCTGGGAGTGTATCTTATGAGAGATACACTTGTATATATTCAGAATTGTAATAACAAAGATATGCATTGTCTGTGGCAACAGAACAGGAGATTGGTTAAATTGTAATTCATCTGCATGGGGATGGGGGACTAGACCTTTTTAGGTGTTCAGAATCATACACAGGCGTGCAGTGTCGGCAGCGTGGTTCTCAGGGTCCCTGTGCATTTGCATGTGTTAGAGCACTAGAAGGATGCTCGGGAGTCTGCTGCCACTTGTTCCCTTGTCTCGGGAAAGGTAGACTTGTATTTTCACATCTTTTTGTTAGTGTTTGAATTTTAGGAGGGGAACATATATTAACATACAGCTATAAAAAAGTCAGGTATTAAAAAAAAAAAAAGTCAGGTGTTAGCATCAGAGTTAAGGATTCAGTACCAGTGTGATGGTGTCCTGACCTGGCTCAAGGAACACATATGGGTGATTGATGAATCAGCAGTGTTTTGGCAGCGAGGTCCCACTTTGGTTCTGAGCCTCCTCCGTGATCTTGTTTGACCTGTTCATTTCTGGCTTACACCTCCACACTCATCTCTTCACGCACCCTAGTGGGCTCGACTGTTCACTTTTGTCGTCTCTGCAGACCTAAGGACTTGCCTGTTAGCTCACATCAGTCGTTCAGTCGTGTCCGACTCTTTGTGACCCCATGAATCGCAACACACCAGGCCTCCCTGTCCATCACCAACTCCCGGAGTTTACTCAAACTCATGTCCATTGAGTCGGTGATGCCATCCAACCGTCTCATCCTCTGTCGTCCCCTTCTCCTCCTGCCTTCAGTCTTGCCTCTTAAGATCTTTACAAAAGCAGAGCCACAAAGCATTGAGTCTCTCTTTTCCTCCAAAAGAAGAAATGAGAAGTTGGTTTAGCAACGAGAGGTAGTACTGTGTTCTGGGTAACTGACAATCAGTCAGTAAGGAGAAAAGATAGTGTTCAAGAAAGGATTTTCCCATTTATATCTTATGCGCAGTTTTAATGGAGACAAAAGTGTGGAGTAATTAAAATATTATAAATAAATAAAACAGTTATTTTCATTTGGGCAAATGAAAGAAAAGATACTTACTCTTCACCTTTATTTCCTTCTGCCTCCCAACAGCTCCGTCCTGTGACAGCGGGGTGAGAGAAGACAGAAAGAAAAAAAACACTCCAACACTAAAAGCTTGCCTCTCCTCCCCTGTGGTTCAAGGGTGGGTTTCATTCCTCTTTCCCTGGAATTGTTTGGTTCCCTGCCCCAACCCAGCCCAGGGGTGATTTAACAACATAAGTGATACTTGCGTGATTCTCTCCCTGGACTTGCCTTCCCCAAGTTAGCAATGCTAGCAGGCTGTGAAAGGGTGGTTTGCAGGGTGGGAAAGGGGAAGCTGAATGATGGGGGTGGCGGATTGGATCTGGGCCAGGCAGCTGTTGTGTGGAAGGAGGAAAGCATATTCCCACCACATTTCTGAGTTACATTCGGGGCCTGGTTTCTGCCTGGTGGCCTCTATGAGCTGTCCTGGTGCTGGCCACACTGCACCCTTGGGCCTTCAGATGCTCCGCTTGTGGGCAGGAAGGCTGGAGAAGGCGCTGACATTCATTCTGTGATGCTTTTATGCAATGATTGTGTTTTGTTTAGGTTAGGTTAGGGTTATATGCGACTGTTGTCTTGCAGTTAGAGGCTCATTCTCATCCTTGGGGTTGTCTCTACCACGGCAATGATGGCATGCCTGGCCTGTGTTCACAGGTATTTTCGAATGGACCCTTCTGCAACCCACTTTCACATAGAGAATCACGAGAATGCTTCAGGGCTTTGGTCAATGTGGTACCTCAACCATTTTGACCATGGTGTTGTATTAAATGATGTGTTTGTTTCCAAGGAGACCAAGCACATTTTAAAGGTACATATGGTATTTTTATTCAAGTTTTAGCCTATTTTAAGCTTTGTTTAAGGTCAAATACTATGAAATTAATTTTTTATAGAAACCTTTCATTTACAAATTTTAAAGCAAGTATGTTTCCTTTAACATTTTCAGAATTACTTCTAGGCTCTCTTTATTTTTTCAAACTATTGTTCAAGGAGCTCAAAGGGACCAGGATATATCCCATTAAAGATATTTGTTATTACCATTATTTAAAAATACTGTAAATTATAATTTATCCTAAGAAAATTACATTTAGTAAAAACAAGCCTCATTCATGATAAAATAGTAGGTTTTGGTAAAATACCGGCTATGAACATGTCAAGATTACTTTTGTGAAATTTAAAAACAGTTGCATGTTAAATATTAAATCTATTATTTATAGAAAAATATGTCAATATTTGACCTGGAAATAATTGAGTAACATTTTATTTCTCAAAGTATAGAAGAACTTTAGTATCACACAGTATGATGATTTTAATCATAATTAGCATTAGTTAGGAAAGTAATTTCTCTTACTTCTTTTCTTTTTAGATTCTGAATTTCACTGGCCCTTTATTTCTACCTCCAGGCTGTTGGAAAATATTTTCTTTGAAACTTGCTGTTAAAGACATTGCCATAAATCTATTCACCCATGTATTTTTGACTACAAACATAGGTGCTGTTTTTGCAATACCTCTTCAGATTTACTCACCGCCCACCAAGGTATTGTTTACACACTCCATGTGTGTTATAACTTTTGTAATAATTACTATTTCTTCTTATTAGCTTACCTTATGGTGCTTGGATTTTATTGATGTAGTTGACCTCATATTTTCTAAGGCTGTCTAAGAAATTAATGGATATTACCAGGCCAGTCTTAGATGATAAATTGTTTAGTATGGAAATCTATTTGAAAACAGCTTCTAGTTTTCATAAAGTAATACATGAAGTAATTTTCAAGTGAAATAAGGCATTACAAGTCAATAGATCTCATTTTCACTTATTTCCAAAATGAGCAAGGAATATGTGCTTGCTATAGTAAACACATTTGTGCCATTAGCACATATTTGCAGTGATTTCAAATAAACTAAATTGTTAAATGCTTTATTTAGACCTCTGGTAAGTGACACTCAGCTGCTCATAATCCTTGAATTTCCTTAGTGGGCCATAATCTAAAGCCTGAAAGGGTTCGCGATTAAGCAAATACTTTCTAAAGTCTTTGTATATATTGTATTTAATTTAGGTCTTATCTTAAACATGTCTCATTTTTTCTTAATGTTTATTTCTTTTCATTTAGTTACTGTTATTGCTTCTTTTTGATCCAAGCTCTTCTGTATAATGCTGGGTTCTGATTTTTCACTATGAGACATTCATACAACCATCTTTATGATTTTTCTCACTTATTAGCATTGGTGTTTCATAGATAGAAGTGCCTCATGTTTTGCTAAAAACTTAAATTAGGGCTTCTAAAAGTATGCTAAACAAAATGTAAGGTTAATTTTATTAATCCATATCTTGAGTAGGGGAGGTTTCTTAGAAATTTCCTTTTTCCATCAAGGGCTGCATATGAGAAGAGTGACTGGGAGGGAGCAGGCAGGCTGCAGGCATGTGTGGAAGAGGCGATCTGTGCTTTCCCAACTTAGGAAGTGGGACGTTCATTTAAATGTCCTGAACAGCTTAGGAGTTATGATGGATTAGACTACAGTGTTTTAGAAACCCTGCTGAGAATATCCTGAGACTAATTTAATCTTTAATTTAGAAGGCAGCTTGGTGTCTGTAGGGCCCTGGGGGTGTCGCTGTGGGTGTTGATTATTGCACAGAATCCACTGTAGTTTCCCTGCTGTGAGAGACAGTCAGAGCTCTCAATCAAGGAGAAAGAAGGCCAAGAAATCACTTCCTAGTTGTTTGGCTTCTGGTTAAAAGGAAGTTCGTGGAGGTGGAGGCCCATGTCTGCTATGCGTTTGAGTGCATTAGGATTTTTGTGTTGAGTGTTGTGTTTTAAGTTATTCATATATTACTTTTCAATCTAGGAAGGGAGTCTGGGTTTTGAAGTGATAGCACATTGTGGCATGCATTATTTCATGGGAAAATCAAAAGCAGGTAAGTATTTTGCCCTTAGGCTTTCTGTAGAACTCTAGTTTTGGGTGGGGTGGGAGGTAGTGAGGAAAATTTGCATTTGTAGATGGAATAATTAGTCCTTTAACATCATTGCATCATATTCTATTCTTTAAGAGCATGATCATTAACGGAATGACTTGAAGTTATTAAGAATCCTCCAGAACCATCTGAGGTGCCTGTGTAATTAACGCCCCCTTAAGTCTTAATCTCCACTTCTGTAAGGGATTTTTTCAAACTCGATGTTTGATCATCATAGCAACCTTGTCGCCAGGAACAATTGGGCTCTGATTCTTTTATAAAAGGGCTGACTAGAAGTTAGTAAAATAATAATAATAATAACAATTTGAAATTGTGTTTGAGAAGTTAGTATAAGCATCTTATAGGGAGCACTCATTGTTGTGTGAGACTGGAGGCCCGGGTGTTGAGAAAGCTGTTCCAAGTTCCCTTCCTGCCTGTTGACTTATTAAAATATATAACCTAGGGAGAGAGTTAGAGCACAGCGGTTTCCTTTGGATGACTCCCACTTTCCCACCCTTGCCTTTCAGCACAGACAAGGCAGGCAGACCAGCAGACAGGGCCAGTTCATGAGTGTAAACATGTGCCTTTGGGCTGAGCCCTGCTCACAGCCGTCGTCTCTGAGGGCTGCCGCCTGTTTGCGCGTTGGCCTTCTGAAGCCTGGTGACCCAGCTCAGAGACGTCTAGCACTTATGTGACGCAGTTTAGCCTTTTAGATTTAAAGCTGTTGAACATGGTCTTGAGTATGATTTTTACCTTGTTTCAGGCTGTATTCATGAGCCATGTGTCTTTTATGTTACTATCTTCACATAATTCGATTTAGTTTTGTTTTATACATGTTTCTTTGATTTGATATCTCATTTGCCATTGAGTTAGAGGGACTTGTAGTAAAGCAATTAGCGGACAGGAGTCACTGATGACTCTACTGTCCTCTGGGTTTGAGAAGTTTTAGCCCTCAACCCTTGGCATTATTTACCAAGTGAATTATGTTTCCTGTGCATCTAAACAGTAAGTCTGATCTAACTTGTAGAAAATCCTAACTGGGAAGGGAGCCTTTCTCTGGATCAGTCTACCTGGGATGTGGATTCCGAACTTGCAAATACATTATATGAAAGATGGAAGAAATTAAAACATGGTGACGTCTGCAAGTATGTTTTCACCTCTCTTTGTTTCTTTTATTCAGCGCTGGGGGGACACTTTAACATAATCTTTGTTGAAATTTCAATACTGAATTTTTAATATCCAGCCTTTATTTTGACAAATTTCAAACCTCAGAAGAGTTGAAAAGTATAGTATGATGAGTACTCACATATTCCTAATTTGGACTCAGCAGATGTTTACATCTTACCACTTTTGCTTTCTCTCTCTCCATCTGTGTCTATATGCACACAGACATATTGAAAGTAAGCTGTAGATACCATGATACTTCAACCCTTAGTTCTTTATTAGGAAAGACTTTCTTTCCTGAGAAACATTCTCCTGCATATAACTTCACTGTCATTACATGCCCAAGAAACTCAACACTGATGCAGTTATATGAACTAATAAACAGTCCAGATTCACATTTCCCTAGTGTGAAAGTGAAAGTGTTAGTCGCTTAGTCAGGTCCAACTCTTTGTGACCCCATGGACTGTAGCTTCCCAAGCTCCTCTGTCCCTGGAATTCTCCGAAAGAATACTGGAGTAGGTAGCTCTTCCTTTCTCCAAGCGATCTTCCCAACCCAGGGTTTGAACCCAGGTCTCCCACGGTGCATGTGGATTCTTTACCATCTGAACCCAGAAAAGCCCCTAGTTGACCCCAAAATATCCATTATAGCTGTCTTTTCCTTTTTTTAAAATCCGGGATGCATTCAAGGATCATGCACTGTATTTAGTCATCATGTTTCCTTAATTTTCTTCAGTGCCCCCACCTTTCCTCATCTTTCATAGTGTAATGTTTTAAAGCATCATAGCCAGCTGTCTTATGGGACATTCAACACTCTGGATTTTTGGGGATTGCTTTTTCAGGTTTGCATTCCTGTTAAACATTTGGGGGAAGAGTACTAATTACTTGGTTGCTCTTGTGTCCTTAACCATTGCGTCATCTGAGGAGGGACATAAATATCAATTTGTCCCATTATTGACATTGTTTGGTTGAGTCATTTGACTCTCTCCATTGTAGACTATGTTTTTTGTTTTACAATTAATAAATAATATGTGCTATGATAGTTTGAGTCTGTACACATTGCCTGTTCCCTGAGGACGTTTCACTATAGGATTTTGGCTCCCACTGATAATCATTGCCTGAGATCAGTTATTGATTGATGGCTGCAAAAATGGTGATATTGCTAATTATTTTGTTCATTCTACACTCTTGAGCATCACCATGAATTCTTTGGTCATTACCATCATTAGCATCATTATTATTTTTGATGTCGATTTGTGCCAGATTTGGCTGATGGGAGCCCATTGAGGCTAGCTTTTGGATCTTTGGTGTGTACCCATCATTCTTTGAGCACTTCCTTGCTTTCTAGTAAGACAGGATGTTCCAAGATCTTGTACTTTGCCTTCCCCATACCCTGAATAGGCTTTCCAGGTGGCTCAGTGGTTAAGAATCCACCTGCAATACAGGAGAGGCAGGTTTGATCCCTGGGTTGGGAAGATCCTCTGGAGGAGGGCATGGCAACCCACTCCAGTATTCTTGCCTGGGAGATCCTGTGGACAGAGGAGCCTGGCAGACTACAGTCCACGGGGTCGCAAAGAGTCGGACACGACTGAAGTGACTGAGCATGCACGCATACCCTGAATAAGCCATTTTTTCCCAAGGGCCTCTTGTTCCTTTTAGTTGGAGTGATATTTAGTGACTTCTTTTTTATATGTCAACATTATTTCCCGTAACTTCTTTCTTTACTGATTTTGCAGGAGGACTGTTTTGGGAGTGACTCGGTTTGCCCATTCAAGGAAACCCAAGGAGTCGGAGCCATTCGCTGTCTTCCTGCCTCGTCTGGTCCCCGAGCCTGGCCTCGTGTTGAACTTCAGCGCCACCGCCCTGAGGAGCAGCATGGTGAGCCTCCCACGTCTTCTCATTTCTTCGTCTGTGAGACCTCGGCTCTTGAGTGTTCACATTAACCAAGTATTTCCACCTTGGGATACTGTTCCAGAGTCAGAGTTAGTTGAAATTTAAGTGACACATGTTTGCCATTCAGTGCTTTTAGGAGGGAGGTGTCAGAAGAACAAAATAAGGAATAAACTCATGAGCAGACTGAAATGCTTTAAGCAGGTACGTGTTATGGAGACTGTGTTCAGTTCAGAATCCACCAGCTAAGACAGTATTCAGCTGCAGCCGCGGAGGGGATCTTGGCTGACACAGGCTTCCGTAGCAGTGAGTGGGCTTGCAGCTCAGGAGGGAGAGGCGTCTGTCTGTCTCTTGTTCCATCCTCAGCTCTCTTCCTGCGTGGAAGCTTCTCCTGAGCTGAGTGGCGGGAGGGGGCAGAGGGAAGGCACTGCAGCCTTGAGGTTTCATCTGGAAAGTCTGCTTACCTGAGAGCCGGGTCACTGTGATCCGAGTGATAGTTTATGCTTCCTCAGGCACTCGTTGAGCTTCTTACTTACAGAGGACCTCCTGAGACTGCTGTTTAATAACATTTTATTTTGAAAAAGTTCAACTTATAGAAGAGTTTCACGAGAAGTACCAAGAACTCCCAGGTGCCCTTCATGCAGATTTGTCTCTTTTTAACATTTGCCACGCTTGGCTTGCTGTTTCCCATCTTCTTCTACACGTGTGTTTTTATCAGCCATGAGAGAGGGTCAGGCATGATGCCCCGACTCCACTTCCATGTGAATTTCTTAAGAACGAGACATCTTCTTACATATCAGAGTCTAACTGTCAAAGTCAGAAGATGTGAACATCAAGCACAGCGGTTTTGTCTGATCCGCAGTCTCCGTCCAGTTCCCACTTGTCCCACTCACACACGTCCGTTACACCTCCAGCCCAGGGCTTCTCCTTGCCCGGCCCGGTGGCCTGTGTATCCTCCTGTCCTCGCAGCTCCTCCACCGCAGGTTACGCAGCTCTTATGACGCGTGCAGGCCGTTCACGCTCTAGACCGTTCCTGGAATGGCCTAGGTGATGGTTCCTGGTGAGATGCAGGTGATGAGTCTTTGCACCTGCGTCTCAGGGGTGCTGTCCTTGTCCGGAACTGACTCTCCTTCCTGCACGTCTAGGTGAAGTACTTCATGGTGAAGAACCCCTCCTCGTGGCCCGTGTCCCTGCAGCTCCTGCCCGTCTCTTTGTACCCGAAGCCTGAGGCCGCCGCGCGCCTGCTGCACAAATGGTAACGCCCAGCCGGTGAAGACCCCTCGGGGGGGTTGCTGGGAGGAGTTGATAGGGCCTGTCCTCTTAAGACCCGCAACTGTTCAGCGTCCTCTGCATTCCCCCCGGTTCTGTGCGTGGATGTGCACGGGCTCAGCCATGGCGCCGACCCTGCCCCTCCGTGCGGACCCGATGGCACGCGCCATCCCGTGTGCTGTGTGGCTCTTCAGTGTCCTCGCTCAAGTGCAGGGCCCGACAGAGCATTCTTTTCTCGTCAGGGAAGCTTTCCCGTCGTGATTTTTCACACTCCTCAAATTTAGACGTGGAATCCGTGACCCCTGGGCAACGCAAGCAGAGAGTTTAGTGGAGGTTTAGTGTATCTTAGCCTAGTGTTGTGATACAGGTGAGATCAGAATTTGTATCTGTTAATCTAATCTTTGTACAGAAGTCATGGTTTCACTTAGAACGTTTTCCCTTCTGGCTTAGTGATGCCTCATCCCCATGTCTCAGCTTCAGCACTGCCAGTGTTTTGGGCACTGACTCTGTTTGATGAGAGACGAGATGTGTTCCGTGCTTTGGAGGTTGTTCAGCAGCATCCCTAGCTTCCACCCAGTAGATTCCGGTAGACTTCACCAGCCTGGGCAATCAAAAGTGTCTCTAGGTGTGGGCAGATGGCCACTGGGAGATAGCATTCTCCTTGGTTGAGAGTCACCTCCTGTCAGGTTCCACAGCTTTGAACCGTTTGGAGGAAAAGAATTGCTTCAGATGGAGCTTTTGTCACCATAGGATTCTTTGCATTCTGTGCTGCCAGCATTATTCACTCCACAATGTTTACTGTGCTCTTAAAGCGTGCCGGGTACTGTGTGGGGAGCCGGGCACAGGAGTGACAGGTCGGGGTGAACTGGGTATGTGTAAAAATATGCACGTATGTTTATATGTGTGTGTATGCACACATATGTTCTTTCTTGGTGATCTGAATGCTATTTTAAATGTTTTTTTTTTCTCTATAGAGGTGGCACACAGATACAAAAAAGGAAAATCACAAAAACAGAAAACCACAGCACAAAAAAGCGCCCCCACACCGGAGAAGATCATATCTAAAAACAGAAAAAAAAACGCACAAAAACGACTCCTAGCATATGGGCCTCACTGATTTATGTTTCAAGTGGCTTTTCGTAATATACGTGTCTCTCTATTTTTATATTCTAGGAGTTAAGTATACATAGCAGCTTTTTCCAATTAAGTACTACAGCAGGAGCCCAGGGTTCATGTGAGCCTGTAAATCATTTTAATTTGATTATTTAGATTCATGTGAGTGAAGAAATAACAATTGAATCAGACCTCTGTAGAAAACTGTAAAACTTGAGACCCCAGAATTTATAATTCTCTTAAAATTCCTTAGCCCCATCAAATTCTTTTGGGGGCAAGATAAAAGTAAACACTGGTTGTTTTTTTTTAAAGTCTTACTAAGCTGACTTCATATTTTTAGCAGATAACCCAATTTCTGTAATATTGACCTTATCTATATAAAAGGATTTCTCTGAAATTCTTGCACCTCTGGGCCCTCACGAGGTCTTGCATAAGTACTCTGGAGAGGGAGTAAGTAATAAGCATGTCACATGGAGAGGACGTCGCTTGCCTGGAAACTGAGTTTTCACGCAGTCCTTCTGTGGGTCCCTGGTGTAGCTGAGTATTTTACTTACGGGTATTCTGTGCCTGGGGCTTCCCTGGTAGCTCAGCTGGTAAAGAATCCGTGTGCAATGCAGGAGATCCCGGGTCGGGAAGATCCCCTGGAGAAGGGCAAAACAACCCACTCCAGTATTCTTGCCTGGAGAATCCCCTGGACAGAGGAGCCTGGCGGGCTACAGTCCACAGGGTCGCAAAGAGTCAGACACGACTGAGTGCCTAGGCACAGCACACAGCACAGCATTCTGTGCTGGAGGTCAATTAAAAAATGAAGCCTCTCCTACAAAAATACAAACACATGTAGACACACCTGTGCACATCACTGTATTTTTAATGCACGCACATATTTAAATGTCATAGATGTTTTTTCTTCTTTCTCTACTCATGACCCTCCCAAAGATACGCTGTTGGCTCTAGAATAACTTGGAAGAAGGAGGCCACAGATAAGCTCCAGTGTGAGTTAAAACAGAATGAATCAAAGCAAAGCTTTAAATGGATTTTTAGCAGAGACTTATCTGCAGTAAGAGGCACGCAGCAGTAGTGCTCCTTTCCTTTGTCAGTGGTCCAGGCAGCGGAGTCCTGTGCTATTGGGCCGGTCCTGCTTTTTGCCCGTCCACCCAGGCAGCTTCCCAGGAGTGCTAGGAGGTAGAACTAGTGAGTCCTCTATGCTAACAGATATTTCGCCCCACGACCATTTCATCGTATGTAATTTGAAATTCCAAAAATGATGCCCATTTCTTTTACATGTTGGTATTCTATTCAGACTTAAGCAAATGGTGCAACTCACTTGGAAAAGGTCTTTAACCTGTGATTGAAGATTTTCCATAGGTTATTATACTTTTTGTGACAAAGGAAATTGTCACCATTGTTAATTTATTACATTTACAAAAAGGGATAGTATCAGTGTTCCTTTCTTTCAAAAATTTAAATTGGAGGATAATCGTTTTACAATGTTGTGTTGCTTTCTGCCATAGAACAATGTGAATCAGTGATGAGGATACATATATCCCCTCCCTCCTGAGCAGTATCAGTGCTTTTGACACCCAAGTTTAACTTAAAATTCTTAATAGAATCATTTGTTGTTTAAGAAAGGCCTGCATTTTTTTTTGTTGTTGGTTTGTTTTTAGAAATGTAGCTCCTTTGGTTAAGAGCATGCGGAATTGGGCATTCAAAAGACTCCTAGCATATGGGCCTCACTGATTTATGTTTCAAGTGGCTTTTCGTAATATACGTGTCTCTCTATTTTTATATTCTAGGAGTTAAGTATACATAGCAGCTTTTTCCAATTAAGTACTACAGCAGGAGCCCAGGGTTCATGTGAGCCTGTAAATCATTTTAATTTGATTATTTAGATTCATGTGAGTGAAGAAATAACAATTGAATCAGACCTCTGTAGAAAACTGTAAAACTTGAGACCCCAGAATTTATAATTCTCTTAAAATTCCTTAGCCCCATCAAATTCTTTTTGGGGCAAGATAAAAGTAAACACTGGTTGTTTTTTTTTAAAGTGTTACTAAGCTGACTTCATATTTTTAGCAGATAACCCAATTTCTGTAATATTGACCTTATCTATATAAAAGGATTTCTCTGAAATTCTTGCACCTCTGGGCCCTCACGAGGTCTTGCATAAGTACTCTGGAGAGGGAGTAAGTAATAAGCATGTCACATGGAGAGGACGTCGCTTGCCTGGAAACTGAGTTTTCACGCAGTCCTTCTGTGGGTCCCTGGTGTAGCTGAGTATTTTACTTACGGGTATTCTGTGCCTGGGGCTTCCCTGGTAGCTCAGCTGGTAAAGAATCCGTGTGCAATGCAGGAGATCCCGGGTCGGGAAGATCCCCTGGAGAAGGGCAAAACAACCCACTCCAGTATTCTTGCCTGGAGAATCCCCTGGACAGAGGAGCCTGGCGGGCTACAGTCCACAGGGTCGCAAAGAGTCAGACACGACTGAGTGCCTAGGCACAGCACACAGCACAGCATTCTGTGCTGGAGGTCAATTAAAAAATGAAGCCTCTCCTACAAAAATACAAACACATGTAGACACACCTGTGCACATCACTGTATTTTTAATGCACGCACATATTTAAATGTCATAGATGTTTTTTCTTCTTTCTCTACTCATGACCCTCCCAAAGATACGCTGTTGGCTCTAGAATAACTTGGAAGAAGGAGGCCACAGATAAGCTCCAGTGTGAGTTAAAACAGAATGAATCAAAGCAAAGCTTTAAATGGATTTTTAGCAGAGACTTATCTGCAGTAAGAGGCACGCAGCAGTAGTGCTCCTTTCCTTTGTCAGTGGTCCAGGCAGCGGAGTCCTGTGCTATTGGGCCGGTCCTGCTTTTTGCCCGTCCACCCAGGCAGCTTCCCAGGAGTGCTAGGAGGTAGAACTAGTGAGTCCTCTATGCTAACAGATATTTCGCCCCACGACCATTTCATCGTATGTAATTTGAAATTCCAAAAATGATGCCCATTTCTTTTACATGTTGGTATTCTATTCAGACTTAAGCAAATGGTGCAACTCACTTGGAAAAGGTCTTTAACCTGTGATTGAAGATTTTCCATAGGTTATTATACTTTTTGTGACAAAGGAAATTGTCACCATTGTTAATTTATTACATTTACAAAAAGGGATAGTATCAGTGTTCCTTTCTTTCAAAAACTTAAATTGGAGGATAATCGTTTTACAATGTTGTGTTGCTTTCTGCCATAGAACAATGTGAGTCAGTGATGAGGATACGTATATCCCCTCCCTCCTGAGCAGTATCAGTGCTTTTGACACCCAAGTTTAACTTAAAATTCTTAATAGAATCATTTGTTGTTTAAGAAAGGCCTGCATTTTTTTTTGTTGTTGGTTTGTTTTTAGAAATGTAGCTCCTTTGGTTAAGAGCATGCGGAATTGGGCATTCAAAGTTCCAAATCCAGGCTCCTCTATGTGGTCCTGGGTAAATAATTTAGCCTCTCCAAGTCTCCTCTTTCTTACTTATAGTGATGTTTGAAAATTTCATAGTTTTATAGAATGCTTAGCATTTTATATACCTAATTATAGTCCAGTGCCTGGCATATAAGAATTACTTAATAGTTAGTGCATTGTTCTTATACTTTTAATACTTAAATTGGCAGCTTTTTTCAGTATCCATATGTGTATAAAGCAGAATTCCTCCCTTCATGAAGTTTATAATTTTAATGAAAATGAATCAAATGCCATTACTGTTTCTTCTTTCAGATAGTATGGGAAATGCTAGTAATAACTGAGGGATAAAACAAATTCAAAAACTAAAAATACAGAAGAGAGATATTAGGCAGATTACATGGTTATAGCTCTGAAAATTAAGAAATTTCTTTTAGTGAGAAAGAGCTAGGAAAAAACAATGGAAAGAGGGAAAGTCTATCACAATAATGAAGAACTAAATCTTGAATGTTAAATTGAGAATGCAGTTTATTCAGGAGGATGTGAATAAATAGGTTGTTCTCCTGAATGGAGAGACTAAATGTAATAAAGATGGTTTCTTTTTAAACAATAATGCAGGGAATTTAGGGTTGCCCAGCAGTGGGAAGTGCTTGGGTCAGATCGCTGTAGCGTTCAGGCGGAGGCTGTTGTCTGTTTTCCTGGGGATGTTTTACATTCAGGTGAGCTCTCTGATAAAGGTCTGCAGCCCCAGCTCCCGTCCGATCCAGGAGGCCCAGCCCCTCGCCAGCGCCCACGTCGGCCTGTCCTGCAGCCTAGGCTGTCTCTGCTTCCCAGTTGCGCTCAGCAACTGTTGATGGGCGTGAACTGTCGTGATAGACACGTTCCACAGGTTGATTTGGATGGTCAGATCCCGACATTAAAGAAGCAGCGGTCATGTTTATGCATTTAATGAAGATGGAGTCTTGCTCTCCATACGTTAATTGCATTTATTAATAACTTTCAGGGTGTGCAGTCTGAAGAATCCAGATTTGGCATCCTCCACTTACATTTGCAGCCTTTGGAAAAGAAAAGGGTTGGTGTAGTGTTCACTCCAGCTGATTATGGAAAAGTCAGCTCCCTCATCCTCATCCGGTAGGTGTGTCTGTGTTGCTTTCTTGTTGACTGATTCTTTCTCTCAAGAAGACAGGCCCCCAGTGATGAGCTATGTCTCAGGACAGGAAAGGCAGTGGCTGAGGACAGCAGCTTCCCAAAGTTCCACATTCAGTCTCCCTGGGTGTCAGGCTCCTCCCTGGTACCAGGGAGAACGTGTGTTCTCCTTCACACAGCATCTCACCCACCATCACAGAGGGCAGAACACACACACACGTGAACACACACACGTCCACACTTTTCTTTCCTCAGCTCAGAAGAATGATTGAAGCACTGCTGTATACGTTTTCACTCCGCAGTGTTTGGATTTATACCAGTATCACACCCATTTGTCTTGCTTCTGTACTTCTTGGTAGCACCAGAAGATAATGAAAAAAGTGCCCAGTTGAGCCCACTGGCTCTCTTTACTTGCCAGCTGATTTAAGCAGCTACGTGTTTCTCATTCTTGAATTTTTTTCCTCTTTAGTCTTTATTGAGAGTCTTGTTTCAAAAATTTACAGTAAATATAGATCTATATTGAACCTCTCTCTGCATTGGTGAGATGTCTAATACAAATTTAATTTTTCATTAATGATATTTTAGATATTTTTTTATTTCATGTTTTATTTTGGCCACACCACGCAGCATGAGGGATATCTTAGTTCCTTGATCAGGGGTTAAACCTGTGCCCCGCCCCTGCAGTGGAAGCATGGAGTCCCAACCTTAGACTTTCTTATTCTGGACTTTCTTTAATATATAAGTTTATTCTTCTGCAAGTGAATGCTACTAAAAAGAAAATGCACTAAAATAAAGTTCTTAAAAGATTCTGTTTTGTTAAGCATTTTAGCTAACGCTTAGGGCTTCCCTGGTAGCTCAGTTGGTTACAGACTCTGCCTGCAGTGTGGGAGACCCCAGTTTGATTCCTGGGTTGGGAGTACCCGCTGGAGAAGGGATGGGCTGCCCACCCTGGTGTTCTTGGGCCTCCCTGTGGCTCAGCTGGTGAAGAATCTGCCTGCAGTGCGGGAGACCTGGGTTATCCCGAGGTTGGGAAGATCCCTTGGAGAAGGGAAAGGCCAGTCACTCCAGTATTCTGGCCTGGAGAATTCCATGGACAGTTTAGTCCTGCTGCTGCTGCTAAGTTACTTCAGTCGTGTCCGACTCTGTGCGACCCCATAGACGGCAGCCCACCAGGCTCCCCTGTCCCTGGGATTCTCCAGGCAAGAACACTGGAGTGGGTTGCCATTTCCTTCTCCAGTGCATGAAAGTGAAAAGTGAAAGTGAAGTTGCTCAGCTGTGTCCAACCCTTAGCGACCCCATGGACTGCGGCCCACCGTGCTCCATGGGATTTTCCAGGCAAGATTACGGGAATGGGGTGCCATTGCCTTCTCTGACTGTATAGTCCATGGAGTTGCAAAGAGTCGGACACGACTGAGTGACTTTCACTGTCACTCAACTAATGCTTAGTGGAACGGGTAACTGATGTTCTAGTGAGCACTTTAGTGCTCTGTGACAGGTGTTTCACTTTAAACTCATTCTGTTGAAGAACTAAGGTCATGGAAAGTGTAGAGTTAAACTTTACCTTATCCCAGCTTCAACTATCCCAGACTTGAAAGTCTCCGCTTTTTATAGTGGCTAATTTATTCTTGGTACTTTCTGTATTGAGAGACACAGTATTTTTCTGTAAACAGTATCAATCATCCAACATCACTTAAAGGCTTTTAAATGGTTCAGTAAAGGCTTTAGTCCTTTAGATGAAGATGTAAAGATACCTCAGTGTGTTTTGTATAACTAGGAATGAATTCTCTGTCTGTTTCTACTGTTTACATTAATGATAATTGCCTTTCAGTATAGTCTGCATCATTTAAACATCATTTCCACTTCTCCATCCTAGGAATCATGATTTCAGTTAATGGAAAGGCAAAAGCTGATCTGATTTACTGTTTGATTAATAAGAACTTGAGTAGATACTTGCTATTTGAAGGCTGCTCTTTTAAGTCTTTGGTTTAAAAGACAGGGTAGCATTTCATTTCTAGAAATATCCCTAAGGAAGAATTGCTTATAGTCACAATTACTGTAGAAACTCCTTAATTCACCCTGTGAACAGTTTTATCAGTTTCTCTACACTTACTAGTATTTTTCTGTGGCTCCCAGTTTGCTCACTTTTGTCACTTGCATGTCTGATCACCATCCTGGTGCCTGGTTAGAAAACTGCGGGTTTCCATTCTTGGCTGGAAATTGGAGAGTGATCATGGTCATTTGCTCGTTTTTGCCCAGTTGGCTTGCCTTGACTCTGGTGCGTTTAGTGGCCTCTCTGCTCCGAGATGGAGGGAGATGCCATACTATTTAAGTTGATTTTTCCCCAAAACTTTAGAAATGTTTTTTTGTTAATTAGGAATATTTAAATTCAAGGGCATTGTATCCTGTAACTCTCCTGCGTTGCCTTTTTGTTTGCATCTGCTCGCTCTGTAGGAATAACTTGACTGTTATCGACATGATTGGTGTGGAAGGATTCGGGGCGAGAGAGCTCCTGAAAGTGGGTGGAAGACTGCCTGGCGCCGGGGGCTCGCTGCGGTTTAAGGTGCCTGAGTCCACGCTGATGGACTGCCGGCGACGTGAGTCTGCGCGTGCACGGTCTGTGTGCACGGCGCTCGGGAAGAGGGGCTGGGTGCTGACGCCGAGAGCAAAAGGCGGTTATCAGAGTCAGTAATTCATTGTACGGATGCAAGTAATTAGATCAGGCAGGTATTTGAGCATATGTAGTCTGGTACCACTTGGTTATAAAACAATAGTTTAGATGTTTAACCCAGCTTAAATAATAGATGGTGGGAGGGGGGAGTATAATGTTAAGTTCTCAATAGCGTTAAAATATAAGCCCAATCGTAGGAAACTATTTAGAGAACCACACCAATGTAAGCGGAGAGAGGCTTCAGGGAGCGCTGACTGATAGTCCCTTGCACGTTGTGCGGTGACGGAAATGCTCTCTGTGTTATCCAATGCGGCACCCGCATGCCACACGTGGGTGAGGAGTGCTTAAAGTAGAGCTCGCGGGACCGAGAAACTCAGTGTTTAAGTTGGTTTAAAGTGGCCGTATATGTCTGGTGGCAACTGTGTCAGGCTGTGCAGATTTAGAAATTTAGTTAAGTGTTCCATTAGAAATTTATAAATTTGCATGTATTAAAATTACATGCTTCTAAAGTACTTACATTAGTTTCAAGAACTTCCTCAGGAACTGAGACAAAAGTCAAACTGTAGATATAAAATGTTCTTGGTGAATTCTGTCTTGTTTTCCTACTACTATTTTTAATTTCAGAACACACTGAAAGTATTTTAGTGTAACAGTATATTTCCCACGGAGAAAAGTGATTGGTGAAACCACTGGATAACTTGTAGAACTATCTTAATGCCTGTTTGGATTTTTTTAAATAAGAAAACTGTGTCAAATGAGCACTGTCTGAAAAGATTAGCCATTTTGCATTCAAAATCTTCATCAGAGTGTTCTTTAAATCATTCCTTCACTTACTCATTGAATAGTTTAGAGTTGACCTTAAAAGCTAGAATTAAGGAGGAATATAAAATCTGTGGAACCAGATAAAATGTTAGTCCTAATATGGAATAGATTGTAGATTATTAATATACAGGAATATTTTACAAATTGATACTTCCTCCCTTTTTAAATGCCCAGTATGAAATGTGCTCTCATTAATTTGCAAAGATTTTGCTGCCTCCTGCCCCTCACGTAATGAGAGTTTGAACCATATTTCTCGTGTCTGTGATGCATTTACGCAGAAGCACACACACCCTCCTGAGTATTGGGTGTGAAAGGATCCTGGGTGCCTGGTGGCTCATGGTAAATCCAAACTCGGAGGCTCCTGAGAAGAATGAAATTTTCCACCTTAACCTTTAATAAATAAAAGAACAGAAGAGGCTTTGGTTACTTTTGGTACCTAGGCAGGTCATTTAACTTAAGAAAAATCTTAATGAGTTATGTATTTTTATCTTGGGAATATAGTAGCATCTAGAACATTTCTAGGAATTAGGAATCTGCTTTGAGCTTATATTGAATTTTTCTGCGTTTTACTCATGTAGATCATGGTTTGTGAATTCTGTAAATGTTGATTCAGGAAATTATTTTGAATAAATTTTGCAGTTCATGTGTACTAAAATCTCAGTTTCCATCCTCACTAGAACTGAAAGACAGCAAGCAAATTTTATCAATTACAAAGAGCTTTAAGGTTGAGAATATTGGACCACTTCCTATAACTGTGACAGCTCTGAAAATTAATGGGTATAACTGCCAAGGTTATGGATTCGAAGTGCTGGACTGTCATCAGTTTTCCTTGGGCCCCAACACATCCCGGGACATCAGCATTGTGTAAGCACTGGGTTTCAACTTCGTTTTGGGGGTGCGTTTACTGTGTTGTGGGGAAAAACCTTTTGTCACTGGTAAGGCTGTCTTAAGCTGTTCCCATGTACATAGCTGTCTTGTGGAGGTGAGAACTTCTGCTGTCACTGTGACTGTCTTGTCTTGCGCCTAAAGTGAGAACCATCGGGACCTCACAGAGATGCCTCTTGCTGTCAGGTTTACCCCGGACTTCACGTCTTCCTGGGTCATCCGCGAGCTGACTCTGGTCACGGCGGCGGGCCTGGAGTTCCGCTTCACTCTCAACGTGACCCTGCCGCACCACCTGCTGCCTCTGTGTGCGGACGTGGTCCCGGGCCCGAGCTGGGAGGAGTCGTTCTGGAGGCTCACCGTCTTCTTCGTTAGGTAGGCCGCCCCGCTCCTCTGCTCCTCCTCTCCAAGGGGGACGCCGTCAGCGAGCCGTGTGGGAGTGGGTGCTGCCTGGCAGGTCTCAGCGCGGGGACTGAGTGGGTCACGCTGCTCTGAGAACGCTGACAGGAACTAGACGAAGTGGTCCCTGGTGAGCTGAGGGAGCAGAGAGCTCAGTGCAGGGGAGCTTGAGGATCTGAGAGTGTAACAGACCGTTGCACTCGTGTATGTTCATTGGCGGTCCCAGGGGAGGGTACAGATGTCTATAACATTTAAGATATAGGAACATCACCTATGGTATATGTGGTGTATGGTGTTATTGGCTTAGGGCACTGGCAGTTTGAGATTAGAAGACTAGAATGACCCTTTCGGATGTGATTTTTATCCTGGAAAAATCTATAAAAATTGAATTGAAATGTCAGACTGATAAATAGTCACCTGTTTAGAAATTTTGCTTTTTGAAACTTTGAGACATCAGAAATTTTAATGTTGTACATCTTGTAGAATCTGAATAGTGTCTCTTTAGACCTTGCCCGCCACTCATTCCCTTCTGGTAGAGCTTGNTCACCTGTTTAGAAATTTTGCTTTTTGAAACTTTGAGACATCAGAAATTTTAATGTTGTACATCTTGTAGAATCTGAATAGTGTCTCTTTAGACCTTGCCCGCCACTCATTCCCTTCTGGTAGAGCTTGTCTTTTTAACGGTAGCCAGAACCGGGCAGTAATGAACTTGTTGTTTTTGTCCTCAGTTTGTCCCTGTTGGGTGTGATTTTAATCGCCTTCCAACAAGCACAGTACATTCTGATGGAGTTCATGAAGACGAGACAGAGACAAAATGCCAGCTCCCCTCCACAGCAAAGCACTAGTCCAGTGGACGTAATCAGCCCTCAGTCTCACAAGTAAGGATTCTTGTCGTGTGGGCGGGGGAGATGCTGGCGGGTCTCACCTCTGGTATTACTTACTTCTGATTTTATGTTAAGGTGATATGCCTTTAGTTTTGTTCAAGTCAGTGTGTGGCAGCTAAGCCATTTCTCCTAGTCTATGCTAGACTTCATGTGAGGGCTCAGTTTATTCCTCGGTGGAGCTTGAATGAAAGGTGAGAAGTCCTTAGTACACCCCCGGCCCCCACCACGCTGGCTGCACCCTCTTCCTCCTGGAGTTAGAGAGGAGGGGTTTATTCAGCTTGCCTTTATGTTAAATGTTTTTCTTCTTAAATTCAGAAGCAATTGCAAGAACTTTCTCGATACCTACACCCCCTCCGATAAAGGCCGAGGGAAAAGCTGCCTTCCGGTCAGCAGCCCGCAGAGCAGGATCCAGAATGCGACCAAGAGGAGCCCGGCCACCTACGGCCACTCCCAGAAGAAGCACAAGTGCTCCGTGTACTACGGGAAGCACAGAGGCAGCGCGGCCGCGGCGAGCAGCGCCGGCGCCCCCTCGGAGGACAGGCCAGCCCCGGCCAAGGAGGACGGGTGCCCCGCAGGGGCGGGCGAGGCCTGGGCGGGCCTCAAGTGTGCCGGGGGCCTGGGCGTCAACCTGCAGAGGGGCTTCGCGCTCCCCAAGAGCTTGCTGGGCAAAGACGAGAACACACCCAAAGGCGCAGCTGCTGCCAGTCACCCTTCCTCCGGGTGTCACGCGAGGGAGGGCGTGCAGACGTGTATGTTTCCTAAGGAAACGGACTTTCAGATTGCAGAAGGCGTAGCGGAGCTCCAGGAGCGAGACGTCTGTCCGATGAAGACGCTTAAGAGACTGCCTGAGAATCATGTGCCGAGAAACTCCCCTCAGTGCCCGTCAGACCTGCCAGAGGTTTCCAGGAAAAGTAACGGTAATCTTTTCCTCCTCCTCGGTCATTCTTCCGTCCCGTCTGTCTGCAGCGCGTTCTTCGTGGAATTCGTTTCCCCTGTGACTCTAGTTTGAATTGTGGCTGTGGAATTTTTAGTTCATGCCCTAAGTTTCATTAGCATAGGTATAACTATTGAAATACCATTTGCATGACGGAAAGCTTTTAGAGCTTTGTGGTTAAGTTTACTTTTTTAGTACATTCGCTGGAATGATGCAAATATCATGTTTTATTATTGTTGGACACCTATTCCTAAGTATCTTTTATCTTGGCCTTTCAGGCTGTTTGCAAAGATCACTCAGCCTATGCTTCTGATAGAATGAAACTTGCCAACTTTCTGGGTTTAACAGCTGCACCCATAGCATGCTGCTCATCCGTGCTTCTTCTCTACTTGTGTGCTTATTTTTGTGTATCCATCTTAACCATTTTAATAAACACATTTCTGTTCCCTTCAGGAGGCGAATTTTTGACACACTTTTTACTCTGGAAGAATTAGTTACCTCTGATCTTACTTGAAACATCTGAATATAAATAAATTCATATTTTTCCCTCCTTGATATTATAGAGGACGTCATGTTTTCGCTGGTTCTAACGAGCTTTATGCATTTAGCAGGGGGAAGAAAACACCCAGCTGAATGTTAAATGTTCCCTCAAAGGACATTTCTAATTGAGAAGGAAGCTGGGGTGCCCTGAGTAGAACATGGTTTGGGCCACTTCGCATCGTTCCTGGCGCCCCTTGTCCGCCCCGCTGGCGTGGGCTCCGTGCAGCAGTGTCTGCTTGAAGGAGTCCTGTCCCCGTGGCCTCTTCCCAGCGTGTGAGGGTTTCCTCGGATGACGCGCTCAACTGCGTCTCCATAAAGGCACAGCGTTGCTTGTCTGAGATGCCAGTGGTGGGGCTGTGGGTGCCTGTTCTTCCATTTCTGTCCCAGGTGTTCTCTGCCGCTCGGACTACAAAACTCCTGTGCAAAGGGTGACATTCTGCAGTGAGTCTAGCTGAGTATTTCTCATTTCATGCGTCACATAGGCCTGAGAACAGTATTTGACATAGACTGACTTTACACAAACTTAAGATCAGACCTGTTTCTGAGGATTGTTGCTCCATAGGTGCGTCTTCTGTGGTCCGTTGCGTCTGTCAGACATCTGTGTAAATGTGCCTGCTGCATGCACGGGCTGTGGTCTTGCGGGTGGATGGGTGGACCTTCTGCTGCGTCAGAGCACTTTGAAGGGTGTGGACCCTCAAATGATGTAGTGCCAGGGAGGGTCAGAGGATTCAGATCCATGCTCCTGGATCCTTGTCTACTTCCGGCTGTTCAGTTCCTGTAGTTGAGCCTAGGTGACACCATGTAATATCTAATAGCACTCAGGAAGAGTGAATAAATGAAATAAAGGAGCCCACAAACATAGAATTTGCTTGTATCGTTGTAGATTGTAGACGGCTGTTCCCCCACCCCCCACCCCCAAACCTTCCTGCCCTGTGCAGATGACTGGTGTCTTTCAGTTCAGTTCAGTTCAGTCGCTGAGTTGTGTCTGACTCTTTGCTACCCCATGAATCACAGCACACCAGGCCTCCCTGCCCATCACCAACTCNAAGAGGCTTTTTAGTTCCTCTTCACTTTCTGCCATAAGGGTGGTGTTATCTGCATATCTGAGGTTATTGATATTTCTCCTGGCAATCTTGATTCCAGCTTGTGCTTCCTCCAGCCCAGCGTTTCTCATGATGTGCTCTGCATATAAGTTAAATAAGCAGGGTGACAATATACAGCCTTGATATACTCCTTTTCCTATTTGGAACCAGTCTGTTGTTCCACGTCCAGTTGTAACTGTTGCTTCCTGACCTGCATACAGGTTTTTCAAGAGGCAGGTCAGGTGGTCTGGTATTCCCATCTCTTTCAGAATGTTTCAGAATCCTAAACTGGTATGTTTAGGATGCTTTAAATGGAAACAAATCTCTCACTTCAAGAACTGTTTGAAACTGCTCTTTGGCTGACTTGTCAGCCTGTTAAGCAGTATTAGGGTGATTGTTGGTCAGATCAGATCAGAGATGATGACAAACTTTGGCTTTTCACCGTGTTTGTACCAGCAAAATCAAAGGTGCTAATTCACAGGCCTGTATTTCTCCCCAGAATTAACCTGTCAGTTCCTCACAGGGAAACCCATTCACTGATGTGTATTTGGTTCTGTGTTCTGTTTACATTGCTATTGCAGGAAAATATCAAAGAGGTTAATAAAGTAAAAAAATGACCTCCCATTAATTTGTGATTTAAGCATTTTAAAGAATCGAGAATCTTAAAAGTAAGAAAGGACTGAGAAATCTAGGGCAAGAAAATTGTAGTTTAAAGATAGAATATGGGGTTTATGGTAATACTGAGGGTTCAGTGTTCTTTTGTCAGATATTAAAGGATGGCTTTGTGATAAGCTGGCAGATGGTGACAGGCGGGGAGTCATCATGTATAAAGAACCAAGAATGAGAAAACCAAAAGTGTAAGACCCTTCAGATTTTTCACTTCCAACTTGGAAGCATCAGTTTTTTTTTCCTATCTTGAAAAGGATTTCACTTTGCGTTTCCGTCTGAAGATCCTTTCTGGAATCTGAAGAACAGCTTCAGTCCTGTGAGCGGAACTCAGCCCCCCAGGAGCCTCTTGGGAACTGAGGTGGCGCTCCGCTGGAACCAGTCAGCATCTTGGCCGCGTTCTTGCCGTTGCTCCCAAAGGACATAGACGGACTTAGAAACACGCCCGGTGACAGGGCAGCCTTTGGGAAGAGGGTCTGGGGAGCTGGCCTGTCTGCCGAGAGCACCTGAAGTGATGCCCTGAACCCGGTGGGGCTCTGGAGCGCCCGAGCGTTGTGCCTTCTCCTCCTCCGAGGCTGTGCTTTCTCTGAGCGTAGCCTGCTGTGTGAGAATGGTCTTCTGAGCTGTGTGTTAACGGCTGCGTGCTCACCGTTGTTGTGGAGAGAGTGTTTTCTGAGTAACAAAGTGTGCCGTCCGTCCCTCTCACGCTCCTCCTCCTGCTTCCTCCTGAGAGGGCCGCAGTAAATAACAGATTAAGCTCAGTGATAGACGTGCAGTCTGTTGAGAGACTCCTCAGGGCTCGGTTTCACACGCTTGTCTTTTGCTGTCAGTGGTCAAACAGCTGTGAAACAGTGACACCCTCGAAGTGTGTGCTATATGGTCCAGAGTCTCTTGTCAATCTGACAGGAGCAGGGCTTTATGTGTAATGTAAATAAGTGATCTTTTGAAATATATCTCCTTTCAAATATTTGTGACTATTATTTTTTCATTATATGATCAAAATAATGTAGACTTAAAGCTGGAGACCAGTTGCTCCTGGCCTCAGCATGATGAAAGAGGAATAGTTGGCAAAGTTTTTGTTGTCTCTGCTTGTAATAACGTAAGGGATAATGAACTTCTAAATTTAATACCGTAAAGCCTTGAAATTAACAGTGCATGGAAATTTTTAATGAGTTGGACAGGTATTTAGAAAATTTCTGAAATACCAGTGTTTGCAGAAATAAAAAAAATAATCTCATTTATTTAATACTTAGAGATACCAAGAACAAGAAATGAAAATCTAGTGGTTTACTCAAAATACAGCATACAGTTAGATTTGATACAGTAAAACTCTGAGCAGGATTCTGGCCCATTCACTTGTTTCCTTTCTCTGATTGTTCTTTATTTTTTATCTTCCTTTTTATCTGCTTTTATTTTTCTTTTTTATCTCTGTGGCTCAGACATTCCTGCTGTGGCAGAAGAGCGTATGACCCTGTGAGTCCGCACACGTAGTAGGATGCCTTGGGGTGGCTCCATTTTTAGAACCACATGTATGCTCACGGTTATTTCTGAATTCTTGCGTATTGTCGTGTTAGAGTTTCTGGAAGACTAAATTTGAATTCATTTTATTGTTGGTCCTGATACACTCCATAGGGTTGCAAAGAATCAGACATAGCTGAAGCGACTTAACATGGCTGGTTCTTAATGCCCACAGTAGGTATTAGGAATTTTCTGAGAGTCTGTGCTTTATCCCTTTGGATCCTTTCTCAGAAACTTTGATGACTGATACTTTCAGTACTGTCCTTGGCCTGAAGAAAACTTGAGGAAAATAATTTTCTCATAAATTAAAGTTCTAGGAAATTCATGCACATTTTTAGAGATTAACTGTCTTCTGGGCACATTGATGGCTTCAGGAACCCGAAGTGATGTCTTTGTGACATTATTTTCTGTTTTGACCCTGTCTCCCTTGCTCTTGGCTCTTTCTCAACTTCTTCGTGGTGCTGGAATTTTTTTCTTAATTACTTAATTTTAATGGGAGGCTCATTACTTTGCAGTATTGTGGTGGTTTTTTTCCATACATCGACATGAATCCGCCCTGGGTGGACATGTGTCCCCCATCCTGAACCCCCTTCCCACCTCCCTCCACACCCCATCCCTCTGCGTTGTCCCAGAGGGGCTGGATATTTCATCTGTGGGTGTCTCACACCTGATCTGTGTTGCAGAGGATTTCATGTTCCCAGCGTGTTTATAGCTACATAATATTTACATAATTTTCCATTAACAAAATAAAAGAATACTTACCTTGTAAGTGTTATTGATAAAATGTATGCATCTTGCTTTGAGTGAGGTTGATGTGTAGCTTCAAGGTTGCAGAATCTGGAGGGCATTTGACCGCTTTTGTCTGTGTTGAGAGCCTCGCGCTGCCCCGGGCCCCTCAGCAAGCAGATGACAGCCTGTAGCCTGCTCTGCTGTGATGTGTTTGCAGGCGGGCATCTACACTTCCCCAGATGGCCAAGGTGTTATGAGGGCTTCTTCCTTAAAGAAGAAAGGGGAAGGTATGAAATCCTTTCTGAGTCATATTAGTGTCTTGAGGCCAGTTATGGGGTTGAGATTGGTTTAACTTATTTTGAAGTCAGGGATAGAAGAAGAAATACACTGAGGAATGAGGTTACTTAACAGTGGAGAGGTCCCACTTTCGGATGGTTCCTGCTGATGCCGACCTTGCCTCGTGAGTGACTGGAGCTCAGTTCTCCCCCGAGGGTGCTGTTCCCTGGGCAGATGGGCACCTCCTGCAGGAAGACAGCCGGCCCTCCAGCTGTCCGAGTGTCTGTCCATGATGACCCTTAATATTTTTGTCTTTTCTGGTTGCGTCTTTATAACAGTCAGTTAGGGCAGGCAGAGAAGGTGTTTCGGTTCATATTTAAGAAAACTGCAACTCCTCTGGCAGCTTAAGAGACTTACGTCTGATCATAAAACTGATTAGTGTCTGAGTCATGTCCATAACCCAGAATTTTACCTCCTCCTCCAACTTAAAAAAAAATTGCATGTTAGATCCTGGTCGAGGAAGTAAGGTCCCACAAGCCACACAATACCGCCAAAAAAAGCTTTGGTAAAATACACAAGCCGAAAGTTACCATCTTAAATTATGAAGCTCAGTGACATTACATTAAGTCCATTCCATCAATGTACAGCCATCACTGGACACCATTGGTTTCCAGAGCTTTTTTATCATCCCAATAAAGCCATCAAGCAGTAACCACCGAACTCTGTTCCCTCCAGTCCCTGGTAGCACCATTCTTCTTTTTATCTCAGTGAATTTGACATCTCTAGGTCCCTCAGACAAGTAGCTGCTGCTGCTGCTAAGTCGCTTCAGTCGTGTCCGACTCTGTGCGACCCCATAGACGGCAGCCAACCAGGCTCCCCCGTCCCTGGGATTCTCCAGGCAAGAACACTGGAGTGGGTTGCCATTTCCTTCTCCAATGCATGAGAGTGAAAAGTGAAAGTGAAGTTGCTCAGTCGTGTCTGACTCTTAGCGACCCCATGGACTGCAGCCCACCAGGCTCCTCTGCCCATGGGATTTTCCAGGCAAGAGCACTGTAAGGATCACACGGTATTTGTCTTGTGACTGGCTTATTTCACTCAGTATAGTGTCTTCCCTGTGGCTTCCCTGGTGGCTCAGGTGGTGAAGAATCTGCCTGCAATGCAGGAGACCCAGGTTTGATCCCTGGGTCAGGAAGATCCCCTGGAGAAGGAAATGGCAACTCACTCTAATATTCTTGCTTGGAGAATTCCGTGGACATAGGAGCCTGGTGGGCTGCAGTCCTTGGGATTGCAAAGAGTCAGACACGACTGAGCGACCAACACTTTGACTTGATAATTATTGTCAGTGTTCGTCCATGTCATGTCATATGTTGGAACTTCATTCCTTTTTTCCCCTACCTTAACCATTTTTGTTTGTATGTTCAGCAGCGCTAGTTATATTTGCATTGTAGTGCGATGAATCATTCCTGTTTAAAGCTAACGGTGTTCCACGGTATTTACCACATTATATTTATCCATCCATTTGTCCGTGCACAAGTTTGGGTTGTTTCTACCTTTTGGCTTTTATGAATAATGCTGCAGTGAATAATGGTGTGTCCCTCCTCTCTCTTCCTCTGAGCTCTCTTACTGTTTGTAGAACTCAGTATGAGTGCCTTTTCACCTGCAAACAAGATAAATGTTTAGAGCGTTCATTGTGGATGTCAGAAACAGCCCTAAAGTCTAAGCCTCATTAAATCAAATGAGGTTGTGTGGTGTAGGAAGGAAATGTAACTTTGGGGAATGTGAATGGAAATAATTAGCTAGAAATTGAATCATTTTTATTTATTCAAGGGAATAACCAGCAAGTGCCTGTCAAGAATGAAGTAGACAGTTGTGAAACTTTGAAAAAGGTTGACACAAAGTCTTCTTCAGAGAAGAAGATTCACAAAGCAGCTAAAGAAGACGGATGTTCTGAGAAGCAGGACATAGCTTCAGTCGAGGTCTGTATCCATTTTTTTCTTGCCTTTTAGAACAAAACCCAGTTTTAGGGCTTCAAGTTGCAAATATCTGTGTAATAACTGTACATTTGTATTTCATACTTTTCAAAGAGGATCGTTACATATTTTGATTTCACGTGGATAATTGGTGAGGTTGACGTATTCAGAAAGTTTATCTTCTAATTATATAGGAAATACTAAAATAATTTTTGATGACATCAGATAGCTTTTATTTGCAAGAGAAGCTGTTCTTAAGCAAAATGGGTTAACTGCTGGGTAAAAATGGCAGAGTAGAACCAGATCACATCTATCTTCTCTAATTGTTACCCAGCATCCTTTTTTAGGGCAAAACCTTGCTGGTTTAGAAGCACAGGCCAGTGTCCCACAGGAGAGGGATGCCTGTCCAGCTTCAGTGTGTGGGCTCTGGCAGGACAGACTCCCAGAAGAAAGAGCAAAGCTTGGGTACTGTCCCACCATGTGGACCACTGCAAAGTGTCTAAAAAGCGGAACCCAGCGTGTATCTGATAGGAAACAAAGTTCCCAGATAAAGATGGGAAAGGGATTCAGGAGAATTTATCTGCTTTACCTCAGAATAGAGCTGTGCACAAGCACAGTGGAAAAAATAGCGTTGCAACTATGCCGATAAACTGTAGAAAAAATGAAGAGAAGAAATAGAACATGCCAAAAACAGACCAAGGTTCTAATCCAGATGAAAACCTATCCAGAGACATGAAGGGAACTTTGAGAACACCTTACGCAGTAGACTATGAATTCAGTAAAACACAAGCTTTTAAAGGCAGATTAATAGGTGAGAATGTAGTTGGAAGAGGTGTATGACAGTGGCTGAAAATTGATTTACTGAGCTGAAGGAAAGGCTTAGAGATAACCAGAGTGAACGTGGAGGAAAAATTTTAAGAGATTGATTTTAGGGAAAAGATGATAATAGATAGGGGGACAAAGACAAAAATAGTCCAATGTAAAAGAATGATTGTCTCAGTAAGTGGCCCAACAATGGATCAGAAAAGTATTCAGTGATGTAATAGAAGAAAAATTTCCTAATGTGACGGTAAAACTGAGTTTAAAGATTCAGAGTCACACTGTGTACACCAGAAATGCTGATCCGTGATAATAAACATAAGCACATCCTGGTTAAGGTGTTGAACTTAAAGTTTAAAGAATTGTGCAGAAAAGACGGGAAATAAATATACGTATGTCTATGGCTGATCCATGTTGATATATGGCAGAAACCAATACAATATTGTAAAGCAATCATTCTCCATTTAAAAATAAAAAATTTTAAAGAAAAGGCAGGAAAAATCAGACACACACCTAGGTTTGCCTCAGGCTTTGTAGAAGCATCTAACATCTGAGAGCAGAAGAGTTCTCTCCTTGAGACAGTGAAAATGTGAATGCAAACATTATGTCCAGAGAAGCTGGCACTCAGGCTCAGAGGCAATAAACATGCATCTGCAAACGCAAATGCACTTGGCAGCCTTGCTTGAAAAATGAAGTTAATGAAATTTAGGCACCCAAGATGAAAGTATAGATAGACTCAGGATCGAGGAAGCTGTGTTAAGGATCTTAGGTTTCTGTCCATTTTATATCCAGAACTAAGGCTGAACAGTTGTCGATTACAATGGTAGAACAGAAATCAAATATTAAAACTTGAATGAAGCAGAAATAGTAATAAAATCTGCAAAAACAGGAGGCGGGATTGAAAGGTGAGTGTAAAGTAAGTTTTAATTTTCTCTTTCTTGGTAGCAAGCCAAATCTGTGCAAAACTGAAGCATGTAGTTGAAAAGGGTGAGAACCTAGAAAAATCTGTTTCTCCGTCTCTCTCTTAACCTGAGAGATACCCTTGAGGAATTAACGTATCGCGCGGAAAAGAAACACTGATTGGAAGTTGGCATTCCTTTGGCTCTGCTTGGTTTTCTTCTGTTAAGTTCAAATAAAATTGAACCTTAAAGTTTTATTTAAAAACAGTGCATGGTCTTAGTTTTCTAAATTACTCCCATCATCTGTCCTGCCACCCTGATGTGAGTATAGGTTTTAAAAAGACATTTAAAAAAATAAGGTTTGCTAAATAATCAATGGGAGAACAGGGTTATTTCTCAGGGGTGGGATTTTAGGGAGGGAAGGATAACAAATGGAAAACAACTGGCAGGCTGCTGTCTTCTTGAAGGTCGTGATTGAGTATCTTTAAATTCAGTTTCATAAAGTTGGGCAAAGTGCCTGTAATGAAGAGCCAGTGTGGTGGTTTAGCAAGTGCTCAAATGAATGTGTGAATAGGGCATTTCTGCAGGATCTGTCCGGGTGTTTTGGAGGCAGGTTGGGGAGGGCAAGGGTAGGTACCGGCTCTGTGCTCACCAGGAGGCTGTTCCTCTGCTGGGAGGTGTGATGTAATCAAGACTGGGCTTGGCAGGAGCAGGGGTACACGATGGCACAGTGTAGAAGAGAGATCTCAGGACTTCTGAGGACCTGAGTGCTTGAAGGAAAGGAGCCATCTTTTTTGCAGAGCCATTTGCAAAAATAGCTCCAGGGTTTTAAGTCTGGGAAACTAGAATGTGGGGAACTGGGACTTCTCCTTTGCTGCGTTCATGTTCATCTCAGGGCAGTGTTGCCTAGTGGTTTAGTGGCATGGGTTTTTTGTTTTTGTTGGTTTTTTTTTGCAGCTGGTGTGAATCCAGCCCAACTCTTACTCCTTAACGTGGGGTGAGTTACTCAACATCGCAGTTTCCTCATGTGAAACGTGAGAGTAGTGATAGTATTCCTACCTCTTAGGGTCTCGAGGATTGGAGGAGTGGTAAGTGCTTAGGACGGCAGCCCTTGGGAAGCACTGCGCAGTAGTTGGAATCAAGGAGGTGACAGGTGTGACTGTGATCGCTGCCAACAGAGGGGGGCCAGATGGGCATGGCGGTGCTTCGTGGCCGGCAGGTACGGAGCTGGAGCCGCTGCTGCGAGGCAGGCCCTGGAGAAGGGGGTGTATTCTGACTGGAGAATACCATGGACTGGAGACTACCCCTGGAGTCCAAGGGGTTGCAAAGAGTCAGACAAGACTGAGCAAGCTTCACTTCACTAGAAAATACCAAACAGTAGAATTACACCTACTGTATTTTAAGATAACCTGGAAGCATGGTGTAAAGCTGAGAAAAATTCTTCCTGGCTGAAGTCTGGTATTAGTTTTGTTGCTAAGCAGTGACCCCATGAACTGCAGCATGCTAGGCTTCCCTTGCCTTTGAGTTTGCTCAAAGTTGTGTTCATTGAGTCAGTACAATGAGCTTTCCCAACTTGCACAACTGTATGTTTTGGATCCATTTTTATTTAATATTTATACTCTCAAATGGCCTTATTTTTATTTGAATCAAACCCTCATTGTAGTGGGATCCAGCCCACTACAGTGCAATGAAACATGTGTCCGGGAGGGACTCTGTCCCCGTGGAGGTTAGCACTGAAGGGTGTTGTGAGCTCTCTGAGGCGGGCGCGGACGCCAGCGGCCCGAGTCTGCTTGACGGGCTAGCGGAGCAGGCAGACAGCAGGCGAGCCGGCCGGGCCGCGGGGACGGGGCGCACGGGCAAGAGCAGAAGTCCAGTCGGTGGACCTGGGGGAGAACGGCCTGGACGCAGCTGGGAACAGGACGCTGTGCTGCGCTGCGCTGCGGCGAAGCGGAGGCCGACTCCAAGGGCTGCCGACCCCGCTGCCCCCTGGCCGTGTGTCCTGGGTGGTGGTGGGGGGAGCCGATCCCGGCAGGGCCTTGAGTGCACCCGCCAGGCTGGAGGTGTGGCCCTGCCTGCCCGTGGGGGGCACGTGCCCCCTGCCCCGCCCCCAGCCACAGAGCTTCCCCGGCTCCCGTCCAGACTTGCCCTCTGCGTCGGTGCCTGCGTGCACCGAGCCCGGATGCTCCATGGACCCCGGTCCAGGGCTTGTGTCTGCTCCGCCTCCCCTCCCTGCTCCGTGCAGGCAGCGGGCTCCGCGGGGGCCGCACTGGGGCCGAGAGTCTGGGGGCTCGGGCCCGGCTCGGGGGTCCGAGGCCCCTCACAGTGGCTGAGCGGCTTTCCGGGGCAGCGGGGCTGGGGGTGGGCTGTGGGCGGTCCTCTCTGCTGACTCGGGGGCCTGCTCTTTAAACCCCTTGAGTGTACTTTCCATTTCGTTGTTCGCTTGGAGAAAATCATTCTCAGCAAACGCGTCCCCGAGTGCAGCGCTCAATGTTTGTTTTTCTTGCGCATTCTTGGGGCCTAACTTTGCAGCTAAAAGATTGTATAAATCTGTCTATAGCACATGGGGAACATTCCTCCAGATTTATTGGCGAAGGAGGTTGAAGCCCAGATTTGGGAGCCACAAACCAAATTTTAGTCCCAGCCCTGGCTGTTTATTTTCTTGTAAGCAGATCTCCATCCCCTGCTTAGAAAAGGAATTCATGACTATTATAGAAGCGTAAAGAAGGGAGGAAAAGATGTGTCCAGAATGGATCACTTTTCGCATTTTCTGTATTCTCTTGCTTCTCTGTGCAAGCATTGAAAAACGCGGGATAATTATATTATTGTGTATACGGAGCTTTGTTGTAATGTCATAATTTTGAATTTTCTCGTGTTAGAAATTAATGAGGAACTTTGTTTTCAATGGTTACATAACATTCCATCACTTAATTGTGCCGTAATCCAAACCGTTTCCCTGCAGTTGAACATTAGAGTTGTTTGCAGCTTTTTATTTTCATAAATAACAAGATGGTGAACTAAGTGGCCTGTGTACCTGGTATATCCTTGCTATAGCTTTCTGGAAATAGAGTTAAAAAGCATCAGCTGTCAGGGCCCCTCCTGTGTGCCTCCAGCTTGCTCTCAGAAAGACGGTGCCTGTCTCCCTTCATGCAGGGTACGTGACAATGGTCCTGTACTCCGGTCTCAGCAGCACTGTTCTTTGGCAAAATCTTGGTCAGTGGGATAGGTAAACAAGTGCATTTTTTCATTTCAGTTTGCATCTCTTACTAGAGAAAAGTAAGGATTTTCCTTCATTCTTTTTGTAAAATTCTGAAAAGCACAAGATACCATTATCCAAGATCCTACCACTGACGTTTTTTAAAATATGTACTTTGTCTAAGTTAAGATGTGAATGTCTACGCCAGTCTCGCTTGCCCTGCTGAGAGACACAGGAGAGACACATGCTGTTACAGCGCACTGCCCCACCCCCTAGCCTGCCCCTGTCTTTGCAGGCATAAACACACAGTGTAAACACACTTGTGTTTTTAAAGTCAAAATGGAAAGGTGAGATATAAGTTGGTCTATGATTTGTCTTTTCTAACAACACGCTTTATTGTTAAATATTTTGAAGGCCGTCTTCGTGCTTTTGGCCTTCTGTTGCTTCTGTGAACTTGCGTTTCATGCCGTTTGTCCACTTCCCTGTTGAATGTGTTTTTCCCCCCTTGTTTTCTTTGAGAGCATAGGTGAGGGTGTTAACTCTGTCAAATAGTAAAACGATTTTTTCCCTTAGTTTGCCCTTCCCTCCTTTTATTTGACTTACGTACAGTAGCTTTAAGAATGCCTTTGTGCAGTCTGTGATTTCTTTTTTATTTCTCCCCTTGCCTTCATTATTAAAGCTTAGGCAACCTTATTTCCCCACCCTGTGATCAGTTGGTTGTGTCTCATTCAGGAAGATCAGGTAATTCAATAGTGGCGATGATAGCTCAGTCTACGGACACTGCCTGCTTCGTGTCGCGTACTTGACGCCTCACGACAGCCTTTGGAAGACTTGGGAAACTGAGGCCGAGGGAGATAAAGCTACTTGCCCAAGATAACTGAGCCTGTCACACGGAGTGGGGCTCAGGTCGGGCGGTTCAGCCTCAGAGACTCCTAATTTCAGATCTGCACGGACCCTTCAGACCCTGGGTAGCCCTGCCTCCTCACCACCAGAAACCAAAGACCCACTGTCCCTGTCTTCCTCCTGTTTCCCGACAAGTCTGTAGCTTTGGTTCCCCTCAGCTCCACCTGCAGCCTCAACTGCTGGCGTGCCCTCCCCTAGCTGCCTCTGGCCACAGCCTCTGCACCACCTGATGCTTCTCTGACACACAGACAGACAGACAGACGAGAGACACACGCACCGTCTCCCCGGCCGCTCCTGTGTTTGCTGCACCCTGCTTCTGCGACAGCCTTTGGAAGACTTGGGAAACTGAGGCCGAGGGAGATAAAGCTACTTGCCCAAGATAACTGAGCCTGTCACACGGAGTGGGGCTCAGGTCGGGCGGTTCAGCCTCAGAGACTCCTAATGTCAGATCTGCACGGACCCTTCAGACCCTGGGTAGCCCTGCCTCCTCACCACCGGAAACCAAAGACCCACTGTCCCTGTCTTCCTCCTGTTTCCCGACACGTCTGTAGCTTTGGTTCCCCTCAGCTCCACCTGCAGCCTCAACTGCTGGCGTGTCCTCCCCTAGCTGCCTCTGGCCACAGCCTCTGCACCACCTGATGCTTCTCTGACACACACACACACAGACAGACAGATAGACAGACACACGTGCCGTCTCCCCAGCCGCTCCTGTGTTTGCTGCACCCTGCTTCTGCGTCGCTCCATCCACACCATGGCCAGCATGTCCCCGCTCTCCTGAAGCTCACAGGCAGCCTCCCCCCGCCCCGGGCTAGCCCTCCGGTGCTCCCCTCTTTGAGCCACGCCAGCGCTCACCCTTCTGGCTCCATTAGAAGCTGACCCTTCACGTGTGGGTGACCCTGGGACAGAAAGGCTCAGATCCCTGCTGTGTTGTATATTTCCAACTTATGCTGGGGTAGGGGGAGAGTGAGTTGGGGAGGAGCCGGCTTTTCCCCTACCCCACCAAAAGCTGGAAAGAGCAATACTCAAATAAATGTGGTTTGTATTTGATGTTTAAAATCGCATATTCTCTGACCACACATCTTTAGTGTGTCTATTTAGTTTAGAACTTTCTAGCATTAAGTCCTATAGGATAGGACTTTGTGTGTTTGTCTTGCCATGTTTTAAAAGTACTCTCAGAATCAGGAAAAACACTTACTTGAGGGGGAAAATACAGGTTAAAGATAGCAAAAATACCATAATCCCACCACATATGCAGTTTAAAAATATCATTTTATTTCTAGTGTTCGCTTATGGTAGTGATATCTATCATATTTCTTTGATAGATACATGAGGCTTTCACTGCCCCAGTCATGTAACATGCAGTCATCTAAAACCTTTTATTTTTCTTCTGCTTTAAAGGGGCAGTGTGGTAGAAGGAAGAAGAAAAAGTTTTAGGACATTAAAGGGATGAGCTACTTAAAAAATTTAAAAGGCAAGGGGACCGCTCCTCTCCTTGGGCCTGTAGAAAAATGTGCAGAAAATGTGACCATGCCTCACATTTAAAGGACTTCTCAGGTGGCTCAGTGGTAAAGAATCTGCCTGCCAATGCAGGAGCCTCAGGAAACACGGGTGTGATCCCTGGGTCGAGAAGATCCTCTGGAGGAGGAAATGACAGCTCATTCCAGTATTTTTGTCTGGAAAATCCCATGGGCAGAGGAGCCTGGTGTGTCCTTAGTTTTCACTAGTTCTGGAATGTTCTGAATTCAGATGGGGGTAGTCTTCAAAAGCTAAAATCACACAGAGGTTTTTCTGTGTATTAGAAAGGTGAAGACTTTACTAACGTTTTCTTTTTTCCTCTTTAGCAAGAAGATCCTTATAGGAAGAAGGCGCTTCAGGAGAAGAAAGAAGGAAATGTACAAAATTTAAATTGGAATAAAAATCGGATATGCAGGAAAAACAAAAAGAGGACTGCTGCCCAGGTCTTGAGGTGTGTAATTCTTACAGTCCCTTCAAGTTTTCATCCATTATTTACTTTGTAATTTTACACCTAGCTGTTAACCTTCCAATCTTATTTTTGTTGAGTTGGGCACAATAATGTGGGAGTGTAGATATTTGCGTTTTGAGAGGAAAATATATTGTTGAAATTAATATTCTTAAAATTAACGTATCTTCTGGTTACTTTTATTTTTATTGGAAAGCCCCTTAAAATGAACAAATTTAAAAAATTTTAGTTGGTAAAATGCAAAAAGCCATGGAAGGTTTTAGGGAGAAAGCATAGTCATTCCACCTCGCCAGGGCCTTTGTTCTGCCTATGAAGTGACATGGAGCAGGTGGTAGAGAAAGCCCTGGGCTCACCTTCCCAGCCTGACCCTGAACTGCCTGGGCTGCCTGGGGTCCTGATAATGAGAGAGAACACCGCGTGCATTGGATCTTCTGCTCCGTCTTGCAGAAGGAAGGTTCTTCCTGCAGGAAGGGAGGCTCTGATACTACGAGGTTGGCCTGTGCCAAGAGCCAGATGTGACCCCAGGCAGTCAGACGTTCTTGCTGGTAAACCTTGCTTATCTGCCAGATGAAGGGTCCACCGGGATTTGTAGGAATCCCATTTGAGTTTCCACAAGTGGCTCTCTAAACCTAGTTTTGCATTAGTTCCACAGCTCGAGGGTTTTCCCACTAGATCAGTAGTGTGTCCATCCTGACTCCAGGCGCAGAGCACCTCCCACCCTCTCCCCGTCCCTGGGGCGCCTGCTGAGCCGCCCCGCGCTGACGGGCCCCCCGACCCCTGTCCGGGTGGCCTCGGCCTGCTCTCCCGCGCTGGCCCCGCGCTGACGGGCTCCCTGACCCCTGTCCGGGTGGCCTCGGCCTGCTCTCCCGCGCTGGCCCCACGCTGACGGGCTCCCCGACCCCTGTCCGGGTGGCCTCGGCCTGCTCTCCCGCGCTGGCCCCACGCTGACGGGCTCCCCGACCCCTGTCCGGGTGGCCTCGGCCTGCTCTCCCGCGCTGGCCCCACGCTGACGGGCCCCCCGACCCCTGTCCGGGTGGCCTCGGCCTGCTCTCCCGCGCTGGCCCCGCGCTGACGGGCTCCCTGACCCCTGTCCGGTGGCCTCGGCCTGCTCTCCCGCGCTGGCCCCACGCTGACGGGCTCCCTGACCCCTGTCCGGTGGCCTCGGCCTGCTCTCGCATGCTGGCCCTCCGCCCTCTGGCTTGTCTTCTCTTGAGCACTGGCTCTTGTGAGCTCAGCAAGGTGTTAAATGTGTCTGTCCCATTGTTCTCGGCAGCTCCACATTCGTGGGGAGAAGACTGCATGTTGGCTGCTCTCGTGGTTGGGAGGGAAATCTGCCAGAACAGCCGCTGTGGCGGCCAGGGGCCCCGGGTGGGGGCATCTGTCCTCCTTGGTTTGCACCCTTGGGATGCAGCCCTGCGACATGCCCCGCCCCCCACCGCCCCTGTGTGTCCTGCTTTACCGGGAGGAGGGCCAAGTGACCCTGGGGGCCTTTTTTTTTTTTTAAAGCTGCTTATTTATTTGGCTGTGCTGGGTCTAAGTTACAGCACACGAGATCTTTAGTTGAGGTATGTGGGGTCTAGTTCCCTGACTAGGGACCGAACCTGGACCCCCTGCCTTGGGAGCTTGAAGTCTTAGCCCCTGGACCACTAGTAGTCCCCTCCCCACCCCCAGGGGGCCTTTAGGCTCTGGTTCTGTGCCCTGCAATCAGCAGCATGCAAATAGGAACAAAAAAACAGAGACCCACTGTTAGATTATTAATGGGTAATTATTGATCTATTAAATTATTAAATACTGTTTTCATGGGTAATTATTCTTAGGCTACATTATTTGAAAGCTGCAATGTGATCTCCTATAGAAAGGAAAGTCACCCCTCATATTCTCATAAAAAGTTGATGGACTTATGTGGTTCCTTTAAAGTGGTATATTTGCTTGATAATGGACACACAAAAAGATAAAAGGTTAGGGTGGAGTTTCATCAATTGAATGTTAAGCTATATTTTTAAAAGCAGATTTCTGACATGAAAGAAACAAAGTTAAGTTATTACAGAATAACTGTGAACTATCTTATAGGTAATCCGAGTTTTCTGAGAATATGATGCTTACGTAGCTGATGGTTCTTGGCCTTTCTGCTCCCTTGGCTCCTGCTTCTGTCTCTGTACTCTTTGCCCTGAGTGCTCAGAATCCAGGGAGGCCACTGACTCCATCTCACGCTCAGATCCCGCAGTCATCCCTGACGTGAGGTACAGAAGTTGGAGTGTGTGAAATAATCACCGAGGCGTTCCTGTAGTGCTCTCTGGGACAATTTTGTGTCCCCATTTATAAGACCTGTATTTCAGGTCTTCCCTCAAGTTCATGGTCTAGTAGAGAGATCTAAGTGTTGGACCGTGAAGTCCTTGGGGAAAAAACGTTCTTCTTTGTAGATACTGCACCTTTCCTAACAATACGTGACTCGTGGTGATCACTGCATAAGTGTTTGCTAAATGAATGAATGAGAAAAGATATCAGCTAACACTCAGACCTTCCCTCACACCAAGAAGCAGGGTCATCCACCCAGAGTCATTTTACACTAAATGCAAGGAAGACACGCCAAGAGTTGTGGGTTTTAGTCCTGCACCTGCCACTTACCAGTTGACCTTGGGTGACTCATTGAACCTGTGCAGTATTACTCCTCTCACTGTAAAATACAAAGCGAGTAAATGAACTCCAACTTAATTCTGGTTCTAAAATGGCAAAAGCTTATCTTTCCTGATCTCTGTCCCTTACTCATCATCACCCCCAGAGAGAAGAGGGCTTGCGTTGTCACAGATTCACATTCTCATGCTGCTGAGAACAGGTATGTGTGTATGCAGGATACGTGCAGATGGGATTTTCTGTGGCTCTTCCAGGCCTTCCGACCAGAGTGAGTTAAAGCTGGTGTGCAGTGAGTTTGAAAGGTCTGAGCTGAGCAGTGACGTCAACGTAAGGAACTGGCGTATCCAGGAAAGCCCTGGGGAAGCGTGCAGAGCAGGTGCCAGCACTGGAGGCAGCTTACCTGGCACGCAGGGGGAGGCAGGTACGGAACCGCAGTGAGCTACGAACCACACTTCTGCTGGGCTTGTTTCCTCGGGGAGGGACCGGGGTGAGAGGTTACCACTTCCCAGGCAGAGTGTCCTCACGCCTGAGTGGAGAGCCGTTGGATGGGACAGGACGCTGAGGCTCTCCCGAGCCCGCGCGTTGCCCCTCTGACCTCCAACGCCCCTGAAATCTGGATTTTCGAGTGTGTCCTGTAGTTGGCCGGAGGGAGAGTGGGTGCTTGCTCGAGACAGGACTCCCTTGGATAGAGAGGGGAGCTGGGCAGGAACGGCCATGGGTTTGGCAGCACCAGGGTGGGGTGCAGAGCGGGGCGTCACGATCCTCCTACCAGCACCCACGTTCCCAGCCATATGCCCACCCGGGTGCACCCAGGACACTGAGCTGATGGGTTTCTGTTCCTGCCCTGCTCACCTGGGTCTGCCTGGAGGGTCTTCCCTCCCACACGTAAACCATATTCTGAAATGCGGGATGAACGTTTTTTAAAATGTTTTCATTAGAGTATAGTCAATTTGCAATATTGTGTCAAGTTTCAGAGGTACAGCAAAGTGATTCTTTTTTATTTATTGGTGGACATTTTAATAGAAGCAGTGACCTCCGTGTCTCCAGTCCAAGAGAGTAGTCTTGATTTTCTGGAGGGAAATCCTTGCTGTTCCCAGAACCATTGTTAGGCTGACATCACCCCAGGTGCTGGCGGTCTCACCCCCACGGCATGCATCGCCCGGCTGCTGCAGAGTGAGGGGACGTGTGATCAGCACGCGGCTGCCTCCGGCCGGTCGTCAGTCTCAGGGGGTGTCTGCCTTCTCGAGGAAGCCGAGCCCCGCCTTCCTCCCCACTCGGCCACTCTCCTCTTCCTGGAAGTGGCCGGGCTCCTCTCTTGCTTCCCGCAGAGGGTTACTTTCCGAAACCGGGGAAGAAGGGTGCAGAGAAGTCCTGCTCAGACTCCGGCTCAGACTGTGGCAGCTCCTCGGGCAGCGTGCGCGCCAGCCGGGGCAGTTGGGGCAGCTGGAGCAGCGCCAGCAGCTCTGACGGGGACAGGAAGCCGGCCGCGGGCCCTCCGCGCTGCCTGCTGCCAGGTAAGTCCGCGGCTGGGCCAGGGCCCCACCCGCCCCGAGCAGGGCCCGCCCAGGCGCAGGAGGCTGTGTGTCCAGTTGTTTGCTTTGCTTTGCTTTCGTTCTAATGCTTATTATTTATTTCACTTATTTTGGGTGTGCTGGGTCTTCCTTGCTGCACAAGCTTTTCTTTAGTTGCGGCAGGTGGGGAGTACTCCCTAATTGCAGTGCCCAAGCTTCTCATCCCGGTGTCTTCTCTTGTTGCAGAGCGCAGGCTCTAGGGCGCAGGGGCTTCAGCAGTTTCGGCTGCTGGGCTCCAGACCACAGGCTCAGTAGTTGTGGCGCTTGGGCTTAATTGCCTTGTGGCAGGTGGGATCTTCCCAGAAGGGGGGATTGAACCTTTGTCTCCTCCGTTGGCAGGCAGATTCTTTACCGCTGAGCCGCCAGGGAAGCCCCAGTGCTTTGGATTTTATTCACTTCCTTTTTCTTTCTTCCTTCCTCCCTCCGTTATCATTATTATTAAGTCTGTATCTTGAAAACAGTTCAAAGAATTTCCATGTTTATTTTTTCATCTGTACATGTTTTTATTGTGGTGAGATACATGTAACCCAAAATTTACCATTTTAACCATTTGTAAGTGTGCAGTTCATGGGCATTACATACATTCACATTATCGTGCAGCCGTCACCACCATGCGTTTTCAGACCTTTCCCCCTTCCCGAACAGAGGCTCGGTACCTGTAAGTCCACAGCTCTTCCTTCCCCACCCCCTGCAACCCTGTGAACCTCTCCTCTGCTTTCTGTCTGAATTTGAATACTCTAGTACCTGGTAAGTCAAGTCATACCATACCTGGCCTTCTGTAACTGGCTTATTTAGCATGACGTCTTCAGGTTCATCTCCATTGTGATGGACCAGGGTTTCCTTCGTTTTAAGGCTGAGTTTATTATTCATTGTCTTTTCATACCACAGTTTATCTGGCTGTTCATCTGTTGATGGACACCTGGATTTTTCCATCGTTTGGGTACTGTACTAATGTTGCTGTGAACAGTGGTCCTCCTTTATTTTTGAAAAATTTACAGGTACAGGACATGTCAATGAAGCACCTATATTTTTATCACTTAGAATGAATAACTCTTTATTTTGTCATATTTACCCTCTTTTTTTTTTTAAGAAGTCATAGTCTGTTCCGCTTGCCCCTCCTTGAGAGGCTCGCTGTCCACTGTGTGTTATTTCACATTCACACATCCATCGACAAAGCAGAGAATTGTCTTTAATGTACATGAAGGAGTCTGTGCTTCAGTAAGCGTGCCGCGCTTGTGCCTTCTCCCTCGGTGTGGTTTGCTCTAGCTCTGTGTCTGTAAGATGTAGTTCACTTCTTTTCACGTTATAGTCAGCATGGTACAGGTTGAGCTCTGTTACCAGGACAGGCGGGGAGACGGGTTCACCCTTGGGGCACTCACTGTGTGTGTGCCTGGTCATGAGTCGGGGGTCATGACTGGCTCAGAGCAGTCACGGGGCTTGCTGGACGCCCAGAATCCCACGGCTTCCCCAGAGCCCTGCCCCTTTTCCAGCTTCCTGCTCCTTGCAGTGGCCTCTGCGCGCTGTCCTGCCAACAGTGATACCTAAACAGAAGCTCTCGTCCGGGGGACCGGGACCCTAATGCCATAAAAACCGAGACAGCCACCCCCTTGTGATTTCTGTCTTTTTTCTCAGCCTTTTTCTCATTTTGGCTCCTCCTGCAGGCATCTTTTTAGACACTGCTTGCCGAGTGACCCCCCCATAAAATCTCAGTGCCACCCGCATAGAGCAGGCGTCTCTCTGACTGCCCCGTGCCTTACCCATAGCGATCAGCTATTCTCCTGCCCCGTCCTGAGCAGGCATGACACCACCCCGTGGGGAGCGCATGCAGGCTTGGGCGCAGGGCAGATCGCAGCATTTTGTTTGGTGGTGGGCCTGGTGTGCTTGACCATTGAGGGCAGTTTGACTGTTGATGCCAATGGGAGCATTTTTAAATTGGTGCTTAACATCAGCAAGAACAGAAGAGCGTCTCTCGCCTGTGGGATGCGGCCCACAGTAAGAAAGAGGGAAAGGTGATTGACTGATGATGCCTTACTGTGATGCAGGGCGTTAGATGCAGCCTAGGTGTGTTTGGAGGTTGCATAATAAATGTCGGGAAAGTGTCCCCAGTGTAATAATCATGTAAAAGACCGAAAGCGAAAGTGTTTTTAAAATGTGATCACAATTTTACACATATTTGTACATAAAAGGTTTTTTAATTAAAAAATTACTGAATGTGTGAATACAGTTAAAAGTGAAAAATCACTCATAGAGGTTAATTATGTTAGCAGTCTGCATCTTAAATGCAGAATAGATACAGTTGAATTATGCTTATAAAAAGTTCTGATCATCTTTTTGTTTTTATGCAGGAGACAGTGTTTCACAAAATGACTTTTCCTCTGAAGCTCCCATCTCCTTGAATCTTTCTCATAACGTCTGCAATCCCACGTAAGTGTTTGGTTTTCCTCTGAAGCTCCCATCTCGTTGAATCTTTTTCATAGCATCTGCAATCCCATGTGTTTGGTTTTCCACCTTTGACTCTATGTTTCAAGTACCACTTTTTTTTTTTCATTTTGGGTGTTTTTTCTTTGTTTTTAGTTCTGTGGACTAAAAATAGGAAAACCTTTTAATGATATGAGAGTAAAATTGATTTTATTACTAATTTAAAGCATACATTCCTTCCAAGATAACATGTTCGTGCAGGAGCATCTCTGGTATCCCTGGTCCTTTCAGTGATATGGATGTTAGAAAAATTCACTGTCCTGAAAGTAGGAAAAACAGTAGTTAGAATAAGAATGGGAGCCAGATACTCTGCTGGGACTTGAAATAAAACAGCGTTGATGGTTCTTAGAAATGTGCAAGGACCTAGTAGACAGTCAGGTTTATGGCTTCACTGTGCGATGATTTCCACAGCTTCAGACAAAACAAACGAGCCCATTTACTGAGGGTGGAGGGCGGGTTAGGGTATGTAGGTGGATTGAGTTTCAGAGTGAGGGGGCAGTTAGGTTTTAGGTGCCACAGGAGGACAGGAGATGTCACAGAAATAAAATTGGATGAGGGAAGCTCTAGGCGAGCTCTTTCTTTTCAGGGTAGAGAATAAACACGGGGTGGGAGGTTGCTGCCAGCCGCAGGGAGGCCGACTGGAAGCTGCAGACCATCTGAGCTACTCAAGTTAAAGTTGTCAATTGCTGTTTACTAAGCAAGACTTTGCTGGGTCTTAGGAATCTGATATTCTTCAGCCCTTCTCTGGGTGTATGCCTTCACGTCTGTAGCATCCATCTGTTTTGGTGGGGGGAAGCATTATGTCAAACCGTAATCAGACTTGTTTGCAGAGCCTCAGTGGCTCCTCCTCTGCTTGCTCTCCCCCAGGGACGTGAGCAGCCTCCCCGTGCCTGCGGACGCTCCCTGCCCCAGCCTCCCCGCTGGGCCTGCCGCCACTGAAGATCAAGGTGAGGCCCGTGGCTCCTGCTCCTGCTCAGGGTCCACGCCGCCCTGCTGACCGGGGAGCTTGAGGGCGGACGGAGCTGGTCTGGGGGTAAGGGGGGGCGAGGCCCCCGCCTTGGGCTCCTGAGCATCTCTGCCCTCCATCCTGGCATCCCCAGGGCCTCCTTCCTGGGGGAGCAAGGCGCAGGCAGCCTGTGGCCCCAGAGCGGGGGTGGGGGCCCCTGGACGGGGTCTGCCTCTGCCTTTAGTTCCCCTTCTCATCTGAGATGGCAGAAAAGCAGGGAGCAGACCCAGGGTCCAGTGCCTCCATTGGCCACATCGAACACACCCATGTCTTTGCCCTGCACGAGCCGAGGCCATGTGCCAGCTCTGCGGCCCCTCTGAGCAGGGACGGGGGTGGGGGACAGGTGGGGACAGTGACTGGGGCGTGGACCTGGGGCTGGTGGGAAGGAAACTGCTCCACCCAGGGCCTGTCCCGGAGGCCTCCCCTCTCTTCTTCCTCCCTTCTCCTTTCTTCCCTTCTCGTTCCCCTGTCTTATGTTTCCTGTTTTCTCCTTGGGCCTCCGTCCTGCCTCGCCAGGCCCCGGCTGCGAGGGCAGCTGTCTACCTCTTGCTTTTGCTCGCGTTCCTGGTGCAAGTTAAAGGCTGCTCGGCACAGTGGAGCGCGTTAACTTTGAATGCAGGAGGCGGCTCCGGAGCGCGTTAACTTTGAATGCTGGAGGCGGCTCCGGAGCGCGTTAACTGAATGCAGGAGGCGGCTCCGTGCGGCTTTATGGTTACGTTTTGGAGTTGCTGTCCGATTATCACCAGAAATAAGTTATTTGTGAGTCCAATAAAAATAAGTGGTTTTTTTTCCATTTATTTTTATTAGTTGGAGGCTAATTACTTTACAATATTGTAGTGCTTTTTGCCATACATTGACATGAATCAGCCATGGATTTACATGTATTTCCCATCCTGATCCCCCCTCCCACCTCCCTCTCTGCCTGGATATTGTTTTCTGGCTGTGCCATGTAGCGTGTGGGATCTTAGTTCCCTGACCCTTGAACCCACACCCTCAGCAGTGGAAATGTGGAATCCTAACCATTAGACAGCCAGGGAATTCCAAGAAATTTTTAAAATATAGACTTAAAAGAAATATTCTCATTTGCAAAACTGAGAACATAAAAAAAACCCATCATGATTTTCAGACAAACTTTGGGTCTTAATAAGACAGGGCAGCAAGGTTGCTGAATACAAAATCAACATGTAAAACCTAATAGTGTTCCCACACATTAGTAGTACCCAAGTATACATTTAACAGGGAAAAAAGATCCCCAACCTGAGATTGTCCACAATGCCTTCCTTCTGGATCATGAAAAAATTCTGCTTCCTAGACTCCCCATGTCTGTCCTTACTTCCCTCAAATTCATTCTTCACTCAGAAGCTAGTGATCTTTTGTAAACATAAATTAGATCACACCACACTCCTTTAACCTTTCAAAGGCCACTCATTAGTTAGAATTAAATTCCAAGGGGAGTTTAGGGAAGAATGGATACAAGTATATGTATGGCTGAGTCCCGTTGCTATCCACCTGAAACTATCACAATACTGTTAATCAGCTATCTAAGTGTCCAAGTGTTGGTCACTCAGTCCCGTCTGATTCTTTGCGACCCTGCCAGGCCCCTCTGTCCACGGAATTCTCCAGGCAAGAATACTGGAGTGGGTTGCCATTCCCTTCTCCAGGGACTCTTCCCGACCTAGGGATCAGACCTGGGTCTCCTGTGTTGCAGGTGGATTCTTTACCGTCTGAGCTACTATACTCCAATATAAAATAAAAAGGTTTTTTAAAAAAGAATTAAATTCCAGTTTTTATCATGCCCATGCTCTATATGACCTGGCTCCACCTATTCTCCAATCCACTCCCCCACTACCACCCCATCCTGTTCCTCACCAGCCATACGAACCTTCTTTCAGTTCCTGAAAGAAGGAACTTTCCTTCTTTCGTGTCACTCTTTCCTGTCCCAGCGCTTCCACATAGTGCTACTCCCTCTTCCTGGGATGCTTCCCGCATGTTCACCAGCCTCCCGCCCGCTATCACCTGAGTATTCCCGGTCAGCCCTCAAGTCTCAGCTTAAATGTCACCTGCTTAATCTGAGTAAAGTCCCTTCTCTCTTAGCGCCTGCTTTTTTCTTTCATATGACCACTGTAATGTGTAATAATATCCCATTACCTGTTATACCATAGTATGTAATCACATTTTTACTCATGTATTATTTTCTTTCTTAATTTTATTTAATGTTTTTATTTATTGGCTGAACCACACAGCCTGTGGGATCTTAGTTCCCTGACAGGGATCAAACCCATGCCCCCTGCATTGGAAGCACAGTTTTAACCACTGGACCTCCAAGGAAATCCCACTCATGGGTTGTTTACTCATTGCCTTGATTCCCTTCTAGGCCATAATTCCTATGAGGGCAGAAGTCATGTCTTTCGTGCTTCCCGGAGCATTTAACAGAAGCTGTCATATAACAGATGCTTAACAAGTATTTTCTAAATGAATCAATCCAGAAATGAATGACAGAGTTTGCTGATTTAGCTCAAGTCTCAGCAGCATGCCTGCTGGACTCTTCCCAGGATTCAGGTTTGTTTTGAGGAAGGAGGGACCTCTAGGGGTCTATCTGGATGAGGGACCAAGAAGCCTCATCAAGGAGCAAATGAGGCCACATGGGCTTGGTTTATGGTCCATGGTTCAGCATCACAGCTGGCGGCAGGGTTCTGAACACAGTGCTGCACCTAGCCATGACTTCTACCCCACCTCTCAAGAACTCAAATCATGGACTTGCAGGATTCGGTTTGCCAGAACATACAACTTTTCTGAGATCTTTATGGTATATTAAGAATTTGAAGGGGACCTCCCTGATGGTCCAGCGGCTAAGACTCCACACTCCCAATGCAGGGGGCCTGGGTTCGATCCTTGGTCAGGAACTAGATCCTACATGCTATAACTAAGATCGGTGAAGGTAAATAAATAAAAAGAATTTGGAGGACAGTAGCTTTCAGGAATAATGGGGGCAACAGGGGTGTCTTTTTGCTGTCCTCGATAGAGACATTCACAGCCTTAGGAGCATATGGAGCTGCAGGGAGCTAACATGAAGAGGAGGAAAATGGTGAATCCCCACAGGAACCTCAAGAAGTCTTGATCACACACACACAATGCTCCCAGGGGTTCCCAGAAATAGCTGGGGGAATTTAGGGAAGGTCTAAAAGCCCAACAATGGCAACCAGAAACAGAGCTGCTAAGGACTGCTACAGGCACTCTGGTTTTATTCCTTCATGGGGTATGACCTGGGCCACACAGATTACCGTAAATCTCTTACTGTCAACCCCAGGNACCCGATCCCTCTGGGTCTTCCCAGTGCACCAGGCCCGAGCACTTGTCTCATGTACCCAACCTGAGCTGGATATTCGTTTCACCCTAGATAATATACATGTTTCAATGCTGTTCTCTTGAAACATCCCACCCTCGCCTTCTCCCAGAGTCCACAAGTCTGTTCCATACATCTGAGTCTCTTTTTCTGCTTTGCATATAGGGTTATCGTTATCATCTTTCTAAAGTCCATATATATGTGTTAGTATACTGTAATGGTCTTTATCTTTTTTAGGTGCAATTGACACATGCATTTTGTTAGATTCTGGCATATGAGTAATGATTCAATGTATGTGTGTGCATGCGTGCTAAGTCACTTCAGTCGTGTCCATGGGGTTCTCCAGGCAAGCATAGTGGAGGGGGTGGCTGTGCCCGCCTCCAGGTTTGAGTATACGTACATTTTGCCAAACGGTCACCACAGTGAGTCTGGTTAACATGAGTTGCCACCTCACCATCTGTTTTTAGTACTGCAGCTAGAGGGTGGTGTTGGGCCTGCCTCGGATCGCGTCACCGTGGAGACCGGTGAGGGGTCTGCAGTGTTCACCTGTGCTCAGGTCTGCCTGCCGCGGTTCTGTGGACGCTCCCAGAGGGCAGGAGGCTTGGGTCAGAGGCACAGGATGCTCAGCACAGCGAGCAGCCTGAGAGCCTCCAAAGCACACTTCTGCAGGTCCCCAGGCTTTGGGGAGGGATGCGGGGGGCGCCCAGGACCCCCCGGCAGCTGCAGTGGTCTGTGGTTGTGCTACAGGAAGGGAGCCCCAAGCTTAGGAAACCTACGTGTTTTGGTTTTTAATAATAGGTAGGAGATGACGTCTTTATCACGTTGGATGAAGCAGACTTGCCCCTTGCTCTAGACTGAGACCCTCCCCACATCTCCCGAGCCTGTTCAGTGGCTGTCCTTGGAAACAGGTCAGAATGTGGGTGGCCAGAGCACCCTCTCGGGGGCGTAGAGAAACCTGAGACCCCGAGACAGTCTCACAGCAGCACGCACGCCCCTCGTTTCTCCGCAGTCCTGCCCGCTGGTCCGTTTGCTCATGAGTACGTGACTCTAGAAGCAGTTCTTGGTGAATTTGACTGACAGAAGGGGAACCAGAGCTCCTCTGGTTCCAGCGGCTCTCACGAGGACTCGGGGCAGGATGCGTTGCCCTTCAGGACTGAGCTCAGGGTCTGGGCCCAGCCGCTGAGCCGGCCCCATAGCACCAGGGCGGCCCTCGGAGGCAGGCCTCATCCTTGAGGCCCTGCTGGAACAGCCACCTGCTCTCCACTGGTGTTTCTTTAAGTGCTGGAGGGTCGCTGTGACCATCTTGAGCTGCACGTCTGCAGGTTGGCAGGCGGGTGATTACCACCAGCTCCCCGAGGGCACACGGGCTGCCTGGAAAGTGAGTGTGTGTGCCCAGGTTGGGCCCCCGCAGTGGACCTGCCTCCGCCAGGAGTACAGGCAGGCGGTGGCCCCATGTGGCCAGCTGGCTGGTGAATCTTTTGGTCCCTGGTGCGTTTCCAACAGCTGAGTCTAGTCTTCCCTTGTGCAGGCGCGGCCTGTGTGCAGATGGCCAGCTCGTGGTGGGGAAGGTGGCGGCCCACGGAGGTCCTGGCAGGTGCTGGCTGGGAGGGGCAGAGGCCTCGGTCCCTGGGCAGGTTTAGGAGATGGTTCAGACCCGCGTGCCGGGTGTCGGCTGACCTCGCAGGCAGGCCTTCCACAGCACGGGGGAGCCGAGCCGGGACAGGGCCCTCTCCAGGCCGAGGTGGGCTACCCCTCCTCTGCCACAGTAGCGTGTGTCTCGTCAGGGCGCCATTGCCCCAGCTTCTTCCTCTTTCCTGTTTGTCTCTGCTCCCCGGAACATCAGCCTGTTCACGCCAGACCCTGGGACCCTGACAAGGCTTTGCAGGAAGCAGGCCCTCCATGCTGACGGAGTCACTTCCGTGACCTCGTTATCCACGGCGCTGGCGTGGCAGGCCCATGGGTGATATGGGGGCGCTTTCTGGGGGGCGAGGAGGTGCGCTGCCCCTGCATAAAGGGGGGCTGAGAGGCCCGCTCTCTCCCACAGGTCTCTGTGCCCCGGGGGACCTGTGGCCTGCGCAGCCCGTGTGTGTGACCGGCGGCTTCGGCTGCGCCCTGGAGAACGGTGGGCCGGCCGTGCTGCCCCCGCCCGCCCCCGTGCCCAGCAGGTACGTGCTCCCGCCCGGGATGGCAACAGCCAGGGACTGGCGCGCGGGGCTGGGAGCTGGTCCTCACGGCAGCCCGGCCCCGGCTTCCTCCGCAGCCCCTCGCCGGGGTGTTGCCATCTGCCTTTCAGAGCCTCCAGAAATGGAGGGAAGCCTGGAAGAAAGAGAGCAATCCAGCCGGTGACCACATCCGTGCTTTCCTTTTTAAATGGAAGAGATGAGCTGTTCATGTATTAGAGGCACAACTGGAAAAACAAAAACAGTCCCTCATAATTCCTCCTCGCTAACAGAACAGGAATTTCTGTTTTCCACAGCATTAATCTTGAACACACTTAAAACTTTTAAAGATCGAATAGCCTGCATATTGAAAAATAGTTACACAATGGCCACGTCTTAGACTTGCCATTGGATTTATCACTTGATGATGAGAACTTGAGAAAATGTTAATATCTGTGTTTATCAAAAAACATTCATCAAATGTTTTTATCCATTTGAGGTTTTTTAGGGGTTCCAGCTTATTACAAAGTCGTTGCTTTCTTATTTCTATAATGAAAATCCAGTGTGTGATTGGGATCAAAGCAGCCACCAAGGATCGCATTCTGTATGGTTGCGGTTCACACGAGATGAGTGCGGGCCTGGCCCCGAGTGGAGGTGGTCGTTGGTGTGGGTGTGTGAGAGTCCCAGAGCGGTGCCGGCCCACCAGCGGCATCCCGCCTCCCCCGCTGACAGAGCCACAGCCGTGGGTCCTGCCTCTGGTTTCACTTCACAAACCTGGCTGGGCTGCTTTTTTTTAGAATGTAATAGCTATTAGTTAGAAGGGAGAGCAGTTTTCTTTCAAATATTAGTCCTGCTTACATGGGGCACACCTCACCAGGGGTGGGAACTTTTTGCAGTCTGCGTGAAAGTACTTCTCTGCAAACTGAAAGCCAGGTTTTGATCCATTCCTCTATCCATGCGTAATTTATTTGTTTTGTTTCATTTAATAAGAGCTCCCTTTCACCCAAATACGTGCTGTACTCAAGAGATCAAACTCCACCTCTGACTTTCTTTGGAGTTATAATCAGTGTAAAACATTGCGTTAGTTGCAGGGGTACAGCATGGTGATTTGATATTTTTATACATTACAGAATGATCACCACATACAGACTTAGGTCAGTGTCTCTGACCAGAGCGTTTCAGTGTTGCTGACTGTATTCCCTATGCTGTGCGTCAATTATGTCCCCTTTAAAGGAAGTGGGGATGGGCCTAGAGTCTGTCATGCAGAGTGAAGTAGGTCAGAGAAACACAGATGTATATTCACGCATACATGTAGAATCTAGAACAGTGGTACAGATGAGTCTGTTTGCAGGGCAGGAATAGAGACAGGTGTGAGAACAGACTTGGGGACCCAGTGAGGGAAGGAGAGCGTGGAAGAACCGAGAGGGTAGCGCTGACATGTACACACACCCCACCAAGTGTGAAATCGGCAGGCAGAGAGAACCCGCTGGGGGGCCTCGGAGGCTCAGCTTGGTGCCCCGTGGTGACCGAGGGGTGGGCGGGGGCGTGGGAGGGAGGCCCCCGAGGGAGGGGGCGTGTGTGTACGCGTGGAAGGTTCCCGTCATCGCACAGCAGAAGCTAACATGACGTTGTAAAGCACCTGTATTCCAGTAAGAGAAGGAAGGAAGGAGGGGTATCCGAGCTGTCCATCCTGCCGCACCGTGTTGGTGCTGGTGAGCCTTGAGGTAGTCTTTGATTCCGTGACGATAAAGTGCTTCTTTTATTTTCCAAAACTGAAGAACTGGCAGTGATGAGGATGCTGGGCAGTAAGATCCTTTTCCTCTTTCTTTCCTTGCTCTGTCGACATCCTGTTTCTGAAACTAGACCCCTTGTTTTCTGTAGCAGTTTCATTGATTGGAACGCCACGTGTGAAGGCCAGTTTCCCAGTGTGTACTGCCCCCTGGAATTGAACGACTACAATGCCTTTCCAGAAGGTAAAGCTGTTCGGACAGTCCCAGTGACATCCTTCTATTCTCAGAAAGTCAGAGCCGAAAGGGTGTGTGCTTAAGGCATAGCTGCAGAGAAAGTGCCTTTGAGAGCCGTCTTCAGTTGTGCGCTGAGCCTTCGTGTGGCTGCCGCACCCTTGCCGTGTGTTATTTTATATGGCCTCTCAAAGCCTGCTAGACCCAGGGGCCTGGGGACACGTACAAATAGCCCTACTCCATTTAGTCCTTCAGATTAGGAAGAACAGGATCTCTCGGACCCACATGAACCTGAGATGTGCATTATCTGTCGGGAGGCTGGGTCTTTACCTCTTAGTTATTCTATTCAGGGAGACAAGTCCCAGGAGAGGTAGAATGATTTACGTGCTTGTTCCTCAGCATGTCCTGACCCTCATGTCCCTGGATAGTGCTGCAGGAGGAAGGGAGAGAGCACGGAGGGGAAGCTGACGGGCTGCAGATGCTTGTGCCCGCCTGTGTGGATGTACAGATGCGTGTCCTTCTCGGGGCTTTGAGCCGTGCAGTGCTCTATGGTAACCGCAAGGGGGCGCTGTGGTCGCTTCTTGCTGTGGTGAGGCTGTGCTTGCGCCTTCTTCCTGCCAGCTGAGAAATGCTTGGTTTCCTCCTGCTTTCATCAGTGCATGTGGTGTATGTGCAGATGGCCGACACTGGCATGACAGGCAGTCAGAGAAAAAGGGACTAGTAAGAACCATGACACTCTTAAGTCTACAGTAGTACTTACTACTATAAAGTATCACAGTGTACTCTGTGCATGACAGTCCCCCCAGATCATCACATACAGAAGATCAAGCCCAGAGGAAGAACTTCCTCACTGGGGGCTTACCAGATGCTGTGTCTCACGGAGTAATTATTTCATGTCTGTCTTTAATTTGTCAGCACAGTAAGTCCTTGAAAGCTTATGGCCTGAGGGTGAGAATTCCAGTCTCTCCTGAAAGATGTTCACCTCTGCTGATGTCTCTGCTCTTTGCAGAAAGCGTGAACTACCCCAGCGGCTTCGCCTGTCCTGCTGAGGTTCAGACGGACTTCGCTGACCACAGCTCCCCGTCTGCCTGGGGCAGCCCCACCAGTGTGCCAACCGCCTGGGGACACGCCAGTCTCATCAGCTCTCCGGTCAGTGCCGCCCAGCCCTGGCATCACGTGGGTTCTTCCCGGTGCCCCCGTCATCCCGGGCCTTTGGGCCGGGTTCAGAGGTGCCAGAGCCTGGCTTGCTCCCCTGGGTCACTAGCCACTCTCTGCAGGGGCCTCCCAGGTAGTCAGATGGACGGGAGCCTGCAGACGTTGGCAGCCACGATGCCCTAAAATGCACCAAGGAGAGAGCGTTGTTGGTGACGCTGAACCTGGGCCAGGAAGCCCTCCGGGAGGCAGCTGGGGGCTTGTGGCCCCGCTGACCTTCCCCCTGTGGGAGGAGAGGAGATGAACCTTCCAGGAAGGTCAGGCAGGGTCACCCACGGGTCTGGAGGGCTTCACCTGGTCATACCCTCTCCACCGTGTTTTTACAGATAGAGGGCATTAGACCTGAAATGAGCTTATCTAGTTGGATGGGAATTTCTTGACCTTCTGTTTGAGAAAAATGGAGTTAGGGAAACCAGGGTGGTTGAGAATAGTGTGGTAACATCCAGGCAACCTGGGTTGATTCCACTGTGGTAGCTACGAGGATGCAGTCAACCTTGACATTGCTTTCTAAGGCTTCTTTATTTCTTTAAATATTTCCTTTCCCCCCCTCCTGTGTATGCCTCAGCCCTACCTCACAAGCGCCCGAAGCTTGTCTCCAATGTCTGGACTTTTTGGTTCCATCTGGGCCCCGCAAAGCGATGTGTATGAGAATTGCTGCGCCATCAGCCCCACCACGGAACACTCGGCTCACCTGGAGAACCGGGCGGTCATGTGCAAAGAGTACTACCCCGGGTTTAACCCGTTCCGTGCCTACATGGACCTGGACATATGGACTAGCACAGCGAACAGGAATGCAGACTTCCCACTGTCGAGAGACTCGAGCTACTGTGGGAACATGTGAAAAGGTTTCGAGTCTAAATGTGAATAAAGAGGCTTGTGTTTGGATTACTAGCGTAAACTGGTTGTTGAAATAGATTGACGTTGGTGGATATTTTGGCACTTTTATATGAAAATAAATTTTTTTATGAAATCTGGGTGCTCTATTTTTTTAATCCTTCACAAATCGGTGATAGAGACAAAGCATCGTGACCCCAGAAACGCATCGACACGCCGACTGTTTACATCGGACCCAGGACAGCATCTAAGAAGGTAAGACTGGGGAGAGAAGGGGCTGCGGCGGGTCCACCTCCATGAGCATTGGCTCCTCGGGAGCTTGCAGAATGCCTCCTTGCTCGGGGAGCATTCCCAGGGATGCTTCCGTAATTGGCCCATGGCTCAGGTGGGGAGGATTTTGTTTCAGGCGCTGCTTTGATTGAAACAAGCCTCCAGTTTGGGGAACCTCACTGCTGGTCACTTGCCTGGACAGACTGGTCCTGGTGGGCACGGCCGCTGGGTGGAGCAGAGCCCAGCGCTGTTCTGCTGACACTTGGCAGGGATGTTCCCTCACCTCCGTCAGGCCAGTCCCCACGGGCCGGCAGCAACAGGGGCATGCTGGTAAGCGTGTCAAGGTTCCCTCCAAGTGAGCAGGCCGAGTCCACATGCGAGTTCTGAGCAGGTCATGGAGCCGGTGCGTGTTCACCAGGCCAGCGTGTATTTGCTTGTCAGTGATTTTAGAGATTCATGTGATGGTGGAATTATGTGATTGCATGTATAAACTTTGAAAGCTTTACAACTTTTAATAAAAATGGCTTATTTTTACATTTTGTTGTGTCTGTTGGAAATTGAGTGGGAGAGATTTTCGAGTGGGATGTCAGGTTCGCTTGCTTTTCCTTTCTCGTGGTCTCGTGTTGCCTGGGTGAGGAGGGTAAGAGGAGTGTAATCTTGGACTGCCCTTTAGGGAGCACCTGCTGGCATGCCTGGCTGCTGGAACGCGCTCGGGTTACTGACCCCGTCCTTAACACGGAATAATACTGAAAAGTCGTTTAGGTTCTAGGTGTACACCCAAAGGAATAGAAACAAACACTTGTGCACCATGTTCGCTGAAGCCAACACTGTTCACAGTAGCCAGAAGGTGGCAACAACGTCAGCGTCCACCGATGGAAGACAGAGGAGCAAAATGTGTGCACAGTGGGGCACGACTCAGCCTTCGGGGGGAAGGGAGTTCTGACACCTGCTGCCACACGGGTGAGCTCAGAAAATAGGCCAAGTGCAGTAGCCAGTTACTAAGGGCCAGGAGTATGTGATTGCACTTTGATGAATTTAGTGTGGTCAGGGTTCGAGTCAGGAAGTGGAATAGAGGTTGCCAGGGGCTTGTGGGTGAGGGGAGTGGGCTGGTTGGGGGCCGGGCACCGGAGGTACGTGCTGGCTTTGGGAGGCCTGGTACCCCATGTGCAGATAGCACGGGACTGTGGCCTCAAGAAATCTGAAGGTCGTGGGAGTCTGGGGCTGGAGATAGTGGGGGTGTCCATCCTTGGCCTCCGGACAGTTCTAGAGGGGCCTCTTTGGGAGAAGGGACCAGAGCTCTGAGCCAAGGCCCCTGTTTGGAAGAGGACTCGGCAGCAGAGAAGACGGGAGAAGTTGCTGGGGAGGCGGTGGCCACGATGGCGCCAAGACAGGAAGGTGGTCAGACAAGGAGCCCGAGGGCTGGTCAGGCTGTGACCTGCCCACTGCCCTCAGCCAGGCCGGCTGCAGCCAGCTGACATGAGAGGCGAGGTGGCCGTGGAGAAGGCCCGCGGGGGGAGCTGAGTGTGCGTGTGCGGGGTGCCGGGGGCAGGGACCGCTGGGCAGGAAGGGGGCAGGCAGGCCTGGGGGTCACCCGCAGGCACCTGAACCTTGACACGCAGGGCACTGCATCTCCCGGGGCGGGTGGGCAGTGCAGACCTGAGAAGGGGCAGGATGCCCAGCTGTGGGTGGCACGTCACGGCCTGTGGACTGCTGTGTGGGTCAAGTCGTCCTGGAGCAGGGCGACTCCGCACGCGTCTGCNGCGGGTGGGCAGTGCAGACCTGAGAAGGGGCAGGATGCCCAGCTGTGGGTGGCACGTCACGGCCTGTGGACTGCTGTGTGGGTCAAGTCGTCCTGGAGCAGGGCAACTCCGCACGCGTCTGCCCAGCAGTGCATAGCCTGAAATGCTCATCCCGCCCCCCACAGAACACTGGCTGGCCTTCGCTCTGCTAACAGGAGCCACCGGAGAGCAGGGGCCTGGGCCTCGCAGTAGCAACACGTCTGCTTGTCCGGCTCCCGCTGTGTGGGTTTGTGTGGCAGCCTCGGAGCCGGCACGGCCCCGCCCCCTCGTCCTGTTTTCCGGCTCCCGCCGCGTGGGTCTGTGTGGCAGCCTCGGAGCCGACACGGCCCTGCCCTCTCGTCCTGTTCACTATCTCTGGCGTAGCGTCTGAATCACAGGAGTGAGTGGAGGGACAGGTGTGAGCACGGTCATCCGGTAGCTAAAGAGGTGAGTCTTAATGATTCGAGAATAATTCCATTGTTCTGTGGCTGACCACAAGCCAAGGCGAGAGAATCACCACAGTTCTTTGTGGACTAAGTGGACTTCCTTGCTTTTACATGCTCACCTCCACGTACAGAGCTCTTCATGGCAGCTGTTTCTGTGCTGAATGCCACCACCACCTGGGAGACTTGTGGACCCTAGAGTAAGCGGAGCAGCACAGGAGGCCAGCCCTGCCTTCCAGGAGCTTTGATTTTAATGGGAGACTCGCCAGCAAACATCCCCTTTGGGACCAGACTTCGTGGGGTCTTAACTCCAGGTTTATCATATATTTAACTTTCTCGTTGTTAAGCTTGAGTAAACTCCAGGAGTTGGCAATGGACAGGGAGGCCCGGCATGCTGCAGCCCATGGGGTCGCAAAGAGTCGGACACGACTGGGCAGCTGAACTGAACTGAACTAACTTTCCTGTGCCTCGGTTTCCTCTTGGGGATAACAATGGTAACATACTTCATGGAGTTGTGAGGATCTAGTGAAAGTCGCTCAGCCATGTTCCACTCTTTGCAACTTCATGGACTATACATGGAATTCTCCAGGCCAGAATACTGGAGTAGGTAGCCTTTCTCTTCTCCAGGGAATCTTCCCAACCCAGGGATTGAACCCAGGTCTCCTGCATTGCAGGCGGATTCTTTATCAGCTGAGCCTCAAGGGAAGCCCAGGAATACTGGAGTGGGTAGCCTGTTCTTTCTCCAGGGAAGGATCTTCCCGACCCAGGAATCTAACTGGGGTCTCCTGCATTGCAGGCGGATTCTTTACCAACTGAGCTATCAAGGAGGCCTGAGGATTAAATGAGTTGAGTGTTGAGATAGTGCTTGGCACATAGTAAATCCTCAGCTACCATTAGCGTCCAATATAATTACTATCATCAATTTAAATAAACACTAAATAACAGGATACATAGGAACTTAAATCTCAGGGTGAGTAGCGGCCAGGTGAGGCAGCCTTTATACATTGCTGATGAGATGGTAGCATGTTTGGCAATGTGTATTAGGTACCTTGAAAACTCTTCAAGGAATTGACTCTTAAAGAAAATAGTAAAAAAAAGAAAAAATGCATGCACAAAAAGGTATGAGTTTTCTGTTGTTGCTATAAAAAGTTCCCACAAACTTAGTGGCTTAAAAAAACATGAATGTATCATCTTACAGCTTTGTAGGTCAGAAGTCCAACACAAGTTCTGCTGGGCTAAAGTCAAGGTGTTGGCAAGGCGGAATTTCTTTAGGAATTACCACCTAGAGCAGGGTGGATGCTCCAGGGAAGAATCTGCTCCTTTCTTGACTTCCCCAGCCTTTAGAAGCGGCTTACATTTCTTGGCTCATGGCCCCCGTCTGCCGTCTTCAAAGCCAGCAATGTGGCCTCTCTCTGGCTCTGATACCATTGTTACATCTTTTTCTCTGACCACAGTTGGGAAAGGTTCTCTTCTTTCAAAGACCCGTGTGATTAGATTTGGTCCACCCAGAGAATCTCCCCACCTCAAGGTCCTTAACTTAATCATACCTTCAGAGTCACACATTTTCACCGTTGCAGTCACATATTCAAAGCCTCCAGATTTAGGATGTGGACATCTCTGGGGCAGGGGCATTGTTCTGCCTGTGATCTATTAGTATATTTGTTCCAGTGTTTAGAACAGTGCTGAGTTACAAATAAACGCTCTACAACAGGTATATGTTTAAATTACAGCACATACAGATGTTGGAATACGAGGAAGCCTCTAAAATCACTGGAAGAGAATGAGATAGGCAGTGAAAGGTAGGATGCAGTTTCTGAGCAGAATGAGCCCGTCTGGATGTGGGGAGGAGGGGGCACCATCTGGTGGGCAGGATTGTGAGTGATTTTCATTTTCTTTTTTTGGTATTTCCTATTATAAGCATGTATTACTATTATTCCCCTTTCTCTAAAAACTTTTAATTAAATCTTAAGGGAATGTGTATTTTATTTAACCATGTTGAAAGTAAGTATGCTAAAAACAAATGCTAAAGTCAATAAAATTTACATTATGCTATAAAAGAACATAATTTAAAGGCAAAGGCAAAGAGAAACTTTCACTAAACATTCCCTAATAAAAATCCTATAAAATGAGGTATGTAGTAATTACTTGGGCTAGGATTAAAGGCACATAAGAATGTCTTTAAACACTCTATAGCCAACATACAAAATGTAATGCAGTCTAACTATAATTAGTTAAAATATAACTTAAAATACATATGTTTATGTAAACTCAAATTAACATTTCAAAATAATTATTTCTGTGTGACCCAGACATTTGCATAATTGAATACTCACACTGGAGTACAGAGAAGATGTCAGTAAAACAATGTATTTGTTATTTTGTATGCATAATGCATGTAGTGTATCAAAGGAAAGCTCTTTAGAAACAAAACAAAAACTTTACCCAACATCATTTCATCTCGACGGACGTTTATTTCAGTTGGGTGTTTATTTATTCACTGTAGATGAAGAACTTATTTACAACCTGTAAAAAATAGAAGGAACAGCAACAACAAAGCTGGAAGGAACAGGCCAAGTGCCACGATCTCAGGACCGTGTGGACAGCGACACTGACACGGCCGCTTGGTCTGTTTTCATCTGAAAAGC